TGGAAAGAATAAATAATGCACCAAATTGTAAAACAGCTTTGGGTGTCAGGAAAAGTTGATGTATTATTTAGGGGTGTCAAATTATCGCGTTAATTGCGATTAATTAATTACAGTCATATTTAGCGCGTTATGTTTTTTAATCGCGTTAATCTCATTTTTAATCTCTAACTTTACTGTTTCTGTATGCGAGTTGCTTTATTATAAAACCTGTTTTATGTGTTGTTGGGACAACAACACACACACAAAAAAACACATTTATACATTTTTTTTTATTTCGGTAATTCCACTCATTGCCGGAAACCCACACAGAACGCACACAGTAACACGTCTTGTTAACGTTGGCGGCGTCAGTCACACAATGGACGAGGTCGAAGAGCCAGTAGAACAGAGCAGCAGTGCACAGGTAAAAACACATTCGTGTCTTGGAAATTATTCTCCTGACGTGAAATATAAAAGAAAATAACAAATATAAAATCACCTACAACTTAAATGTCACTGGTGAAAACAACCTGCATAGACTCATGATGTCTGCACTACTGTCCTATAGTGACCTGCCACATGAGGGGACACGCACACAAACACACACAAACACAAACACAAACACAAACAAACACACACACCTTCATCATCGTCATTAACCTGAGAACGCGCGGACCACGTTTCCTTCCGTAGTTACTGCGCGGACACCGACGTGCTCCCGTGAGCCGCGTGTGGATCGTGTTTTCTCGCGTACGCTGCGTAAACCGCGCTTCCTCCTGTGCGCCTCTAAACCAGAACTAACACCAAGACTAAAACCGGGACTTATCCAGTCCAGGACTAAACCAGGACTAAACCAGAACTAAAACCAGGATTAATTCATTCCAGGACTAAACTAGGACTAAACTAGGACTAAAGTAGGTCTAAACCAGGACTAAAACCAGTGATCTCATATATAAAGCATTTTCTCTATCAATAATATTTTTAATATGGTTAAGGAAAGACTGGACTTTTTATTGTCTTTAAGTAGACAAAAGTTATTATGTTCAGATTTCCTCGTCTTTGCTACTTTACAGCAAACAGTTTCTTATTCATGGAGACTTGGGCTCAACAGCCAATTTGGAGAGATTTGTTAAACAATAAATGACTTTATAAAGTCACTTTTTTGTTCTATATCAGTCTTTTGATCTGCCACAATAATGTAATAATGAATTTAAATGAAAATACCTCAAATTTAAGCTTTTCTCAACAATTTTTAGGTGAGATTAAAATGAGATTAATTAGATTAATTAATTACAGATCATAATTAATTAATCTCTCAATTTTTTTAATCGCATGACAGCACTAGTATTATTATTATGTAACAGTTGTGGAATTACCTCTACATGTGTCACATCTGCTGTCCATGTCCAACTAGGAAGTACAGTTTAAAGTTAAAACTTAACCAAAAAAAAAAAAATAAAAAAAAATGAAGGAAAGTAAAGAAAAGAAAAACTAGGCAATATTTTTTAGTACATTCTTAAATAGAAATGTTGATGAGGAGGTATTTTACTTCTATGGGGTAACATATTTAGATCACTATCTTACCCTTCACTTTCACTTTCGTTTTTAACACTGAGTCTCCCCTCCTTCTGGTCTTCCTTTGATACATGACAACTTCAGTTTGAACAGTCAGGTCGCATTCATCCTACCTACACGTCAGGCTCAGAGTCTAGTCAGTGGAGGGAAAGTGAGGTTAGCGAGTTTATTAATATTTGGGTGGATCGCTGTACTCAGACCAAATTGGAGGGGTCTTATTGGAACGAGACGGTTTTTGAAATGATTGCCAAAGAAATGGGCGAGCGTGGTTATAGAAGGTCCTGGGTCCAATGTCAACGAAAAATAAAGAGCCTGCAAGCCAAACACAACAAGGCTAAAGACTCAAACAAACAAAGCAGCTATGGATGTGTAATCTGTCCATTTTTTGAAGAACTGGATCATATTTTGTGAGACAAGCTCAGCGTTTAGGCAACTTCCATAAACGTCGTTGTGTCCTCCAATGCGCATGCGGGACACTTTTGGGCATTTAAAGTCCACATACAAGTCGCATTTAATTGGAAATGTGAACCACCTTGCAAAAAAATCTGATTTCACAAAAATTCTGAATTGGGCATTAAGCCCTGCAGTCTGAACTTAGCTTAAGTTTACTCCCCCTTCAGAGCGCACATTACAATCATCCTGCTATTGAAACTACTGCACATCGCATCAGGTTTGTGAAGTTGTAGTGTATTGTTTTGTATCATGCTTTGTATATTTATGGAGAATTGCCGTGTGGGAGAAAGAATAAGATAAAGTGAGCACAGAATCTTACATCTGAACGTAAGAACTGTTCAAATAAGGCTCAGGAGAGATCTCTAGATGACTCAGACATGCATGGATAACATCTAAAACCTCTTCAGACATATTTTTGATGAGTGAAAAACGTTATAACAGTTTGGAAAGCTAAAAAAAAATTGCATAATACCTCCTCTATAACTGTTTGAGTGAAATGAGCCATCTAACCTGTCACACGCTCTTCTTGTGATCTTTCTCTGAGGGCCTCATTAAGCTGCGGATGATTTTGACTCCGGACTTAAACCTCTTTGTCCAGGCTCCTCCGTGTAATGAGCTCTATTCAGTCACTGCTCCTCCTGTCTGTCTCCCACAATGCACCTCTCCCCGCTCTACATAGGCTAATCATATCTGTCGGACGGAATCATAAGGAACGTCTCTGATTGTCTCTGAGGGAACCAATCAGAATTGAGCTGGTGGGCGGGCCTAAGGCAAAAACACAATACTGCAAATTAAACGTTTTTTTTTATTACTGTAAAGGTTAAAGAATATTCTGATTTGATGAAGCACTGTGTCATTTTCTGGCAGAAGGTCAGTATAGTTTTAAAGAGGCGGCTTTCTACCATGTTATAACATTTTTCACTCATCAAAAACATGCCTCAATATGTCATCCATGCATGTTTGAATAATTGAGCGATCTCTCCCAGAAACCAGAAGTGGGGACATGCAAGTCGTGACTTTGACTTGAGTCAGAGTTGAGCCAATATTTTTAGGACATGAGACCTGACTTGATAAAATGGACTAAGACTTGGGACTCAACTTGGACTTGAGGCTTGAAAAACACTTTTAAATCTGAGTTCTTTCTATTCTGACCTTAATGATTCACACTAAGAGCTTATCAAGATATTTTAAAAGAAAAAGTTTCCATTTCTAAAAGTCTTACATACTCTATAAATACTCATATATAGATATACTTATGACTTTATAAGTACAATTTATCTTAAAAGTCATATAAATTGCAAAATTCTAAGCTATATTTGGTACTTTTTTGGTTTAAAGACTTGAAATGACTTAAGTTCAAAGCTGACGACTTGGACTTGACTTGGACTTATGGGCCAGTGACTTGAGACTCGACTTAGACTTGCCTGTATTTGACTTAGGACTTGACTCGGACTTGAGGTCAAAGACTTGAGACTTACTTGAGACTTGCAAGACATCGACTTGGCCCCATCTCTGCCAGAAACTATTCGAACTTTCCTTGCGGTTTGTTCTAAGATTCTGGACAATGCTCCACCCACAAGTTTATGTCACCCCTCACGACAATAGGCTCTATTCTCGCTTACGTCACAAACCAGGAAGAAGTTTGGAAAGATGTGATGACAACTTCCAGTGTAGTTCCCATCTCTAGGCTCGCCGACCGACTCTGATAAAACCCACTGAAGTAAATGTGATCAGTGGTAAAATGAAGACTGCATACTGTATGTGCTTTTTGAACTTGAGCTTGATCTTGGTGCCTCATTTCTTCTAATCACATGTACCCAGTGCGCTCGGAGTTGTGCGTCAGTGGGGAAATGATGAAAACTGAAGTACGGTTGTAATTATTGATTAGAGGAACATTACAGAAAGCTACAACGACAAGGAGATGAAGAAAACTGGGCCATTTTCCCATTTCTCCTAGATTTTGTCAGACTTAGTACTGTGAAAAGAGCCTGCCGGAAGTTGTCATAGCATGTTTCCAAACGTCTTCCTGGTTTGTGACGTAAGCGTGAAAAGAGCCTATTCTAAAAACTGTCCACTACAACTTGACAAACCTGATGTAATGAGCAGTAGTTTCATTAGAGGGATGTACACTGATGCTGTGATAGCGCTCTGACAAGGGAATGAGCAAAGGAAATGGGGATTACTGACTCAGAAAACTAAATTGTTTTCCATGAATATAGCATTTTTCAAACAATAAAAGGTAACATGGTGTTCTAAATATTATATGTGTTAGCAGTAAATACCTCATAGAAGTAAAAATGCCCATCTGTCATGCAGTATTCATTTTCAATTACAAGTCAGTAAGTGTTTGTATTGATAAAAAAACAAATATCCTCAAAGTCATGTATAAAGCAAAGTGTAATTTATTACCTGTAAATATTCAAAAACTGTTTGAGATGAGAACAAGCCACTACAATTTAATGGAACCTACATGTTTAAAAAACCCAGATTCAGAACCAAGGTTATGGAGCGAAGCGTCGCTGTGAAAGGAGTTCACTTATGGAATAGTCTTGACAAAGAAATAAAAGAATCAAGTACAATGATGACATTTAAAAAACATATAAAATCAAATGCACTGTGTCTGTATGAAAAAGAAAACTAAGTTGTGTATAATAATGAAGATTTACTGTTTGCAATTGATCAGTAATTGTGCCTGAACTAATATGGAAGGTTTAGTGATGATCAGTGTTGATGTTTTGTCTTGAAAAAGGAAAGGGGGGCAGATAACATAAGATTTTTTCTTCTTTCTGCTCCTTTTCATTCATTTCTTGTGTGTTTGATGTTGTGACACTGTAGATGTCTTTTTATGCTTTATGAATGAAATAAATAAATACATTTAAAAAAAATAAAAATAAAAAAACAAACAAAAAAAAGTGTTTGACGTCGGTTCTTGAATGGTGGTTCCCTTTTCACAGATCTGACCTGTAACTTGGTCTGAAGCTTCCACTTGTTTGTCTCCTTGTTTGAAGTTTAATACCATATTCTAGGCATGAATAACGTGTCCTTTGAGAGCCTATACCAGATCACCACATCACTTCAAAACTCACACATGGAGAAGGCGGTATATGAAAAAAAATCTTTATTTGAACTTCATAAACAAAAGTACCAGTCTAGGACAGCCAGGAGAACGCTCAGAATGTCAACACAAATAAGATCTATCTACACGGTGTCATTCAAATGGTTTTCTAATCATGTGAGATGTGATGAGAAGTGTAAACTAGTGAACTGTACATCATGTGAGACATCAGGGTTCAACTGAATCACTAGTCCAGTTTTTGTGATACGGAGAATCACAATCAATGCCTGTTTATTGCTGGTTGATGTTTGGAAAAATAGAAAAGATAAATATCCGAGTTTAAATTTAAAAAGCTTGTACATGAGTTTAACCATGAGCGAACTGGGAATCAAACCAGGGATCTTCTGTTTTTTCTGTCTGGCTCTCCACAAATCAAAAATAAATTAACCATATACGTTTCTAATTATATAATTTAGCACCTTGAGGGGTTTCAACAAGTCTGTGAAGAAATTATTATTATGAATAGAACTGTATTTACAAAAACGTTTATGGAAGTTTCTGTTAAAGGTCCTATATGACAAATAATGGATTCTTGCCATGTTATAATGTTATTAACTCATCAAAAACATACCCAGGGTTGTGTTTTGTTTCATTCACACATGTTTGAGTAATCCTTTATTATTAGTTTATCTACATCTCTAAAGCTCAAATACTCTGTTTCACCTTGTGATGTCATGAAGTGGGAGTTTTCAAGTTAACAGCTACATAGCAAGTAAGTAAATAAAGTTTATTTATATAGCGCTTTTCACAGACATAGGTCACAAAGTACTAGCATGACTGATCAACCGGTTTCACTTTGTGGAAACCGTCTGACCCCGCAGCATTAGGATTCGTTTGCTCAATGGTAGGTGGGTACTTTTTTTTTTATTTAACCAATCGCTGCTATTTGGTTGTGATGTATGTAATGTGCCGCTAAATGGTATATTAAGCTTTTCCCAAATCCCATAAAAAGAAGGGCAATAACGTCTTTCCTCTTGATAAAATTCACCAAACATTCTCTTTGTTCCGGCTTTAAATCCTCGATCTCGGGAATCATTGCCAACACAGAATGTATGGCTCTTTGCTGATTGGCTGCATTGCAAATCGTCTATTGTATTCCGATTCCTGACCTAGTCGCTGGAGAGAAATGAACTTGAATGGAGGCACTAGGAGGCGCCAGACTGGTTAACAAAGTGCTTCACATACAAAAGATAAAAACAGCAGAAGAACATGTGATCCTTTTGGCAATTCCAGGGCTGAATTTATCCAGATGATTCTAATGAAAGTGTGTGGAGTTTAAAAACACAGTGAAGCTTTTACCACATAACATCACAAGGTGGAACAGAGTATTTACTGTTTGAGAAAAGAACTGTGTTTTAAACGTGTAAATAAAGAGGCAGTAGGCTTTCATCAGATAAACATGTGCTGAAACGTTGCACGGTTTGTCCTAATAAATCTCTGTGTGGGATTTTTATGTTCTTGGGCCGCTCCCTCTCCTCCAACACACCCGTCTCAAGTAATTGATGTGTCATTCTCTTATAAACGAGTAAATAAATAAAACAAAAAACAAAACAAAAACCCACAACTCCAGGTATGTTTGCGACGAGGAAACAACATTAAAACATAGATCAGAAAATAGCGTAAAATGGGCCCTTTAATGTAAAAAATATTGCAAAACGAAGCTACTAAAGTGCAAATTGACAATAAATAAACACAGAATAGAATAGAAGAGTATATTTACACATATGTACAACCGCAGTACACCTTGTCCTAACTTGAAGGCTGACTATCCGATAATAAAAGTAAATGCAGTTGTGTGTTATGATGATTGTGCAAGTCTAAAAAGTTGATGCATTTGCTTATGTTTTCCTTTTAGTGGGGCAGATTTTGATGTCTTTCCTCCCTGCAGCTGTTCTTCTTGTGTCTTCGTCCTCTCCCGTCTGCTGCTTGGCAAAGTTTACGAACACCTGCAACAGACACACACGGGTTTGGGTTAGGCTCAGGTCTGATCACAGCAGAAACTACTTTGAAAATGAGGAGTTGGATCTGTGCTGTTGTGTGTTTGTAGAAATATTATTGCAAGTGAGACACAGCTGCGCATAAACGGCTATTTCTGTTTAAAAGGCTCATATTACGCTATTTTCTGATGTGTTATAAAGTTGTTTCCTTATCACAGACATACCTGGAGTTGTGTTTTTGTTTCGTTCGCACATGTTTAACACACAAACCCTGTATATTTAGGCTGAGCTCTTCTCTCAAACAGAAAACACTGTGTTCCGCCCAAATCTGTTTCACCCTGGTGCTCTTCAAACTTGGAATTAGAGTCATTGCAAAGAGAAAAAGGGCTGAGGCTCTCTAGAGATTTACAAAAATGTTAAAATACTTTCTTATGTCACTGGACACTGCTGTAACAGTTTCAAAACAGTTCCCATTGAACAATTAAAAGGACAGTTCGGAATTTTGGACATAGGATCTCATTTCCTAGTGAGTCAGAGTGTTGGAAAAATGTGGAGACACTTTTTTAAATATTCCATCCAGTCCTTGTATTTGCAGAGGTCGCTGGTGTTAGACTAGTGCATGTCAATGGCCATAGTTATTCTGCCACTAAAAACAGTCTTACCCACTCCACAAAACACTCGAGGCAAATCTATTATTACACCAGACTGTCGATGTGAATTAGTCAGGCTGGTGCCACCTAGTGCCTCCGCTCAATTTCATTTCTCTCCAACAACTAGGTCAGGAATCAGAATACACTAGACGGTTCACAAAAAACCCGGAAGTGCAAGTTCAATCACCATCCATACATTCTGTGTTGGCAACAATTCCTGAGATCGAGGATTTAAAGCCAGAATAAAGAAAATGTTTGGTGAATTGTATCAAGGGGAAAGACTTTATTGCGCTTCTTCCTACGGGATTTGGAAAAAACTTAATATACCAGTTAGCCCTGTTAGCAGCGCATTACATACGTCACAACCAAATAGCAGTGACTGGTTAAAAGAAAAAAGTATCCGCCTACAGTCGAGCAAGCAAATCCCAACACTGCGAGGTCAGACTGTTTCTACAAAGTGAAACCAGCTGATGAAGCAGGCTATGTGAATGTCTGTGTTGATAGAATATCTTTAGAAGTAAAACCAACCTTGCATTTGAAAGATTTATGTCTGAGCAGCAGCAGTGAGTTGTACTTCCTGATAGAAAGCTTGGCAGAGGCGGAGTGATATATGAGAAAATAGTCCCTCAACATGCGACGATTCATGCGATGCAAGGTTAGTTTTATTTCAAACATTATTCTGTCAACACAGACATTTACATCGACAGTCTGGTGTAATCATAGTTTTGCTTCGGGTGTTTTGTGGAGTAGGTAAAACTGTTTTTAGTGGCAGGATATCTTTGGCCATTATTAGCCTCTGCAAATACAAGGACTGGATGGAATATTTAAAAAAGTGTCTCCACACGTCTCCAACACTCTGACTCACTAGGAAACGAGGCCCTATGTCCAAAATCCCCGACTGTCCCTTTAAATATGTCTATAAGCGGAGACAGACTGAAGTTGCTATCACAAAGAGTCCTTCTGGATTTATACTCTGCAAGCAACAGACTTCCCCAGTTTAAATGATGATTTTGATTTTTTTGAGACCTGTTTTTTCGCTTTTCTTACCTCTCTGGTACAATTACATCATGAACTTGTTAATTTAAAGGTGCTATATTAGTCTGTCTTCATCTTCAAAGCTCGAAACGCTCTGTGCCACCTTGTGAAGTTTTCAACCTTTTAATTTTAGTTCAGTAGAGATTTGCAGTTCCAGGGCTTCAAATAATTCAAGTGAAGTTGTACGCAGTTTAAAAACACAGTGAAGCACTTCCTGTATTACCACGTGACATCACAAGGTGGAACAGAGTGTTTCGATTTCAGAAAAGAACTCCTAAATTTGCAGGGTTTGTGTGTTAAACGTGTGAATGAAACAAAAAACTCCAGGTCTGTTTGTGATGAGGAAACATTATATAGAACATTAAATAGATCATAAAATTAGTAATAACATTGGCCTTTTAATGAATTCACTTTATCTTGTTCTTTCTTTTTGACACTTTGATCCAGTCATGTGAATGGACTACACGACTTCCTGATATAAAAAAAGCCCCGTCAGCCATTTTCCTCTTTAAACATGCCCTGATGAAGGCGCAGTGAGACCCAAACACGTTTTTTAAATTATTGCCATGAAATAATAAAGGCTTTGAACTTTTTCGCAAATCCCTCAGGCACCTCAGCCCTTATTTTCCACTTCACAATATTTATAAGTCGACTTACAAGATATTCAAGACAATATTTTGTTTGGGCCATAACAAAGAAGCAGAAAAAACACAAGCAACTTACCACCGCCAAGGAGAAGAGAGAGTAAATAATGCACACTGCAAAAAAGCTTGGCCAAAATTTAAGATATAAACACATCAGAAAATGACTTAAAAGTAGTGTACTGCAGAAAACTATATTTAAATTACTTAAATTAAGAACATTTAACTTTATTTGAGTAGATTCAACTTGACAAGTTAAATGATCTACCATTGGAATAATTGTGTTTTTCTTGATTCAGGCAACATTGGATTTAGTTTCTTTTTTTCATTTTGTCATTTCTTTTTGTCATTTTTGAGGGAATTGATACCTAGCACATTAATAACAAAGTAGACGTAACAAAATATAAGACTAACACGCATACAAAGGAAAAAAAAAAAGGGGGGGTTAGTTTCTTGTTTAAGTGCAAATTGTTGTTTTTTTTGCTTTTTTCTTATTATAGTAAAATATATTTTCATATTTTAACTACAAAAAGTATTGTTCCATTGATAGGTAATGTTACTTGTCAAGTGAAATTTACTCAAATCATGATAAAACTTTCTTAATTCTAGTCATCTTAACTTGGCCAGATTTTAGTTTTTGTCGTGTGAAATTATCTGTCCATGCAGCAAGATTATTTAGTTTTAAAATAAACTACCTCAAGACTAGAAATAAGCAGTCTCTGGTCTAGTAAGTAGAAAATAAATCTGAAAACAAGATGAATAACCTGATATAAGTTTTAAAATCTTGGCCAGATCAGAGAAATTTGCAGTGTAAGAGAGCTAAGACTGGTTTGGACAATGTCGATGTCAACTGAAATTATAATAAAATGTTGTGTTTTCATGTACTTTTCCTTTCTTATTAAAGGTGCACTGTGTAACTTTTCACCTGCTTGTTTCTATGGATAATGTCATTGTTCTGCAGGGAATGTTCCACAGTATGACATTAAACAGCTCTGCTTTACATTTATTCAGTTACATGTGCTTTTATAGCTCAAAAATACCTAGAAAAACAGGCATTCTGACTGTGAGCGGGGTTGCCTCTCCACAGATCTGACCTGTAATCTTGGTCTGGTTTGGTCTCCATGAAGATAGAATGGTTTAATGTCATACTGTGAAACATTCCAGACAAAGCAATAACATCTCCATAAAGAAAAAAAACAATGTTCAAAGTTCAGAAAAAAAAAACAATGCAATTTTAAGATAAAAAAATTAATTAAAATGAAATAAAAATGAACATAGAGACCCTGGCTGCCACCCACCTGGTCCAGCGTAGTCTGTGACACAGAGTAGTCCTCTATGCTGAGCCGCTCTTTGTTGGAGACGACGAACTGAAAGATGCGAGCGAGTGAGGAGGAGCAGATCTCGTACTGCAGAGTGTTGTAGTGCTTCTCCCTCTGAACACAGCCCGGGAAACTGCTCTCCATAAACTGCTCCACTGGCTCCAGCTCTGGGCTCTGGCCTGCTTTAGCTGCCTTTATCTTCATGGTCACTACATAACCATCTCCAAACCTGACGGCAGAGAGCGGCGGATTAGTGTTGTCACGATACTAACATTTAAAAAGAAAAGGCTTTGTACTTGACACAGATTTTGGTATTAAAATGCCAAAAATAAAAAAAACTTTGACATTTTTAGCACAATATAATAGTGCTTTATTTAAGTTACGAAAACTTTTCAAAAAAAGGTCAGATTGTGCCCTGTTTTTTTCACACTCAATACTTAAATTTAATATCTATTTTCTGTACTGATTTTAGTATAGATGTAAGTAACAGCGCAGATTTGATGATGTCTGACATGAAGGAGCAACACATGGAGAGGCAAGACTCACTTAAAATGGACTATTTTAAAAACAATAAATACGTATCTTCTCTTTGAAAAACATTTTTATATAAAATTCCATAGCCTCAGATTGGCCTCAGAGCCATGCTTACATCATTTAGCTCCAGGGCAGCTGTGGCTACTGGAGACGCTTACCTACACTGACAGAGCAAAGGAATAACTAATGCGTGTTATCAAAATGTAAAATGTATTTTGCATGTATAAAAAGACATAATGAAATACTGTAGGTTTAATACTTTGTAGTGTTCAAATAATTCACAGAAAAGGTCTTACTTGTATTTGAGGTGCTGAATAGTTCCCAGACACCTGAAAGTGCCGTTGACCATGATGGCGAGACGAGTGCACAGGGCCTCACACTCCTCCATGCTGCACACAAGTACACACACACACACATAGAAACCTGTTTTATAATGGTGTATTTTTCAGACTATACGTTGCACTTTTTTCATGGTTTGAGTGGTCCTGCGATTTATACTCCGGTGTGATTTATATATTAAAATGTTCACACTAACAGCCGCGAGTATCTGTATCATGTCAGTCAATTGCACCTTTACTTCTGTACCACTGAAACTTATAAAGACAACTGAACCCATCCTGTCAGGATTCAGAAAGGCCGGAATAATTCTAACTGGAACTGATGCTGAGTCTGAAGACAGCTTCACAGAAGAGGAAGAGGCGCTCTGTTTACCTCCAGAGGTCACAGAGTTGCTCAGAAGTGACACCGAGGATGAAGAATTGAATGGATTTAGTGATTTGGAGTGAGATGGAGAGTTTGGTAAACTTGTTCTGTTCTGTTGTTTATGTTATAGTTTATCTGAAGAACTGTTCATATGTGACGTTAACAGTCTGTTGTTGTCTATTCTATTGTTATTACTATTACTTGATTTTCAATATGAAATGTCGGTTCTTGGTCTTTGATTTTATAAAATAAATTTCCCCCATAAAGTGTGACTGATAGTCCGGTCCAACTTATATATGTTTTTTCTTCTTCATTACACATTTTTTGGTTGGTGCGACTTATACTCTGCAGCAACTTACTGTATAGTCTGAAAAATATGGTAACATAATACATAAGATACAGGTATACAAGACATAATACTGTGTAATCTTCTGGAAGTGGCGAGGAAAAAGAAAGTTAAAAACATTCTCCATGGAGATAGATTTGTGTTTGTACTGAAGTTGTTTGTCATATCGTGGAATATTATAGACAAATTAACATTTCCATGAAAAGAAACAGTCAGTGACCCTCATCCAAGGTCATGTTAAAGTCAGGCTTGTGGAGATACAAGCGCGCTCACAGTAAAGATGCACATTTTTCAGTGCTTCAGTAGAATTAAAAACATGCTTTTACTTGAGCCCATTTCTTTTGGCTACACGGGGGGTTATGTTGAACTGAGGTTTGTACCTGTGAGATGTGAGCACCACGGCTCGCCCGTCCTGGATCACACTCATGATGGCGTTCCACAGGAAGCGTTTGGAGTGAGGGTCCATCCCTGTCGTGGGCTCATCCTGAAATGAGACATAACCAGGAAATATACCACACCAACTCCAGCACTTAGTCACGTCAGTGGTCACATTTGGAACCACTCATCCATTCACAAACACAACAGAAAACACAGACAAATGGTGAGTTAAGTGTCTTGCCAAAGGACACAATGACAGCATCCATCTTTGGCAGTACACTTTAATTCATCAGTGTTTGCAAGAAATATTTATAGCTTGGCAGTTTGAGTTGAATTTGAAATGAATGCAAACTTGAGCAAATGTGGGTATTTTTTTTCTTTTTAATCTATTGATTGAATAATATTACATTGCATTATTTGAAGTGGTTTACAGAACAAAATAAATGGAAAGTATTTAAGGATATTTTTTAGTTGTCTGTTTTTATTTCAGTATATTTTATAGTGGATACTTTTTAGCCACTTTTTTATGTGATACTTTTACTTGCTCTACAGTCTTGCTACAGAAATTTAATTGCTTTGTACTTTTACTTAAGTAACAAAAGAGAGTACTTCTTCTACTACTTTCTGTGAAAATGGAATCCTCATGTATGCATAGATCATTGTAAAAATGTAGACGTATTGTAACAAAAGGTGCATATTTTAATTTGAAATCACACAAAAAGTAATTTGAGTAAATCTGCTGACAAATTTGCTAGAAATTGTATTCAGTTTGAGTAATTTGTTGCTCCTCAGGCCACCTGTGCTACTGTCAGCATATGGGCACAGAGCTACAGTTGATTTGAATAGAGCTGCTCCTCCTCCTGCCAGAGGATTAGAACATCGCCAGGCTTCGGTGAGCACATATGGGGCTCCATCTGCAGCTCGGGGCCAATGCATTGATAAATCCTACTTTAAAGATGTATTGTGTAACTTAAGGGTTTAAAGTGCACTTGTGTCTTGTCTGGTGGAGGGTCCGTCACCTACTTGAATGTTCCACAGTACGGCATTAAAGCTCCTATAGTACACAGAATGGATTTTTGTCATATATTATGCAAAATTGACTCTTGTGAGCTTTAAGCCATGTTAGGAAGCTGTTACCTCATCAAAACCATACCTAAAGTTGTGTTTTGTTTCATTCATGTTTGAGTATTGTATTTTTTGGACTATAGGTCGCACTTTTGTTCATGGTTTGGGTGGTCCTGCGACTTATATTCCAGCTCGACTTATATATTAAAATTTTCACATTGACAGCCGCAAGAGGGCGCTCTAGACTTGTGTGTCAGTATCTGCTGCTCCTATTACTCCTGTACCACTGTCACTTTGCACTACTGCACATGTCTCCTGCAGAAAGAGCCACTGTCCTGTCTGTATCATGTCAGTTGATCGCACCATTACTTCTGTACCACTGAAAAAAATATAAAAATTAAAAATTAAACAAGCTTTTGAAGACAAGTGAGAAGACAAATGCCCCCAAAAAGAAAATAATATTTTGCAGATTACAAGCTGCAAGTCGCGAAATATGCAGCCAAAACCGCTAATCAAGCAGCAGAAAGAAAGTTTGGAGTGAGCAAGAAACTTGTCACAACGCCTGCAGCTTTCCTGGAAGAATGGATGGACAAAGCCTGGACTTCGGTAACAACTGAAACCATCCTCTCGGGATTCAGAAAGGCCGGAATAATTCTAACTGGAACTGATGCTGAGTCTGACGACAGCTACACAGAAGAGGAAGCAGTGCTCTGTTTACCTCCAGAGGTCGTGGAGTTGCTCAGAAGTGACACTGAGGATAAAGAATTCAATGGATTTAGTGATTTGGAGTGAGATGGAGAGTTTGGTAAACTTGTTCTGTTCTGTTGTTTATGCTATAGTTTATCTGAAGAACTGTTCATATGTTACATTAACAGTCTGTTGTTCTATTGTTATTACAATAACTTGCCTTTCAAGATGAAATGTCGGTTCCTGGTCTCTGAGTTTATAAAATAAGTTTTCCCCAAAAAGTGCGACTTATAATCTGGTACCACTTATATTTGTTTTTTCTTCTTCATTACGCATTTTTAGGTTGGTGCGACTTATACTCCAGAGCGACTTATGGTCTGAAAAATATGGTAATTCTTTATTATTAATCTGTCTCCACCTTGTGAACAGATTTCAAGTTAACAGCTACCTTTTACTGTAATTTCAGCAGAGTTTGGCAATTCCAGGGATGAAACCATCTAAATGATTGTAGTGAAGGTGTATGGAGTTTAAAAACACAATGGAGCACTTCCTGTATTATCACATGACATCACAAGGTGGGACAGAGATTTCTGTTTGAGACTGATGGAACAGAGCTGCACGTTTCTGATGTCACACATTGGAAGCAACGCAGAAGAACGAAACATTTCAAATTTTCGATTTCAGTGAACAGAGGCCATTGAAAACAACATGACACCATGTTTAGTTTATCATCCAGATCTTATTATACTTCCGTGCTGTAGCCTCACCAGCAGAACGAGTGCGGGGCATCCGATCATGGCGATGGCCGTGGACAGTTTGCGCTTGTTTCCTCCGCTGTACGTCCCTGCGCAGCGGCCGGCGTATTCAGACAAACCCAGCTTCTGAATGCCCCACTCTGCCACCTACAGGACAAAAACAGACCACACAGTCAAAGTTATAAAACACATTGTTGTTTACAGAAAGAAAGGAATCTTTAGCCTGATGCATCATTACAATATCCAAGAATGAAAGTTAGAAAGTTTAAACTGAGCTGAAGTTCTTAGTCGACTTGTAGATGTCTAAGTTCATGTACAAAGTAAAACATAATGAACTCCCTGTTTCTTTGCAGGCAGTGATCACTCAGAGAGAAAGAAAGTAAACACAGTCTAAGGGGCACTTGTTTGTTCAGTAGACCTCATGTAAGAACTAGTCTGAGGGAACACTTTATCAAGCAAAGGAGTTCAATTATGGAACAGTTGTGATGAGCTGAAACAAGCTACTTCTCTTTTACTGTTCAAAATAACCTTTAAATATATTTTATTATGCAAAACTGACTCTTGTGAGCTTCAAGACATGTTAGAATTATGTTACCTCTTCGAAAATATACTTTGAGTTGTGTTTTGTTTCATTCACACGTTTGAGTAACCCTTTATTTTTAGTTTATCTACAGACTGTTTACATCTCCAAAGCTCAAAATGCTCTGTTACACCTTGTGGCATTTGAAGCATTTTGAAGCATTTTGAAGCTCTCAATTTAACAGCTTCGATTTAACAGCTTCCTTTAACTTTCAGTAGAGATTGGCAATTCCAGGGTTGAAATCATCCAAACGATTCTAGTGAAGGTGAATTGAGTTCAATAACACAACTCCAGGTATGTTTTTGAAGAGGATGCAACAGTATAACAGAGATCAGAAAATAATATAATATGGACCTTTAAGAGAGTAGTAATCTAAAAATCTGATTTCAGAATAACTACATTATGATGTATATAGAAATGATCTTAATTGTGTTTTAATTCACCTTATTCCACCCTGCCCACTTTCTAAATGCTCTTAAACAGCTCATACTTGTGGGGGCACTTCCTGTTAAACAAGGATCCCATTAATTTCAATTTGAGAATGGTTTTGCTGTTTAAATATCAGTCAGTTCATTTGTGTAAAAGGTTAAATATTCATGCGCGCTAACAAGTCTCACTGCACCAATTCTCTGAGACGCTTTAACTCTTTCCACCACGAAGACGACATTTGACGACCCCCCTTGTTTCCTTAATGATGTGTTTTGACACCCCCACTGTATCACTAAAGTTGACGACGGTTCCTGTTTTTCACATGTAAACAGAGGCTGCGATAGGCGGGGGCCACTACAACTCATACTAGGCTGACCGATAGGATTCAAAGACGCGTTTTTGCTGATTTTTTTATGAAGTTAATCGAAGTAGTGACGACTTTAGCTTCTGGAAAAAAACACAACACAAAACACGTGCAATGGAAAGATTGTGGCGCGCAGTTTTAGAAATAATGAGGAGCGGACGTATTTTATGGATTACTTTGGAGAAACAGATTTTTATACTGTTTCTGGTGCTATAAAATCTGTTTAAATCCTTTGACAAATATATTTTTATATTTTTTCATGAATATAGTACTCAGAACATGCATATGGGTTTGGTCAAGTGGTAACGGAGGGAAACAGGGACAGATTTTTGACATTCAAATAGCTCTTATTCAGAAACTAGAGGGACTATTGAAATAAGTAAAGTATTAGAATGTAGGAAAGAGTTAACACTCCAACAGGGTAAAGTTAAACCTGTGATATTCTTTCAAGTTGTTGACAAAAAATTAAAAAAAACTCATGTTGGTAATGGAGGGAATGAAATATGCAGCACTTTTTGGGCAATAAATACAAACAGCGATAACTACCAGTTCTCACTTACATATCCTTAACAAACTGGTTTGAATATTTGCTTCATATAGTTTTCTACCATATGGTACAAGATTAGGTTGAAAAACCTCTTACTTTTTGAGTAATGAGATTTTTTATTAAGAAAGGTCATGGTAACTTAGGGAAAAGTAACGGAGGGAAAATTGTGCAAACAAGTAGAAGGTGCATGATTTTGATGATTTGTCAACTTTTTTCTTCCGAATACTTTAATATAACTTCAAAATGAAAGGAAACTATTTCTATAAAATATATCAGTACTTCCAAGCAAATTTTTATCATTTTAAATACTTTTTTTTTTTAATGTACCTTCATCAACAGTTCAAAGATCGAATAACACAAGATATGATGAAATACATCAATTTATTTACATGATTTGCAGGTCTTTGAAATTAAATTTGGGAAATAATTTTTTTCCCATGTTGCATACATGGTCTGTTTAAAACGTATGTAACTTTAGAACCAGAAAAGGTAAATAGTTTCATAAACTAGAGTACATATGCTATCTGCTGAATACATTTTTATATCAGATGCATTAACTTGAATTTTTGGCCTTGCTGTTTACTTCTGCTTGACCCGGCCCATATATCAGGTGCTGTATGTAGTTCTTTTTGTTTTTACTTTTGCACTTGACCAGGTAAACTCTCATTTTCAGTGAGCTGTTATAAACCTGTAAATGAGTTGAATCACATTTAAAAATCCATGAATAAATAGTTCAGAGTCTAAGGTTTCTATAAATACCAAATATGTCTGTGTTTCAATAAAGTTCATGAGTGTGAAAATCATTTATTATCACTGGTGGAAGTTCATTTTCTTTCATGCAATTATGCTGTATGGATAGCCCTAGTAATACATGTATGGGTTGTTCCTAGTAGGCGTATACAGCCTGAATAATGATGGCAAAGTCGACAACATCTTCCGGAACAAGGTGAATAAAATGAATAGTCTAACCTGTCAGAGGCACTTTAGAATAATAATAGAAAAGTGATGAGTCATATTTTAATTTGTCAGTATATGCTGAACTTCTAAATCCACTGGGGAGCTACTTGGAGTGAGGTGGAGAGTCGCCGGTCGCTCTACTCACTCTGGGGATCTCAGACTCGGGCACCCCTCTGAGGCGGGCGTAGAGGTACAGGTGCTCCTGTCCTGTCAGCAGGTCGTCTATGGCGTCAAACTGAGGACAGTAGCCCATGTTCTGGTGCACGTCCAGGATCTGGGTCAGGATACTGAAAACACAATGTCATATGTATATGTATGAACCGACTGCAATAATGTCTCTCCCTTCACTTGAAGTTAAAACGTGTCCGCAGTGTGATGTCTGCGTTTAGGATCAGGAGGTGAGTGTAAGTTTTCGCTCTGGTCTCTGAGATCTGAATAAGGTAAGTGAGGAATAATTTGGACGAGTGTAAACTGTTTAAAACTGTTTAAATCGAGCAAGTTCTGCTTTTAACACAGTAAAAATCAAACTGAATTCCAACACATAAGCGGAGAAAACATGAAAACACAATGCCACAGGCGCCGAAGAGTTTAACCTTCTTTCTGCGAGATAAGAGTCTCTACAGTGCCACCATGTTACCTCAAATAAACAGGAAGTTTATATTTAAGCTTTAAAGTTAATTTCAAATTGCAGTCCTTGCCCTTCATTACAAAACGTTGGCATCAGATCCCCTGCTCCAGCTCAAATTGATTATGACCTTTAAAAACTTTCAAATCGCAAAGCCCCAGTTTTTTGTATTGATTTGTTCCCTCATTGCTTCAGACAGGCACTGGCATATGGCCCAGAGTGTCCATAAATCCATCTGCTATTACCACAGTGAGAAGTACATCTTACTATACTGGATGGAGAAATAACTTTTTTATAGTTGTGTGTAATTGAGATGAGGAAGGGAATTACTATCATAATAATGCATTAGTCTTAGATATCGTTTTCCCAGACGCTCAAAGTCACTTTACAATTTGGTGCATTATTTATTCACTCCGCACTTGGCGGTGTTAAGACGCTATTGTAGCCACAGCTGCCCTGGGGAAACAAGGCTGGACCACAACCTATCACTTATGCACACACCCCATTCATACTAGGCAACAAGGACGAAGTATCTTGCCTCAGGACACAACAACAGTCTTGCCAGTGGTCTCTGATTGAAGTACTAACCGTAGCTTTTGAGATTTGACGAGCTCAGGCTTTGACAAAGAGGAAAAGTATTTATATTTTTATTCATTTATTGGCAAATTGCAGCACACTTTCTGTTTTATATCCGTGTCTTTTCCTGTGAACTGCATTGACTCTGTTATCGCAGCTGTACTCACACTCACCCGTCTCCCTGCCATAGAGGTGAAGTTCAAATATCAGATTAAATTAGAGCTCAAATGCCCCGAGTTAGTGACTTATTGTCCTGGGAGTGTCTGTGTTGATTACGCTGCAGTACCTGTATCCTGCCACAGAGGCCTCCCCTGAGCTCACGTCCGTGTCACCCGTCAACATTTTGAAGGTCGTCGTCTTCCCTGCTCCGTTCACTCCCAGAAGACCAAAACACTGCACCAGAGACAGAGAGAGAGAGAGAGGGAGAGGAGGGAGGAGAGGGGGGAGAGGGCGTTTGGAGTTGTTAAATCCTTTTGGATGAGGTGAAATAATTATTAGTGTTTGAACCCTTGTGTTGCCTGGGTCTTCTAAGAATGTTAAGTAGAAATCCATTGGCTAATTAAACTTTATCAAATATTTCCTGTTGTCTTTGTGTTGCCTTCTGCCTCCTTTAGCAACCTCTACAATTTGGAAAAGTAGCGATGTATGATGCCCAAACTATAAAAAAAAAAAAGTTTGCTTGTTTCCATGGAGATGTTTCAAGACATGTCATCATGTCCCACAGTATGGCATTAAACGTATCCCTCTGGCATTTATTCATTAGGTGGGGTTTTAAGGTGGAAGAAATACTTCAATATCGTGCTTTCTTACTGTAAACTACTTAAATGCCATACTGTGGAACATTCCAGACAAAGCAAAAACATCTTCATGGACACAAGCAGGTGGCCGACCCTCCACCAGAAAAGTTACACAGTGCTCCTTGAAGGACTTAAAGTTAAATTGACTCATCTGAGCTTTAAAGCATGTGTTGTTTCCTCATCAAAAACAAACCTGGAGTTGAGTTTTGTTTCTTTCACACATGTTTGATTAACCCATTATTATGTCATCATCTCCAAAGCTATAAATGCTCTGTTCCACCTTGTGATGTCATGTAGTGGTAGTTTTCGAGTTAACAGCTATCTTTTACCTATGACATCACAAGGTGGAGCACAGTGTTTTTTGTTAAAGAGAAGAACTCAGTCTAAATATGCAGGATTTCTGTTTTAAACATGTGAAAAAAAATTAATAAATAAAAAATACACGCAACTCCAGGTCTGTTTGTGATGAGGAAACAAGATTATAACATAGATCAGAAAACAGTGTAACATGAGCCCTTAAAATAACACACTATGGTCTTATCTATCACTACTCTTTTATAATATTGTGTCCTTCATTCTTAAAATTACATACATTTTTTCTTTTGCTTCATCGTGTTCTCCTTTCAGAATTTTCAGTAGGTCCAGTCTTATTAAACTTGCCCTCTCAAAATTGTCCAACAAAACCAAATTATTAACATAATATAATCTAGTAACACATATTTATTTGTTTTTTTTCTTATACTATCGTCTCAAAATGACATAGTGAATAAAAGCCTACATGAGTCCGTACCTCTCCTGCTGGAACTCCTACACAAATCCTGTCCACCGCTGCCCTCTTCCTGCCCACGTATGTCTGTGCACACAACACAAGAAAAACATCTATTTCTATCAGAATTTAAACAGCTGCTGAACATCTGAATGGGAAAAACTATGAAGGAAAAATCAGCACATTAAATTACAGTTGTTTAAATGCAACAGTCCTTATAGTGTAGGAGGTAAGAAAAAATCAATTCAGTGAAATATCGTGATGCTTCATTGCAGAAATCTCAAACAGAATCAGAACGCATCTGATTTATTAAATATTTTTTCACAAATGAACAACAAGACATTTACATTTCAGTTTTTGGCAACTTTTAATTTCAGATTTTGGACGTTTTAGAGCAGGGGTATCAAACTCAAATTCACACAAGGTCAAAATTAAAGATTGGGCTAAGACATCGGCCAAACTAAATATTTATTGAAAAATGTCTGCATGTTTTCTCTGCTTTCGAGGTATGTAATGTTAAATGTTTTCTTATTAAAATACATGTTTAATAATAGTTTTGCTTAAACATTGAATCCAGAACAATTATAATATAAAATAATAGCAAAATTTTAAATAAATAATGTCTCTATAATCTATCTGTAGTCGGCGGGCAGCTCTAATACGTATTTGATATGATCTCGCGGCCCAAATATAATTATATCGCGGGCTAAATTTGGCCCCCGGACCAGAGTTTGACATGTCTGGTTTAGAACAAGCAGTTTTCTTTTTTTCCCCTCTTCACTCTTCCTCTTCCAGTAACAAATCAATGCGTTCTTCCCATAAGCCCTTGTGTCTCACTTTCTGAAAGTAACATAGTTTTTGTGAAGTTTTGCATTCCCTGCACAGACTTAGCAAGGACACCTCCAGTTCACTGTTGACATTTCTCTGTGGTGAGCTCTGACATTACTGAACTATTACAGAATTTGTCCTTTTTTATCATTATCAGTTTCCTTGGTCAACTCGTCTTGCAGAAGCAGTACGTTAGGCTCTTTTCATTTTATCTCGGCCAGCGTGTCTCTAGTCTGTCCTTCTTAGCTCCTATTGAAACCTCCTTGTGTGGAAGCACAGTCGGACTTGAATAGCCAATACTAACGCTCAGTGTTGAATGTTCAAGTTCACCAGGTCTCAGACTGATGGTAAATAAATTTCTCCTGCCTCAGACATCCAGAGTCTTCTGCTTCTTGGTACAACTCTCAGACTTGTTAGGACAACACTATTTAAAAAATGAGGATAAGAAAAAAGTGAGTGTATTTCTGTTAGAGGAGTTAGTTTATGGAACAATCTGAGTGACAAGTATAAAGCTTTATGTTTTGAAAGATATAGAGCTCTGGAATTAATGAATTATGCATTAACTTTTGTTTGTTTTCATTCATATTTTGCCTCAGTTGTAAATGTAAACTTGTTGTTCATGCACTGCTTTCTTTCTTGGAATTCCGTTATTGTTTAATAGGGTTTGATCCTGTTATTACATGGATACAATGAAATGATAAAATAAAAAAAATATATCAATGAAATGTGTATTTATATCAAATGAAAGAATGAAATGATTAGCTATTTAAATTAAACATAGATTTTGTCTTATGAATTCTCTAATGAATTTTTCTAACAGAAACATATTTGTATTTTAACTTTCAGGGCACTACACAAACATTCATTAGTCACATTCACTATTCTCATGATTTAAAGAAATGTACACATTATATTTCATACAATATTGTTCTTGTGAAGGTCTAGTTGACTATATTATTTGAAGTAATCATTGATAAATCGCAATATATCATCCACTGTTTTAGTATCCGGACATATCGTGATATATTGAATTATTATATTATTATATTCCTAAAAAAATTTATAAATACAAATGCATAGTAATAAAATAAAATAAAAAAATAGGGGTGTAACCTTGGAGAGGTCTCTGATTTGCAGGATGTCCGACTTGCTGCCTCCTTCGTAAATTCTTCGTCGCTCTTCAGCCACATCGTTGTCATCGTCAATAGCTGGTCCTGTGGGTGAACTCACAGGGAACCTAAAAAGAAGAAGTTGTGTTTTAAAAAGATTTTAACTTTATAGTGATGGCTTTTAGTTTACTACATTAAAACTGGATGAATAGATCTGTATATTTTAACAGTGTAATGGCCCATTCAGACCGCGGCGTCAAGGCGTCCAGTTTAGTATCGAGTATACATATATACATATATATATATATACGCCGCAGCAGTTTTCTGTTAAACAGCCAATCAGAGTTCTGTATCCTGAATACTCAGAATACTTTCACACTGAATTGCCACGCGGTTATTCGTTGCTTGTTATGCTTGTATTTATTAGATGAGATAATGTTTTCCTTTGGCTTTAGGAAAGTAACTGGACTCTGAATACAATCAAATGAAAAAGTCACAAACACTGCATATTTACGCTGAGTTCTTCTCTCAAACAGAAAACACTCTGTTGCACTTTGTGATGTCATACGGCAATACAGGAAGTGCTCGACTGCGTTTTTAAACTCCATACACCTTCATCAGAATCATTTTACTTTTAATATTGAACTTACAATAATGGTACAAAAATATTCAGTACTTAAAATGTTGTAGAGGGAAGCAGCATTAAAGAGGAGCATTTTACTTCTATAGGATAAATCCCACATATAGCTCACCATGTTATCTTTTATTGTTTTGAAAATGCTATATTTGCTGGTTTAGAAGTTTTACTTTTGTTCCTTCCTTTGTTCTCCGCACTCCCTCTTCAGCGCGCTGTCACAACACAATCAATGTGCATCCACCAATGAAACTACTGCACATCGCTTCAGGTTTGTCAAGTTCTTGTGTACAGTTTTGTATCATTCTTTTGTATATTTACGGAGAATTGTCGTGTGGGAGCATCGGTGACAAAAACAGAAAGTAGAAGTTGGAAAAGCAGAAAAGTTGAAAGTTTTAAAAAAATAAATACATTTTGCATTATACTCCCTTCAAGGTAAAATATGTCACTTTCTGAAGGTGGCACATTTATATAATTCCATGGAAATAGAAAGTAAAAAACATGCTTAAATCTGAACATTCTTCACTGAAATATATAGAACTTATTTATTTAACTAATATTATGTACCAGACTATCCTGCCCTAATAACTTCATTACTTCATAGCCGTAGTATTCTTGCGTGTCTTACCAGTGCTCCATGAAGAAGCGATACTGAACGAGCAGATTGAGGATAAAGTAAAAGAATCCTTCGACTGCCATAAAAGCCATGTTTTTGCCCACAAAGTCCCATCTGAACGGGTCGGCTGTGTGCTCCTCTCCTGCACAACACAAACACAATGAACTCAGAGAAATATATGAACCTCAAAGACAAAGTTACAGAGATACAGTAGGTTTATATTAAAAAGTTGATGTATTAAATGTGTTTGGGTGCGTTCAAGTGCTTGTTGGGTGTTAGTAATGTCATGATACAAAAATTTTAAACTCATTTTTGATACTAAGGTACAAAGTTATGGACTCTATACCCAATACTGATTCAGATACTAAGATAATAATAAAAAACAGAGACAGTAGAATGTGATTTTCAATATTAAATAATAGTACTTTCTGGGACTTTTTAGTATTGATACTCAGTGGTGGAAGAAGTACTTAATTTTGTTGCTTAAGTAAAAGCACAGATACTGGAAACTATGAACATGTTAAAAATAAATTGCTCAGTCTTCTTAGCAGAACTCAAAATATTATATAAATACTTTTACCTTTCAGTCCAGTTAAAAAATATAGTAGAGTAGGAAGTATCCACTTTAATAGTAATAGTAATAAGTAAAGTACGGTTATTTTTTTCCTTAAGTGTAGTACTTTACTACTTTTGTGACATTACGTTCCACCATTGTCTATACCTGCTCACATGAGTATCTAGTTTCAGTTTAAGTATTGATTAGGAAGTGATTTTTGATACTTTTGAGAACCTAAAGTGAGCCTGGTTTAGACCTACATGTAAACTTGTTTTGATTTGTTCTAGTCCTGGCTTAGTCCTGGTTTAGTCCAGTTTTACTTCTTGGTATAGTCCTGGTTTAGACATTCTTTTTCCTTGATATAAACATAAAAATCTAAAATAAAGTTGCCATTACTTGATTAAAATCCTTACCAAATCTGGCGTAGACCTCGGTTACGGCCTGGTTCATGGCCATGTCGATCAGACCTCGTCCCAAACAGAAATGAGGGAAAATCAGCAGGAACTTCTTTAACCATTCATTAAACGCCAGCAACGACTGTCAACACAAAAAATACAACATTAAAAGCAGAGTAAAGGATAAACAGGGAGATAGATAAAACAAATAATTTTAAAGTGGGATTAAACCTAAACCTAAACACCTAAACTCCACCCATAACCACATGAACAGTACCTGGAGGACTAAAAAGGAGAGTGAGAGAAGAGGAGGGGCGGGGTCTAGAGATACAAGGAACAGTGTGATTGGTCTAACAGGTATCTACACTTATAATCTAGACAGTTCTGTGTGATGTGACCAACTACTGGAAACTGCAGAGGCCACTGGACGCAGCACAAACTTTTTTTTATGACCAGAAGGCTGCAAATTTACCTGGTTTGCGCTAAAGTTACCAAAAAAAGCTTTAGTATTTTGTGTTTAGTTCCACTTTAAAAGCTCTATACCAGATTTTGTTCCATGTGTTTGAGCATAATTTGTACAGACACACTGTAGAAGGAGCTCTTGAGATCGAAATAAGTCTGCTGTGTAGCTGTGCGAGTCTAATTATAAAGCTTTTTGTTGTCTGAGAGTCAAGGAGAGCGTGATTGTCATGTTAGTTGTTGTTAGTGTTACTGTGCACACTCTGTAAGTTGTGAAAAGTGCCTATAAACTCATCAAAGTGAATAATTATAATGTTCAGAATGCATAAGGGAAGTGAGGAATGACTTTGGATCATTTCAAACCATTTAAAATGAACTAGTTTTGTTTTTTACTTTGGCATTTGCAGACAAGATAATAAAACATAATATTACTTAAATTAGAAAGATTTTGCAAAATTTTAAGTTTTCAAATTGCAAAACATGACTGTGATAGAAAAAAAAAACTGCTTTTAAAAACTCTGGTCTGAAATAGAGTCAACACATATAGGCACAGTAGGGCTGTACTAAAACTAGTATCGAAACTCACAGGACAGAAATAGTTTTAGAATGATCATGAGCTGTATCAGAAGAATAAAACCTGGACAACTGAGGGATTACACAGATATAAGACTACTTGGTAATATAAAAGAAAATACTACAGTTTAATGTTGAAAAGAAATTATTATGGGATTGGAATCAGTACTTAGTATCGAGTCCAGAGGTGGAACCAAGTCGTTGTTTTGCAAGTCTCAAGTAAGTCTCAAGTCTTTGACCTCAAGTCAGAATCAAGTCCCAAGTCAAAAACAAGAAAGTCCAAGATGAGTCTCAAGTCACTGGCCCATAAGTCTAAGTCAAGTCCAAGTCATTACAAGTCTTTAAACCAAAGTAAAAAGTCATGGTATATTTATATGTGAGTATTTATAAAGTAAAGTTTTCCTTTATAAAAGTCTTGACAAAATCTTAGTTTGAATCATTACGGTCAGAACAGAAAGAATTAAGATTTAAAAGTGTTTAATAACAGTTATTGTGTCATGTTTTACTGTATATACTGTATATTTCTGTATATTACTGTAGTACATTTGAATATCACAGTACTTCAGTTATGTCCAAAGTAACTGGGACATGTTCCAGTTTGTTCCTGTAAAATTCAGCACCACATTTATCATCTGTAAAGAGAAAAGTATTTTCTTAAAACATGTCACAAGTCACAGGCCTCAAGTCCGAGTCGATTCCCAAGTCTTAGTTCATTTTATCAAGTCAAGTCTCAAGTCCTGAGTTTGAAATTGAAGTATTATGAAAGTACAGACGCACAGCACACTCATGTTACTGCAAAGAAAAGCTAACATAGGAGACAAACAGAGGAAGGTGAAATATATATAGTAATAAAAAAAAACAAATACATGTCATAAATGCAGCAGAATGACTCATGAGTTGGTTTGTTACAAGAATACAGATGTACAGAGGGGAGCATATGGAGCTGAGGATACATAGTTAGGACCTAATCAATCTATTATTCTGTTATGGTGTAATCTTAATATATAAATTTTATTCACTGTACATATTTATAAAGGTGGAATTTCTCTTGTAAACAGTTTTTAAATCGCTCTTGTGTGTGTAGAAGATACAGCAGCAGATTGAAATAAGAATGACTACTGAGAATGAATAATCCACCATCTTTATCTTTAATAGTGACTTCATTTGTGGTAAATATATATCGTAGTGTGTCGTGGTTTGTGTCTTTTGTCGTTTTTTGGCAATTTAAATCTTTGCGCGACACGTTTAAGGTTTTGTCCTTTATTTTGATCAGTCTAATCGTAATTACTGGGCAAAATAAAGTTTACCTCTTGTTGCTTTACATACACTGGCAGTCAAATGTTTGGACGCACCCGCTCATTCAATGTTTTTTTTTTGTTTTTTTTTCTACATGTTTACTACTTTCTACATTTGATATACATCCAGATTATGTAGCAAAGAAAAAAAAGTCAAATAACTGTTTTTTTTTCTTTTTTCTTACTACTTTCTACATTTTAGAATATACACAGAATACATCAAATATATGAAACAAGATTTATGGAATTATTCAGTAAAGAAAAAACTTAAATAACTCTACTAAATATTTTTCAGCAAAGCAAAGGGTGGCTAATTAGAGGACTTGAATATAAGTTTTTTGTTGATACATTATTCCATATATCTTCATATGTAAAGTCATATATTTATTGTTTTCTGTATGTTTATAAAATAGCGACAGTAGTAAACGTATAAAGAAAAAAACATTGAACATTTACGAGAGAGTGTGCACTTTCCCGTGTATTTTATTGGAAAGAATAATCGCTAAAGCTTAAGTGCGGGTTTCTGTGAGATTAGGGTCCTGACTCTTCAATCTGGGAAAAGCAAACATTCCTCATCATTTCGTATCAGACCATCCAAAAAAAAACTCTCCCCATGCCAACCCTTCTCTCCCATCTCTTTCTCTCTCTCCCTTCTCTCCAGACTTGTATATCATGCTCCATTTGTCCAACTGTAGAAAGTAAAATTATAAACTAGAAAAAACTAGCACAGATCTTTGGTTGTCATCCCAATCTCAATCAATATGTCAGTAAAGCATATTGAACGCCTCCTCACCACAGATACAGTAGATATCACCATAAACAACCAAACACTTGAGACTTTGAAATATCTCAGGGTCATGACTGAAAACTCATTTACAATTGACCAGCACATCACAGACATACACAAAAGAAGCCAGCAACGACTGTCGATAATTACAAAACTCAAAAGGATAGGAATGTAACCGTATCTAAATCTCTCGGTACGACATTATCACGATATGTATCTCACAATATGATATTTATTGCGATATTTTGAAGAGGGTGATATAAATGTAGATGGGATGCTTTTTTGCTTTTAAAATACCTTGACAAGATTTTGTTGTGAATTATTTCTGTCATAATCCCGAGAATTCAAGTAAAAAACATATTTCTTCATGTTGTCTGCGCTGAAATGAATCGTGGGAAATGTAGTTCCCGATGTTTATAAGCTGTTAGTATTATAAAACAATGCATTTAAGCAAAGGAACTTGTAATTCGATATACTCTGAGAGCCCACGATATTATTGTGAGACTTTTGATGATACGATATCACGATATTTCGGTTATTGTTGAATCCCTACAAAAGATTATGTTTATCTGCGTCTCTGGATGGAGATACTGTATTTTCCCATATTAACTGTTACGTTCTTGCTCAAATCTCTCTCTCTCCTTCATTTATTATTATTAATTAGCAAAGATGTGTTAGTTGCAGTTAGAAATGACAATTCAGGGAGTATTTCAGAAAACAGCACAGACAAAGAATGAGCGTTTACAAAAAATAATTCAGCAACACATGATTGTTACTGTTAATAAGCCATTAACAACAAAATAAGAGTGAGCATTAATAAGCTGCTTATTACTCTATTATCAACAAACCAAATTTCATAGACTGTATATATAAATGGACAAAAAGGAAGTTCACATGTGGGTTCTTCCAACTCCTACTGACCCTGGCTCTCATTTACTAATACTGGAATATTGTGGCCTCTCTCTCTGTAACTGCTGCTGTGAGCCTCGTCATTTTGGTCATATTCCCACAAGAAATGAAATGTCAGCTGAGTTTTTACCCTGTTGTTCTCAAAGAGCTCCAGGACGAAGGTGATGGCGCTGCTGTTGATTCCGATGAACAGGTTTATACAGGACAGAGACACGTAGGCTGTACTCGGGACGTTAAAGATGTAGGACATGGGGTACATCATGGGCGTCACTGACCACCTGCAAAAACAAGATCAGGTTAAACTTTTACTACTTGGATCTTAACACCACAAGAGTTGTTTGGCCCTCTATGTATTTTATTCATTTTATTTATTTATGTATTTATTCTTTTTATTTATTATATATTGGATCCTTTTAGACATTGACCACTGGGGGTTTTCAAGGCCAACACCAATATCGATTGTTTAGAATACAGAGCAACTGACAGATAAACTCAGATATTTTTGGGCCAATATGTAAGGCTGGTTTTGATAATTTTTCCCAAATTATGCAATTTAAATATGCTACAAACTCCCCTCAAGCCCTTTTTTCCAGAAACCTGTAAGAAAGGCTATGTAGTCATGGCAAAAGAGAAATTCAATTTGTCAACTGGACAGAAGTTTATTTGGTCGAATTTCGCTGCTTCTTCAGTTCTGGTCAGACACTGGTGGATGAGCTGCGAAACGTTTTCGACCAAATAAACTTTTGTCCAGTTGACACATTTAATTTCGTCTCTTGCCATGGATTCCACCTGGACGACTGAGGGATTGTACCCACAACCTGTGTACTGTATTTTACGGGCTATTAGGCGCTCTGGATTATAAGGTGCACTGTCATTAAATGGTCTATTTTTGAACTTTTTTCACAAATAAACTGCACTGGACTTTAAACAAAACACAACAGTTGGATGGGTCAGTGGGACTTTGTTTGTTGCGTTCACGGTGACTCTGGGCTTTGTTCAGTTGTGGCGTGTAGGGAGGGTGCTGTCTGGGACCGCTGGATTGTCGGCGCGTTCATAGTGACTCAGTTGTTCAGTTGTGTCTAGAAGCGGCACGTTGCACTCGCTTTTTCGGTTCGTTCCTCCGTTCCGTTCCTTGTCGACGTGGAGTGATGAGTGTGTCTGTGGGTGTGTTTCGGTCGCTGTCTGCTCCGTGTGTGTTTGTGTGCGCTGCAGGTGGTGCGGCTTTGTAGTTGACTGAAGTCGTGCTGGGACCCCCGAGTGGATTCGTGTATGGGGCGCTCTGGATTGTGGGGCGCGCGATCGTTTTTTTATGGATTTATGAGTGCGTCTAATAGTCCGGAAAATACGGTAGTCATGTTTTTTTGCAGTTATCTCTGTGTAAATTTTTTAGGCAGCAGATTAACCAAAACTAAATAGTAAAATATCAGTCTGATGTCAGTCTATCTCTAATTTCTTTAGTCTGGAACTTTTTTTTCTGAAAATTCAGCTGACTTTTAGATGTAAATGTTTGTTTCATATTGCTTTTATGTGCAACACTTAAATGTGCTCTTACTTTATTCTATCAGTACAAAACAATACAAGTTCTTTTGCAACCATCTTTTAATTATAAGAAAACAAATAATCTATTATTAAAATGACGCCAGGGTATGGTGTGTGATAGACGATGATGTTTTCCCTTAATAGAAAAGAAACTGTATTAATTGAGTATAATTCCCATATCTAGTGTCTAGTGTGTGGCATTGTTATTAATTTTACTTTACTTTACCCTTCCAGCTGGCATCAAATTGTCTTTCCTCCACAGAATGAACTAAAGTCTTATAAAGAATGATAAATTGTCTTTCTTACCCGTAAAGGAGCAGCAGTGTTATCAGCGCTGGCAGGTTTGTTGGTGAAGTGTAGCATTTCTTATCAAACGCCATAAAGATCCCCACCACCATCGCTGTGCTCAGACAGTAATTTACCTAAAAGAACAAGTTATTACTGAAGTCATAAACACAAATAACAGGGATGGGTAAAGTGACCAAAAATTGCTTTCAGTGTTAAATTCATAAAAAGATAGACACATTTTTGACATTTGCCATTTAACAGTGTGAGAATAGTGTAAATTTCCTCTTCCAAAGTCTAAATTCTGCTCCAAACCACTTGCTTTTACTGACAGAGGATTGGCTGTAGCTGATCATTAATGCTTGTATCTTGTTTTGATTAAAATATTATTTGCACAGGCCTAATTTATAATGTGTATAATATTGGTTACCATGGACACCACTGGTTAAATGCACCGACTGCAGAACCCGTTACCCAGAGCTGGGATCAAGTCTTTTTGCGAGTCTCGAGTATGTCTCAAGTCTTTGACCTCAAGTCCAAGGCAAATACAGGCAAGTCCAAGTCAAGTCTCGAGTCACTGGCCCATGAGTCCAAATCAAGTCCAAGTCGTCTGAATTGAGCTTCAAGTCATTTCAAGTCTTTAAACCAAAGTACCAAATATAGCTTAGAATTTTGCAATTTATATGAATCTTAAGATAAATTCTACTTCTATTCTACTTCTATTCTAGTATATGTATATATGAGTATTTATGGAGTATGTAAGAGTTGTAGAAATGTCAATTTTTCCTTTATAAATGTCTTGACAAGATCTTTTTTTTTTTACTAAAAACAGAATATAGCATTTAACAAAATACAATAATCAACATAAAAACAAAACACAAAAACATAGAGCAACACCCACACCAAATACAAAACAACAACAAAAAATGTAAAATAAATAAAAATAATAATAATAACAAAAATTTAAATAAAAAAATCTTGACAAGATCTTGGTGTGAATCATTACAATCAGAACAGAAAGAATTCAGATTTAAAAGTGCTTCTCAAGTTTTCTCAAGTCACTGACCTTCAAGTCCAAGTCGAGTCCCAAGTCCATTTTATCAAGTCCAAAAAATAGTGACTGAAGTCTGACTCAAGTCCAAATCACGACTTGCACGTCCCCACCTCTGCCGCTACCACTTTCCAAACAGGATGTGTTTATGGGGACGTTTCAGGCTCCATCGACTCCACTGGAAAATTGTCACCCCCCTCTCTGTAACTGCTGCAATGATCCTCGTCATTTTGAGCTTAAAATGTTCACATTAACCCTATTTACATGATCCTGGTTGTTTTATTACGCTATTTTGACTGGATTTGAACTCTATACTCCACTTCTCTTACATGCAAGGATCACTGATTTTTCATCTCATTTCATATTATTTCAGTTGTATAAAAATAATAAACATTTAAATGAGAAAAATAGTGGTTACCATGTCCCATATGAAGTTGGCGATCCAGTAAACCAGAGGGCTGACCCCGCTGACAAACTGCAGGTGTTTGGCTTTAGTGACGCGCTCTTGGATCAGGTACAGGACGAAACTGGCCGGAACAAAGGACATGGCGAAAATAACGCAGATGGCAACAACCGCATCTACTGACGTCGTTAATCTGAGGAGAAAGAGGGAGAGAGAGAAAAATCACATTATTTAGCTGTTATAAGTCTATTAAATTGCAACATACTGACTCTGAACAATGTATTGAAATTTTACCATGGAATTGTGTGTGTATAATATATGTTCATCTAATTTATGCAAAGATTTATTTTCATTTTGCAATTTAATTTCTCTGACTTTGTAGTTGATTTTTACTAATATGTCTACAGTAATATTCACTGATTTTGCCTTTTGTCATGTGTGAAGAGTCCGTGTATCATTCATTCATATGTTTTTCAAAATAAAACCAAAAATAAGAAAATGAATTAACAACAATTTTCTTCATTATTTGTCTCCAAAATCAAAAGGAAAAACAGATAAAGATTTGTTTTTTCAGTCCTGGTCTCAGTCCCGATCTGGTCCTGATCTGGTCCCAGTCTGGTCCCGGTTTGGGTCCAGTCTGGTCCCTGGTTCAGTCCCAGTCCCGGTCTGGTCCTGGTCTGGTCCCGGTCTCTGGTCCCTCCTGGTCTGGTCCCGGTCTCAGTCCTGGTCTGGTCCCGGTCTGGTCTGGTCCTGGTCTGGTCCCGGTCTCAGTCCTGGTCTGGTGGTCTGGTCCCTGGTCTCAGTCCTGGTCTGGTCCGGTCTCAGTCCTGGTCTGGTCCCGGTCTCAGTCCTGGTCTGGTCCCGGTCTCAGTCCTGGTCTAGCCCCGGTGTGGTCCCGGTCTCAATCATGGTCTGGTCTTGGTCTATAGTCCCGGCCTCAGTAATGGTCTCAATCCTGGTTTGGTCCTGGTCTCAGTCCTGGACTCAGTCAGTCAGTTTTTAAAATTTTCTTATTTTTGGTTTTATATTGAAAAACAAATGAACGAATGATACACGGACTGTGATGGACTGAATGTTATTGTGTCTATGTCCTGTTTTTTGTCTTGCCATCAACCTGAAAATGAGACTACGGATGAAAATTTGCCTACAGGGCAACTCCACCACATTTACATTTACATTTACTGTACTAACACAAGTTGATCAATGTGCTCTGTCCCACATTTAATAAATAAACATAAACATAATTACTTTTACTCAAATCAAATTCTCTAAGATGAATGGGATCTTATGAGCATCAAATTTGGTGAATATAAATTAATCCAAGATAAATTAAAAGTCTTGTTGTGTTGTGTTTTGTTTTATTTACACATGTTTAACACACAAAACCTACATATTTGGGCTGATTTCTTCTCTCAAACTGAAAACACTCCTTCTGATGCCGTGTGGTAATCCAGAACGTGCTCCACTGTGTTTTCTGTGTCTGCCATTTTGTGTTTGTATTTGTGTGTGTGTGTGTATGAGTGTGTAGCTTTGTAGTTTATTCTGTTTTGTGCCTTTTTTTTTTTTTCTTTTTGGTCAGTTGATTCTGTTTGTGGACTTATGTGGTTTAATTTGGGGAACTTGTCTTTTAGTTTGTGTGTGTCCCTTAGTTAACCACTCATTTTTTCTATAACCCTGCGTGGGAGATAACCCTGGCTACGCTGGAGTCACTTAAGTGTAAATGGGAGGAGGATTTGAGTAAACAAATTTAAAAAACATTATTCAGAGAATTTTTTCTTCATCAATTTGCCTTAGACATGTGGTGATTCAATTTAAAGTGGTACATCGCCTCCACTGGTCAAAAACCAAACTAAGTAAGATCAAAAACGGGTTTGACCCTTGTGATCGATTGCCTCTTTATTGCATATGTTTTGGATTTGTCTAAAATTGAGTAATTTCTGGAAATGTGTATTTGATGCTCTCTCTAAAATATGTGGTAAAGTGCTGGCTCCCTGCCCATTCGTTGCAATTTTCGGAGTGACTGCTGGTTTACATGTGACAGAGGGACAGGCTAGTCTGGTGGCTTTCTGCACACTGTTAGCTTGTAGGAGGATTTTACTGAACTGGAAGGAGCCACAACCGCCTTCATATGGGCTCTGGGTCAGGGATGCCATGTACTACACTCAATTGGAGAAAATCAGGTATACAACCAAAGGCTCAGTTAAAAAATTTTTATACAATTTGGAATCCATTTTTGTCTTATTTCCAAACCATGGAAGCAAGGGAAATTGTATAAATGTAGTTTTTTTTTTTTTTTTAGTTTATAGTTTTTTTTATATGTAGTAATTTTATTTTTAAATTTTTTTAAATTATTATTTTTATTTCTTTATTCATTAATATTGTTATTATTATTATATTACAATTTATTTTATTTATATCATTTATTTGTATTTATTTATTTTTATGATGTCTATTTTCTTTTGTCATTATTTATCAATTTATATCATCAGTGTTTACTTCTTGTACCTGTCTGGCTTATGTTCTCATGTTTATAAATTGAGGGTGGGGTTCTAGGGAGAAAAACTTAAAAATGAAAACTTGTTGTGTAACGTTGTTACAGAATATTTTTGTGAAATAAATAAACCTTGAACAAAAAAAAAAAGAAAATAAATAAATAAACATAATCTAATTTTAATATTATTGTTCCATTTTCCATCTTGGTTATTTTTGTTACTTCCCTTACCCCAAAAGAGCTGGGTCGTAACAACCTTCACTAGAATAATTTGGATAATTTCAGCCCTGGAAATGCCACTTACTACTTGAATACGACCTCCTGACATCAGCAGTTTTAGTTTTGGAGATGTAGGCAGACTAATAAATAAAGGGTTACTCAAACATGTGTGAATAAAACAAAACACAACTCCAGGTTTGTTTTTGAGAAGGTAACAACATTATAACATGACTTAAAGCTCATAAGAATCAATTTTGTTTAACATAGGGCCTTTAAGTGCAGTGTTGGGAAGGTTACTTTTAAAATGTATTCCCCTACAGATTACAGATTACATACCCCAAAATGTAGTTTGTAACGTAATCCATTAAATTACTTAAAGTGAGTAACGTAATCTGAATACTTTGGATTACTTGATTTTCTGTAGAGAAGCAAAGACTCGGATATCTTTACATAAGATGTTTTATCTGCTAAAAAAAAAAAAAAAGTCCAGACTTTACTGAACCAAATTAAAAATATTATTGACAGAAGACGAGGAGACACGGTCCACACAACATGGTTTCGTCCTGTTAAATCCTGTTTTCGTCCTGGTTTAGTCCTGTTTCTGGTTTAGCCCTGGTTTAGATCTAGTTTACATCTAGTTTACCTGGTCCTGGTTTAGATCTAGTTTAGACCTGGTTTACCTAGGTTTACCTGTTTTAGACCTGGTTTAGTTTAGACCCTAGGTTAGACCTAGTTTAGTTTAGACCTGGTTTTTATACTGGTTTAGTTTATACCTGGTTTAGACCTGTTTGATCTAGTTTAGACCTGGTTAGTTTACCTGGTTTACCTGGTTTCGTTTAGACCTGGTTTAGACTGGTTTAGTTTACCTGGTTTAGTACCTGGTTTAGACCTGGTTTAGACCTGGTTTATCTGTTTAGACCTTTAGTTTACCTGGTTTAGTTTACCTGGTTTAGACCTGGTTTAGATCTGTTTAGACCTGGTTTAGACCTGGTTTAGACCTGGTTTAGTAGTTTAGACCTGGTTTAGACCTGTTTAGTTTAGACCTGGTTTAGTTTAGACCTGGTTTAGTCTAGTTTACCTGTTTAGACCTGGTTTACCTGGTTTAGTTTACCTGGTTTTACTTTAGACTGGTTTAGACCTGGTTTAGACCTGGTTTAGAGTTTACCTGGTTTAGACCTGGTTTAGATCTAGTTTAGACCTGGTTTAGACCTGGTTTAGACCTGGTTTAGTTCTGGTTTAGACCTGGTTTAGATCTAGTTTAGACCTAGTTTTACCTGTTTAGACCTGGTTTAGTAGTTTAGACCTGGTTTAGATCTAGTTTAGACCTGGTTTAGACCTGGTTTAGTTCTGGTTTAGATCTAGTTTAGACCTGGTTTTAGTCCTGGTGTAGACCTGGGTTCAGTCCTGTTTCAATCCTGAATTAGTCCTGGTTTAGACTTGGTTAAAAAAAAAAAAAAAAAAAACTACCACTCATTGAAACAGTCACTGTAACTGAATACAGTTACTCATAATTTGTACTCTGATTACGTAACTCCAGTACATGTAATCTGTTACTCCCCAACACTGTTTACGTGTATGTAAAATGTCATTGAATTTCCTTTAAAAACAATTACTTTTCTTATTTCACTTTAATGCAACATTTACTCTTGTGAGCTTGTGTTTGAGAGATGAACTCAGCCTAAATATGCAGAATTTATGTGTAACAAAACAGAACTCCAGGTAAACAACAATTATAACATAGAAAACGGCGTAATATGGGCCCTTTACATTTATGATTAATGCTTGTTTTTACTCACACGGTGACTTCAGACAGCTGCTCCTTGGTCAGGTTGAGCGGGTGATTGACAGCCGTGATGCCGTACTCCACAGGTTTGGCGTGAGGGGGGAGGAACGCGCGGAGAATGGCATTGTTGGCCACGTTCAGGAAGGACACCATAGCATGCCAGCCTTTGTTATTGTACCAGACCTGTCAAAGCAGCACAGCCCGGGTCACAACAAACCTGACGAGGTAATTACGGCCCCGTCTGACAATGTGGGGAATGCGGGTGACCCTGGAGCTATAGCGAATGTTAATATATAAAAGCCATTATAACTGTCATTCACTGTCATTAGAGTATGGAGGGTATGGGATGATTTAGCACAGAGTTGTTAGCTACACCAGGGATAAGATTACACCGTAGACTGTATAGAAATGGAGATAGTTTGCCTGCTACCTGCTGCTTTCCAAATAGGACATGAGCTCCATCACCTCTGGCTCCAATTAACTTTACATTGAAAAACCGTCTCCCTTCTCTCTGTAACTGCTGCAGTGAGTCTCGTCATTTTGGTCTTAAGATGTTCGTATTAACCCGCTCTGGACGATCCTGATGTTTTTATTTCACTATTTTGTCTGTGATTCCAAACATAGAGGTCGGCTCCAAATTCGCCCCTATAACTGCAGGCCTCAGTGAGTTTCATTTGACTGGAGCCAAACACTACGGGTGACGTCACACTCATTTAGTCCGTTGTTTCTCAGTAGGGCCAGTATTTTTCTATGCTTATTCCTTTCACTACTAGCCCGATTCATCAGCCAGTTTCACTTCGTAGAAACCGTCTGACCTCGCAGCATTAGGATTTGTTCGCTCGACGGCAGGTGGGAACTTTTTTTATTTAACCAATTGCAGCTATTTGGTCATGATGTATGTAATGCGCCGCTAAGCTTTTCTCAAATCCCATAGGAAGAAGGGCAATAACATCTTTCCCCTTCCCCTAAAAGTCACCAAACATTCTCTTAGTTCCGACTTTAAATCCTCGATCTCGGGAATCGTTGCCAACACAGAATGTATGGCTCTTTGCTGATTGGCTGTTGCCCGGACTCGCACTTCTGGGGTTCTTGCAAACCGTCTTGTGTATTCTGATTCCTGACCTAGTCGCTGGAGAGAAATGAAATTGAGCGGAGGCACTAGGTGGCGCTATTTCACTACTACATATATGTGTGAATTGGGATTTTCTGTGCTCACAAAAATGAAGACAAAGCAAAGAAACAGACTGAATTCTGCACTTGATCTGTGTGTTGCGCTCTCCTCCTGCACCCCGGACTGGAACGCTCTACAAAAACGCAGGCAGGCCCACCTGTCTCATTAGAAATGGGGATGTCACAATATCCAAATCTCTTGAAACGATATTATCACAATATGCATCTCACAGTACAATATTTGTTGTGATATTTTGGGGTGCTAATATAATTGTAGACAATATTTGGTGCAAATCATTACTGTCATAATCCCAAGAATTCAAGTAAAAAACATATTTCTTCGCGTTGTCTGCACTGAAATGAATCATGGGAATATGTAGTTCTCTATGTTTATAAGCTTTTGCTACTATAAAACAATACATTTAAGCAAAGGAACTTGTAATTCAATATATAGATGACACCAGACGATAATATTGTGAGACTTTTTACGATATCACGATATTTCAGTTGTTATTATTATTCGGTATTGTTCCCTAGTTGAAATGTTAAGACATTTTTGTATAATTTCTAATGTTTTGGAATTATTTTATTGACTATTTTCCAATATTGTTGGTTCAACTGAATGTTGAAAAGAAAAAGAAATGGGCTACATAGGCGACTTATGGATCCTTTTATTGCTGGTTCAATTACTGTTTTTCATTGTTTAAAACTTGAGTAATACTAATTGTTCAGAGAGACATGATCACTCAGTCAACAATAAAATATCCTTATTAATATCCAATAATGGTCAAATCCACCTTTATTTTGTGATTTACAAATAATGTCTATTGACTTGGGTTGCGGAGGTTTGCGACTTTTAAAATATGAGTCCCCCAGAAACACTGTCCAGTTCTTCATACAGTCTGTGGATAACAATGATTGAATTTTTTTATTCCAAATTGGGATAAGTAGAATGAATATTGTTTTTCTTAAGTTTAAGTTGGCAAAATAACAATAACAAAATAAAAAAATAAAAAATAACAGATGCAATACTTTGTAGCTGATGCCTTTCCTGGGAGTGTGATACTAACTGGAGACAATGCTTTGTCTGAAGCTCAAGTTAGACTTTAATTTGAGTTAGTTTGATCTTATCTGACCTTGTAAATCTTTTTTAAAAGACGGTAAATATTTTTTGAAAGATGATATTACTTCTGAAACTATCTCATAATACTGGTTTCTGTTCCTATCAGAGAAACATTCAATACCTTTATATTGTATTCACTTTCCATGTACTTCAAGAATGGTCCAATGTTCCTCAAGGCCAGTCTGGAGTAGCGGCCCTGTCACACATAATGAAGAGGAGAAATGAAGCTGATTATTACTGTAATACTGTAATCTGTGTGAATGTAGCAGCAGCAGGGATATTTACCGCTGTGATGTTGAGCATTCGTCCGAGCTGAGAGAAAGCCTCCTGGATGTCACTTGGTTTGACGTCCAGTATCGGAAGCTGGCCTCCTATAGACAGACCTCCATATCTGAATACAAAGGAGACTTTTATTAAAATTAAATTTGATTACAAAACTAGAGATACTAATCTGTGTATCATTCATTCATTTGTTTTTCAGTATAAATGATTTGTTTTTTCAGTTTTTGATTTTGTGTTTAAATGAATTATTGAAGAAACTGACTGCCGTTTCCCGTTTCCGTGACTTAAACTGCGAGGCCGGACTTTTGCGCCGCATACGGACTGATCCAGGACTGAACCAGGACTGAACCAGGATTAAACTAGGACTAAACTGTTTTCAATCCAGTCTGGTCCTGGTCTGGTCCTGGTCTCAATTCCAGTCTGGTCCCGGTCTAGTCCTGGTCCCCGTCTGGTCCCAGTCTCAGTCCTGATCTGTCAGTCTTGGTTCTGGTCTCAGTCCCGGTCTGGCCCTGGTGTGGTCTCGGTCTCAGTTCCGGTTTGGTCCCTGTCTCAGTCCTGGTCTCGTCCTGGTCTCAGTCCCGGTCTCAGTCCCGGTCTCAAACATGGTCTGGTCCTGGTCTAAGTCCTGGTCTCAGTCCTGGTCTGGTTCCAGTCTGGTCGTGGACCTGGTTCAGTCCGTATGTGGCACAAAAGACCAGCGTCGCAGTTGAAGTCACGAAAACGGGAAACGGCCATTATCCGTTTTTTTCCATTATTCATTTAAACACAAAATCAAAAACTGAAAAGACAAATCATTATCCGTTTTTTCATTTTGGTTTTGGAGACAAATAATGAAGAAAATAGTTTTTTCATTTTCTTATTTTGGTTTTATTTTGAAAAACGAATGAACGAATGATACACGGATTGATACTGTATATTATTACACAGATCATATTTATCTGAACTGAGAATGGACTAAGCAACACTTTCACTGTTTCAATGTCTGGGAGTATACTAAAACTAGTATCTGAGCACGTAGCATGTAGCAATTCTAAAAAAGTCACATTCACAGGACAGAGATGAACCTTTCCTGAATAGCTTTAGAATGACTAGTAAACGCCGATGGACCACTATGGAACCTACCTGGACCACTGAGGGATTACACAGATATAAGCCCACATGGTAATATAAAAAGCAAGTACTATGATTTGGTGTCGAAAATTGCATTCTATAGTCTAAATTCTAAAGCAGGTGTCTCCAGTCTATAGCTCCCCACACCCTTCCTAGTAGCTCACCAAGGGATTTCTGAATTATACCATTGTGCTCAATAACTAAAATGTGGTTAATTACATGCCTATTACAATTTTACGTGTCATTTTGAAGCCCGACTTTGTGCACTAATAAATTGACAATGGTTTGTGTTTTATAGGCGTCTAACTGTACAAAAGGCTCGCCCTCTTTCTTATAATTGTTTCAACTTCTTGCAGCCATTAAAATGAGAAGCTCTCTGGCAGTTTTGTTTTTTAAAGCTCGTTGGAGGAAAAAGATTGAAGACACCCGGTGTGTTGTTTGTTCCTTTGAATCAAAATTGAGTTTGAATTTTTTGTATTGTGACACAAGTGCAATGAAGTTATTATTCCAATCCTACTTGGGGAAAAAAAAAACCTTGACATTGTGAAAAATTAATTGAATTTGTATTTTTCTGGTTAGAAATTCAGAAAAGTCAGGCAAACTACATCTCAGTTAATTGTACTCATTGCTATGTTCATTCTAACTTTTGGGGAGGTGAGAAAAGTGTTAATTCAGATTCGGAAACCTTTTGATACTTGTCGTAAAATTACCTTTGCTCATTGACCCAATATTTGCTCTTCAGACTGTAAAAAGACAGAAAAAAGTTGTAAGCAAGATTCGTCAGACACATTTTTCTTGATTTATTATAGACTTCCCCACCTGGTCCTGATGAGGCTGGGGTAGGTTTTGACCAGATAATCCGATATATTCCTCTCAGTGAGATCTAACATGGTGTCCCCACTTCGCTCCTGCCGCTGTTTCGGGGGCGGTCCTCCTGCTCCGAGGGGACACACGGGCATCATGGTCAAACGCTCGCTGCCGCTGCACTCACAGGAGGGGGACGGGTCCAGAGTCGACCAGTCAGAGAGAGAGAAAACAGTGGCGAGCTCCGGGGAGATGTCCGGGTACACCCACTCTGAAGTATCGTTACTGCAGGACATTCTGGGAGGAGACAGAAAAGACGGATGGTTATAAAGATTCAATATGCATTAGGGTTGCCAAAAGTATCGAAAATCAGATACTAATCGATTCTAAAACTAGTGTTGAAACTAGAAAGTACAATAATTTTATGTTGAAAATCACATTCTATTGTCTAAATAATTAGTTAGCAGTTATTTATTATCGTTGTAGTATAAGAATCTGTATTGAGTATTGAGTCTATTCTTTGGTATCGAAATAGAAATTGAAATTTAAGCATTGAATATTATAAAAATTGTAATGGGTTCAGTTCTGTGCATACACAATAAAAGCAAATATTATATGTAAATACTAACTGAGGTATCAAAAAGTACTGATTCTCATGCAAAAAATATCAATACTTACATTTTCTAATTAAAAAGATTTTTTATAATTTTTATTATTTTGAAATTGTTTGTTGAAACGGAAATTAATTGTTGATTTTTTTTAATTTTTTTAATGCACATACTGTATATTTAATTTTTAGATCAACCAGTGTAGAGTGAAAATAAGACAATTATCAGAATATTTTCAATGCATTATCACAAAACCAATCAATCATTAGCTCAGTACTTACCATACTATTATTTGGTATCAAAAGAAATATAAAAGCCAATATTCTCCACTTACAATACATTAACATTAACGTAGAGTCTCACCCGAGTGGTTCTCCCGTCATGCAGCGAGTGCCCAGTCCTGGAGGATTCAACAGGCGCTCGGTGAACCTCTTCATCCTCAGGTCATGTGGCTGCTCATTACTAAAGACAGCATACAGAAATTAAATTAAATCAAATGTTTATAATCAGCTTTTTTTTTTTATTATTACTTGTTTTACCTGACAAAAGTAAACTGTGGCCCGTACATCCAGGGGCTCAGAGTGAGAGCAGGGTACTCTCCAAAAGGTGGGACAATGGTGGTGAAGATTAAAGCTATCAGGACGAAACTGGCAGGAAGTACAATCTGAAATGAAACAAAAACAGATAAACATGAATGTAGATAAAATACAGTCTATGGTGATGTAGGGTACTTTAGTCTTTCTGAGTCAAATTCATTTAGATTTTAGGACTTTTTGGGGCAAAAAAAAAAAGTTTTTTTTAATATACTTTGGCACAGATAACTCTATTTATAATATGAACATAATGTTTTGTGTGTGTGTGTGTGAGGTTTTCTTTTTTTACAGTTTTAGCATTGTTTGATTCCAAGCTGTTCTGAGCAGCTGAAAAGATTGCTGATATTTGTCATGTTTTTCGGTTGTGCTCAACAGTCCCACCCACTTCCAAAGACTGCTGCACTTCTGGAAGTAAATTTCCCATTCAATTTCCCCAAAAACTTAAAAAAAAAAAAAACAATATTAAAAGTTTAAAGGTACAGCAGAGGCTATGTGAACAAATGACACTTCAAACTCCCCAGCAGCCAGGTGTTTGTACTCAAAAACACAAGTCTGTAATCAGGGCAGTCTTGTGTGATGTCACCAACTACTGGAAACTGCGGAGGCCACTGAAAGCAGCACAAAGATTTAGGTTTTTGACCAGAACGCTGCAAATTTAACTAGTTTGCACTAACTGTAGTTGCCAAAAAAGACTAGGAACAGTAGGTAATGCAACTAACCCCGTATAGAAAATTCAGTAACAAAAAATATGCATGCATGTGCAGTACCTGTGCGAGGAAGTCCTTGGTGCTGCGTGTGGCGTGGTGGAACCTCTTTATGATCAGAGCACAGAACTGTTTGAGGATGAGTCTGGAGCCTTTCACCTGCCTCGAGCCTTTCCCTGCACTGCTGCCTCCTGCCCCAGCGGTGGTGCCGTTGTGCTCTGTGGACACAATCACAAACACTCAAATACTGAACTATGATGATGTAATAGAACAAGTGTATAGTAGTGCCATGGGTCAATAAGCAGCAGTAAGTTAAAGTTAAAAGGCACATGTTAATCTATTTTATAATTTATAATCTATGTTATAATGTTGTTTCCTCATCAAAATATTTTATTATTATGTTTATTTTATTTTATTAGTTCTCTCAAATGGAAAACACTCTGTTCCACCTTTTGATGTCATGTGGTAATACAGGAAGTGCTCCAATGTGTTTTTAAACTACATACACCTTCATTATAATCATTTAGATGATTTCAGCCCTGGAATTGTCCATTTCAACTGAACAAAACAGGAGCTGTTAACTTGAAAACTGCTGCTTTATGACATCACAAGGTGAAGCAGAGCATTTTCAGCAAGAAAAAAACAAACATGAAGATACCAACAGACATGTACTTCAGTCTATTTTAAAAATACAGATAGAGAAGATGTTTGTACTTTTCTCACAACTGATGTAACAAAAGATACTGAGTAATGCTGTGGTACCTTTCCAGCCAAAGCAATAACCACTCCAAGGGCGTAGGTTTGCATAGAGACAGTGGGGACATGTCACAACTAATATTTGGGGAAGACAAGATAGTCCCTACCAATATTTGCCATTCTATTTTAATAAACAAAAATATAAATGTATTCCGATATTTTTCCAAACTCAATAGTATTAATTAAACACGTTTTAGTTCACATTTTGTTTCTTAGACATTCTGATTCAGTTATATGATGACAAGGTTACTCCTGCCATTATTTAATTGGCTGCCACAGAATGATGTCATTAGTGGTGCCAGGAGCCTAAACTGAGGAAGCGGCAGGACAGGGCCAGCGCCCGAAAATGGCGGTTTGAGTAGGTGTGAGTAAAGACGCTGCGCACCAAACTTTGAAAAACTTTTCAAAAGGAACTTACTTGGCTTCATCTACTATTAAACTTGCCTTATAATGAGACACTGTGGAAAAAGGGTGACTATCGCCACAAGTGCACCTCCCAAACAGAGCCCTACTCCTAGCAGCCAGACTGATAATTAGCTGATAATGTCCCCACCAAAGCTGAGACCAAACCTACACCCTTGAACAACTCCATAGACTCTTAAATGTTATTGTTCAATGTGTTGTTCTAAAGCACTATTGTGGTCAGCTTTACACCCAGCGGTAACTGCAATACCCCCCCCTACGGGCAGATGACTGTAGGACAGTCCCACACTGAAGCATACAGCTCTATATGAGAAAGCATGTCGCCCTAGAAGCTTTACTCCACTGCTTTTCTGACCTTCATTTTCTGAGCCCATTTTGCTGCTGCTTTTCCTGTGCTGTAACATCCACTGCACTGAAGGAAACACAGGTCACAAATACACAAATACTACACATCAACACCCAGGGATTTCATTATGACCACTTTTTAACAAACTTTAAAGATGCATTATGTAACTTTATCTTATAGACTCTCTGTCTGTCTCTTGCTTGTGTGTTGTCTCCATAGAGATGTTATTGCTTTACCTAGAATGTCCCACTGCATCAAACTCATCTCTATGGAGGCAAACAGAAGAAGACACCAGGCCAAGTTACAGGTCAGATCAGTGCAGAGGCAAGGGAAGTAAGAATCCATGTAATAATATAAGCAATATAAAACCTCTTGTAAATGAATAATAGAAATAGAAGTTGAATTGTATAACATTCCAGGCAAAGTGTTAACATGGAGACAAACAGATGGCAGATCCTCCACAAGAAAAATTACATAGTGCATCTTTTACGACAATGATAATTTAAAAAAACATGGACAATATACAGCTCAAGATCATTTTAAAGCTATTCAGAAAAGATTAATTTCTGTCCTGTGAATGTGATTTTTTTTAGTATCCATACATGCTTAAATTAGTATCTAGTTTTAGTATCTGATTTTCATTACTTTTGACAACCTTATTTCATACTTTGTTGTGTTTAATAGTCTTGATCAACGTGTCCGCAACATAAATATCTAACAAAACACACTAGAAATACATACAGGTTTCTATGTGGGAATCACTGTAAGAAAAACAGGTCACAAAGCTGAGTCCAGATGAAAAGGTTGTGTGCTTCATCACTATATATTTACCTGCAGTGGTGGCATTATTCACCGCCTCTCCGTCTGCTGTGACCTTTATGAAAATCTGAGGAGAAAAGTACATGCTCTGAAACACTTACAAGTCTCGGTGCACTCAGGACTGTTGCCATAGCGATTAACAAACGAAAACAAAATATGATACCGTTTGAGTGGTGAAAAGCCCTCAAAACGCCACATAGCAGGAAGCTGAAACGCGTGAATTTACTGCACATCTCTAGATTACAAATAGGCAAGCAATATAATGGAGGGGGTGTTCTAAATGTAGCTCTAACGGTGGAATGTGCAGCAGTTACCATGGTGACACACATCAGCCAAAACTGTCAAAAAATGTTAATATAGTCTGAAAATTCTTAAGAAATAAAATAGATTTAGACCACTAATTTCTCTAAAAGGGACAAAACATCTAAATGACACAAAAGTTATGATTTGACAAATACAAATAAATGACATTTTATTTTGTTAAAACAGTCAGAATTTTCCTATTTTCTTGTTAGCCAAAGTGAGAGATTGCATTCAGTCCTTGTATCTGCACAGGTTTAGTGCATGTCAATGGCCATAGTTATCCTGCACTAAAAACAGTCTTACCCACTCCACAAAACACCTCTTATCCAGACTGTCCTGTCTGTGTTGATAGAATAAAGTTTGAAATAAAACTAACGTTAGATCGCATGAATCGTCGCATGTTGAGGGACTATTTTCTCATATATCAGTCCGCCGCTGCCAAGCTTTCTATCAGGAAGTACAACTCACTGCTGCTGCTCAGACATAAACCCTTCAAATGCAAGGCTGGTCTTACTTCTAAAATTATTCTATCAACACAGACATTCACATTGACAGTCTGGAGTAATAACACATTGCTTCAGGTGTTTTGTGGAGTGGGTAAGACTGTTTTTAGTGGCAGGCTAACTATGGCCATTGACATGCACTAGCCTAGCACCAGCGACCTCTGCAAATACAAGGACTGGATGGAATATGGATGGAATATTTTAAAAAGTGACTCCACACGTCTCCAACACTCTCACTAATTAGGAAATGAGATCCTATGTCCAAAATTCCCGACTGTCCCTTTAAACTGTCAGAAAAATGCCTTCTTTGTCCGTACATACACAGAGGGATTCTGTTTTAGAACTCACAGCTATTTCCTGCATTTCATATTTTTTTGTTTTATGCTTTTCTTCACAAACTTCACTTAATTGATGTAAAACCATGATAAATATTTACCACAGGTACTATCCCACTAAACCAGGTAATAATTAGAATATATGAATCTGTTTAATGCAACCTTAGAAGACCAACAGCAACACAGTGAAGGGAAGGGTCATATCACTTGTCAAGAGGCAAAAGGCTAACCACTCTGCCAGTATGCCCAATTATAAGTATAGCAGTAGCCCTGTTCTTACCTCCTCTAGTGAAGTGTCAGAGATGCCGAAGCTGCTGAGGCCCATGTCCCCTAGAGTCTCCTCCAGCTCTCTGAACAGGCTGGCGTAGGCGCGGTGCTTAAAGTTCTTATTGGGCAGGAGGTACGTCAGCTCCTGTCCGATGGCCTCTATGAGCTTCGCCTCTGGGACATGGTGGTGGATCAGACTGGTGATCGTCTCAATGTCTCCTGCAACCAAGATCAAAGGTACTAATTATTTTGTCTGAGATCTGTCATGCTTTTAGCCAAGCTGGCACCACCTAGTGCCTCTGCTCAATTTCATTTCTCTCCAGCGACTAGGTCACGAATCGGAATACACTGGACTAGGGGTGTCAAACTCAAATTCACAGAGAATTAAAAACTGGGACCAAACTAGTCATGAGCAAAACTAAATATTTATTAAAACATTTCAACAGTATCTAATACATATTTGATATGTTCTCGCAGGCCAAATATAATTATATCGCGAGCCAAATTTGGCCCCCGGGCCTAAGTTTGACAAGATTGACAAGGTTTACAAGAACCCTGGAAGTTGTAGACCGTGCACCGACCAGTTAACGAAGAGCTGTGAAGCCATGACGTCAAACTCAAGCGACTGTCTGGGTCCCTTTTTGTGGTACACAACAGTAAACACAGCAGTTGAGATGGATAGACATTCTGTGTTGGCTACGATTCCCGAAATCGAGGATTTAAAGCCAGAACAAAGACAATGTTTGGTGAATTTTATCAAGGGGAAAGATGTTATTGTCCTTCTTCCTACGGGATCTGGCGCATTACATACATCATGCCCAAATAGCTAAATGGTTAAATCAAAAAAGTACCCCCCTACCGTCGAGCGAAAGAATCCTAATGTTGCGAGGTCAGATGGTTTCCACGAAGTGAAACCAGTTGATGAATCAGGCTATCATGCTTTTACTGCAATCATAATTTTACTCACTCATGGCACTCATACTGAATCCAACCAAGAATTAAACCTAAATTTACAAATCTTACATTTTTTATCATAAGGTGCCACTTGGACAATGATAAGTGAAATCAACTTTAAAAACATTTACAGAAACATTTTAAAGAAATGAATTATAACACCTTGTAAATCTTTTGATTATATGTAATTTTGATGAATAAAAGTTCTTATAATGTCTATAATCTGCAGATTCTGAGTTGGATTTTCAAACTGTAAGAATCCAGATTTGGCTCTGAAATTCTGGAAAATAAATCTGGATTCTTGGTGGATTATGTTTGGAATACTGGTCCCAGACGTGCAAACTCCACATACACTACTGAACCAGAACTATGGCCAGACTACCTTAACTACTACTATTACTAACACTTTTTGCCTTAGTTCCTACTACAACACAATTGAGACATCAGACTTTCAAATGTTCTCAAATATATATCTGTCTATATCTAAAATACCCACTTGACTAAAATGATTAAATTAATATTCTATTACTTTCCACCTTTAGAGTACCGTAAGATCAAGGTTATTTAAGGATTGTGTATAATTGTGAGTGATTCATGGTTTGAAAGTTGCATTTTAAACAGCGTCCTCGAGCAGAACCAAGAGGGAAAGCCATGGGTCAAAACGGCTCTAAATTATGATCTGTCTGTGTTTTGACTTTAATTAAAAGAAGATGAATTTTAATGGACGGTAAGCACTCTTTAGAACTGCTATGAGGACGTACTGGACATTAAAGTGAGGTCGATTGAAGCATGCGATTAAAAAAGACCAATATTAGACCTAGGTCCCGTCCCCAAGCAGAGTTCAATGAATGACCTAAATACAGGTTGTGTATAAGGAAGAAAATACTCCTTAGTATCAAGGTCTTGACAATGTAGTATACTTTTTTTTTTTTTTTAATGTATTAACAATTTGACAATGCAATCTGTCCTTCGCCCAAGAGTAGTTCAGTGTAGAGAAGGTTTCTACTATCTCCCATTCAGAAGTAATATTCAGTTTGATGGTACCACTGTTGGGCAAGTTACTTCAAAATTTTAATGTGTTATTTATTTATTACTTGTTAGCGTCATTTCAAAGTAATTCGTGAACCAGGACTAAACCAGGACTAAACCAGGACTGAACCGAGGAATGAACCAGAAGGACTGAACCAGGATTGACTAAGTCTAAACCAGGTCTAACCCAGGAATAAACCAGGTCTAAACTAGGACTAAACCAGGTCTAAACCAGGAATAAACCAGGTCTAAACCAGGACTAAACTAGGACTAAACCAGGACTAAACCAGGAATAAACCAGGTCTAAACCAGGACTAAACAAGGTCTAAACCAGGTCTAACCCAGGACTAAACCAGGTCTAAACCAGGACCAAATCAGGACTAATCTTGGACTAGGACTTGGAATCTAGGACCGCCCCTGAGCCCGTGGAGGTATCTGCAAAGTGCGATCGAGCTCCGCGTCGGCCCTTTCGCCCGCTGTCACCTGACGGTCTACGTGGGCGCACCTCCGACATTTGGAACCGTAACGATGGCGTTTCACCGCTACTGATATCGCAGTGATTTTAGCGAATTTGTATGAAGAAAAATGAAAAACCCACCACTCCAATCCAGGTTAAAAATGCACTGTAACGCGCTTCATTGACATTTGTACAATTTTTTCCCCTGTAATGCCACATTACTGCGTTACAGCAAAAAGCAATGCATTACACTAATTTGTTACTTTTCTAACACGTTACTCCCAACACTGGATGGTACTGACATGAGACACTCGGATTTTCCTACTCTGCTACTGAAGGAGTTTTAGACTGAAGATATCCTGCCCTTGTTTACAGCTATCATCATTATGGGTGGTTATGGCTCTGTTGTGCATTGGCTGTTTCGCCGTCAGCATTGTAAAGTACCTGATTAGCATTTGATTGGCTTGTTGTGGTCTTATTACATGGGTTGAGAACACTTCTGTAAACAACTGGTAGATTAAACCTCATTCCACCACTGCTGTTCAGAGAAGGATTCTATTTCTTCACAAAAATTGCTTCCTTCACCCCCCTCCCTGCAAACCATTTTTCTCTCCGTTTAGTTAACTCAGAGTACGATCAATCCTAGCACCTCAAGCCAGTACTATCAAACTGAAAATGGCTTCTGAATGGGAGCCGAAAAAACACCAAAACAGTGTCCAGATGACCACCATCTGTAAAAGAGGTTGCTCGAATGAAGTGGAAAAGTAAATGCAGAAAATCCTTTGTGTTTGCGTGTACCTTCCATGACCCGGTCCTGGTGCTGGGACAGATTCTGGGACTGTTCCTTATAGGCCGTACAGATGGAGCAGGCACACGAGCACTCAGAGCTGCAGTCACACTCGTTCTAAAAATATAAACACATTACAATTACACATTTTGCACAGCCATATTTGTTTTTATCATTTGTAATCTCCTGCATTTATAACAAGTAGTATTCAGAATATGTGTGGTACATGTACTTTCCAACACTACTCATTTACTGTACATATGCAGAATTACTTGTTTTATATAATGTAAAGTAGATTTACACTTTTGTACACTACTCAGACTCTTCTTAATAGCAAATATGACAAAGATCTTCTGTCCTGAGGGTTGTTACTTTCCTCAAACTGCCCTGACACAATACCTGATTACTTTACCCATTGAGCTGTACAGAGACTTTGTTTGAGCTTTCTATTTTTATTGTATTTTACTCAATATGCTTAAATTGCACCTTGGGGACAAATGAAATGATACTGATTGACAGAGGTGGGACCAAATCGTTATTTTGCAAGTAAATCTCAAGTCTTTGGCCTCAAGTCCAAGTCAAGTCCCAAGTCAAATACAGGCAAGTCCAAGTCGAGTCTGGAGTCACTGGCCCGTAAGTCCAAGTCAAGTCCAAGTCATCTGCTTTGAGTTTCATTTCAAGTAATTTCAAGTCTTTAAACCAAAGTACCAAATATAGCTTAGATTTTTGCTATTTATATGAATTTTAAGATAAACTGTACTTAAAAAAATCATAGTATATTTATATATGAGTATTTATAGAGAATATAACAAATTAATTTAGTTCATTTTTCTTTTTTAAATGTCTTGACAATATCTTAGTGTGAATTATTATGGTCAGAATAGAAATAATTCAGATTTAAAAGTGCTTCTTGAGTCTTTTCAATCACAGGCCTCAAGCCCGAATCAAGTCCAAGGTCACAGACCTTCAAGTCCAAGTCGAGTCCCAAGTCTTAGTCCATTTTATCATGTCAAGTCTCAAGTCCTAAAAATAGTGACTCAAGTTTGACTTGAGTCCAAGTCATGACTTGCAAGTCCCCACCTCTGCTGACTGGGGTATTGATTTCTATAACCATGTTAACTTTTATTGTTTTGAAAATACTATATTCACCAGAAACACTGTATTAACATGTTTAATAAGTCTCCCCTCACTTTGCTCTCCACGTTAATTCACTCCTTTTGGAGCTTGTTTCAGAGCTTTCAGAGTTTGTGATGAGAGAACAATGTTATAACATGGCAGAAAGCTAAAAAATAAAACTTGATTTGCATAATACCCTCTCTTAAATGTATTGTTTAGTATTCCCTGGCTGCAGTACCTCTCTCCGCCTCAGGTCCTTCATGCGGCGCACTAGAGTGAGGTAGAAGCCCAGTCCGAAGCAGTTCTTGAGAAAGAGAGGGGAGCCGCAGCAGTGGAGGCGTCCCTGAGAGATGATGGCGATTCTGTCACTGAGCAGGTCGGCCTCGTCCATGTGGTGAGTGGACAAGATCACAGTACGACCTGGACACAACAAACTCACAGTTATAGAGTGTCATGCTATTAACACCATCAAATACACAAAGAACTAATCTCATTGTACAGTACTTGTCACATAAGTCAAATAGATATGTAAACTGACAGGTGTAAGTAGGCCTGTTATTTATTATTGTGACGGACTTACACCTTCTCATTCAATGTTTTTTTAATTACTGCTTTCTACTTTTAGATACATACAGTAGACATCAAATACCTGAAACAAGATAGATGGATTTATGTAGCAAAAAAAGTGAAATAACTCAATATTTTATATTCCTCAAAGTAGCCATAATTTGCTTTGTTGACAGCATCGCAAACTAGTGACTTTCTCTCAATTAGCTTCTCCTGAAATGGTTTTCACTTCACAGGTGAGCCATGTCATGTCAAGGAATGCCAAGAGTGTTATGCAGTGATCAAAGCACCCTTTACTTAATTTCATGTATTTAAATTTTCTGATTTAGTTTTTATTATATTATTTATTTTTTCTTCTCTTTCACTTATTGTAATCAGTTTTGTATTGTTTGTTTTAGATTTCTTTTCCTTTTGCGTCTATTATTATCATTATTATTATTAACCTGACCTTAAACTGAACCTGTCAAGCCACTAAATTAATCATGCTATGGTGATGGAAGCTTGCTCAGCTTCTTTGGGAGTCCATGTTTTTTTTTTCACAGTTAACACATATGGCATACATAATATATATGTCAAATGCATGTACATCTTTATATATGTATAAAGGCGTGCCTTGTGGTGTTAAAATTAAAAATTGTGGAAAAAAATTAAATTGAATTGACTAATTAAAGCAAAGGGCTGCTATTTTTACACATCTTCTATTCCATATGTGTTTATTCATAATTTTTTTATGTCTTCACTGAGAATCTACAATGTAAATGATCATAAAAATACATCAGTAACATAAATGAATTATTGTTAATACTGCTAAATGTGGGCTATTTATACATTTTAGATTTTCAAATTAGAGCTACTAATACAGTATAGTATAGTCAATAGTAGTAGTAGTAAAAATCACTCTAACTCAGGAGTCTCCAGCCTGTAGTTCTCCACCCCCGTCCAAGCAGCTCGCCAAGGGATTTCTGAATTATACGAATTGTGCTGAATAAGTAAAATTTGATTGATTAAATGCCTATTTCCATTGTAACTGTATCATTGTGATGTCTAATTTTGTGCACTGATTACTGGATAATGGGTAATGTTTTACTGGAATCAAACTTTACATCATCTACAGCTTAAATTTCTAGTGACCACTAAAATTAGTAGCTCTATGGCATTTTTGTTTTGGAAAAAGTAGCTCACAGGCAGAAAAAAGCTGGAGATCCTTTAACTTTAATTTAACTTTTAACTTAACAGTCTAGATATTTTGCATTTACCTGTCCTGTACTTGAGTAACAAATCCCAAATGGATCTTCTTGAATACGGGTCGACTCCTGATGTGGGTTCATCCAAAATCACGACCTTTGACCCTCCAACAAATGCCATGGCAACAGACAGCTTCCTCTGCATCCCACCTGCAACCAACCATGAAAGAAATTTATTCATTAAGATTCAGACTTCTGATGTCATAATGTTGTAAAAATTGATTGAAATTAAATGAAATAAAAACACTACAATAGAGTTATGTATTGAAGTTGTCTTAATCTGGTTTATAGTCAGTATGCCTGCTGTCACTGGGCCTATTCATATCAAATTATATCAGACAAAACATTTCAAAACAAAATAAAGTAAATTAAAGATTTATTTCAATATATTGCCAAAAGTTTGAATGCATTATGATCAATTTTAATCTTTTTTTTACTTAACCAAATATATTTTCCTCTCTTTTCTAGGACATGTGTTCGGCCTGAAACTTTGTCAGTACTATTGATTTATATAAAGTCGGGTCGTGGGGGCAGCAGTCTAAGCAGGGACTCCCAGACTTCCATCCCCCCAGACACTTCCTCCGGCGCCTTGAGGTCCCCCCCGAATAAGTGGAGAAAATGGATGGATGTAAATACCATTCACAAATTTGTATTGTAACTCGTTTTCAGTACTGAATACTGGCTCCAATACCACAATAATCATTTAAAAACTCTTTATTTAGACAATTGAATGTAAATTTCAACATTAAATGCTCGTCCTTGGTTTTCTATTATGTGGCCTTATAATGTAAGTTGTCCAAGTATGCTCCATAACGGTAAAGCTATTCAACAAAGGTCCATTTCTGTCCTGTTCATGTGACTTTTTTTAAGTATCAATACCTGTTCAAAAGAGTATCTAGTTTTAGTATTGACAACACAAGCTATCACAAATATTAGTAAAATAATGTATCGAGAGCAGAGTTGTACCTGAGAGGTTCTGGGCTTCGTCGTGTCTCTTGTGGGGCAGACCCAGGTCCAGCAGCATGTCCTCCACCTCCTGCTCGGCCTCAGCCTGAGTACGCCCTTTCATCAGAGAGTAGAACAAGATGTGCTCCTCCACCGTCAAGCTGAAAACACACGGACAATTAACAGATGCAATGATACTGGGATGATATTTGTACAGTGGATACATACAGTAACATAGACTGTATAAAGACGTGAACTAAGGGAGTGTGACGTCACCTATAGTGTTCATCTCCAATCAAATATGGCTCACTGAGTAGCGAAATAAAAACCCCAAGATCATGTAGAGCAGGTTAACACGAATAATTTAAGTCCAAAATCAGTGAAATTTCGTGATGTGTTGATACTGTGATGTATTGAGTTAGAAAATCAGCTTCTATATCATAATAAAATGAAATGTGAATGTAGCGAGACCAAATGTCGGGCCTTGTTTGTGTCATTTTACCGATCTTACCGAAGCGGAACACATTTTTTCAGTGTGTAATATCAATATAATCCTCATTTGTTCGAAGAAGGTTACTATGAAATTGTATTAAATTTTTTTTTTTCCTGTTCCTCTGATCTTGTCCCCGATCTTAGGGTTAGTGCAAGTGTGTTTTTTGTTTTGTTTTTTTGGTTATTTTATATACAGTATATGCATATAGATTATATAGATTAACTGACTACAATTACAGGGGGACTTGGAGGGATATCAGCTGGAAAGTGCCCCTGACTGGAAGGTTCCCAAGCTGAAAAGTCCCTCTGACTTGTACCCTTTATGAAACTAAGTTAGTGAAAACATATAAATAAATAAAAATCATTATATATTGTATTAATTACACAGTTAATATATATCTCAACACCTTTATTCATACATACAAACAAAACATGCAAAAATTAGTGATCTCAAACACACACAAATCGAGTAAATACACTGTGTCAAATTACTCCTCAGGAATAGTCTGCAAGTGAGGCACACACTTTATGTATAGTCTGTCAATTTCTCATGTGAATTCACTCCTCAGAATAGTCCACCAGGGACGCACACTGCCTCATTTCGGGAAGATCGGTAAAATAACATAAACAAGGCCCAACATTTGGTCTGGCTACATTCACATTTCATTTTATTATGATATAGAAGCTGATTTTCTAATTCAATACGTCACATACTAAAGGCTGCCGAGAACGTCCACCCTCTCCTGGGCACGGTGAATACCAGCTCGAGTGTCCCCCTGGTTTGAAAGTTCCCCCTTCTCTCAGTGGGAACATCCCCCTCCTTCCTCCAAGCGCCCCTTCTCTTGGGGTAACTGCTGTGCCCGAAGAGGGGGGGGCATTCTCCTCGCTGCATCATGCACTGTGATTTATTGAGTTAGAAAATCAGCATTCTATATCATAATAAAATGAAATGTGAATGTGGCGAGACCAAATGTCAGGCCTTGTTTATGTCATTTTACCTTCCCGAAGCAGCACACATTTTTTCAGTATGTTCCGTAAATAAATAAAATCCTCATTTGCTCGCAGAAGTTTAATATGAAATCATATTTTAAATAATTTTTTCTTGTTCCCCATGTCCTACAGCATCAGGACATTTAACATTATGGACTATGATTTGATGTAAGATAAAGAAATAGCTGTGGCACATTTATTATTTGGACACTTATTCCTAATTTGCCACTGAACATTATATATTTGTAAGCAGTAAGCAACAGACCTTTAAGAAACTTAGCAACCACCAGAGCAGCACAAATGAAGACTTGTCTCTTTCCAAAGGCTCTTAAAGGACGATCGTTTTGACTGTTGACCGTGACACCCTCATCAACAAAATGTCCAACATGAGAAAAGTGGAGCCAAGTGTAGAATTTTCCAAGAAAAATTGACTTATTCCTGTTTGCATACAAGTTGTTGTTAAAACATTGTGTTGAAATTGAATTTTTCTTCAAGTTTCAGGTTGTTCATGATATTATAATATTATAATAAGAAAGAGTTAATCAATTAAAAAAGATTTCTGTAATAGATTTGCGTTTCGCTGCACAAATATTTGAAGTTATTGTTATTTTTGGGGTACATATGACATGAGTTTTCTGATCCGGCCCCTTTCAGATCAAAGTAGGTTGGATTCGGCCCCCGGACCAAAATGAGTTTGACACCCCTGCTATATATAATGATTTTTTATTTTTTTCAATATGTATATTAACTAACTTTCATAAAAGGTACAATTCAGGGAGATTTTCCAGCTGATTCCCGGGCACAGCAGTTACCCATGTGCCACCCAAGAGAAAGAGACGCCCAGAGGAAGGATGGGACACTCGAGTCGGGACTTTCAAGCCAGGGGAACATTCGAGCCGGTATTCCAATGGAGCTGGAACCTCGCCCATGCTCACTTCCTATTTGGAACGCTATGTCCATTTATACTTACAGTCTATGGTACAAACACAGCCGGGTAGAATCACTTCAAGGCAGTTAATGTTGAAATTCGAGTACATGATTTTCATGAGAAACCAAACCCTTTGGCACATTCGCAACGACTTTAGTGATCATTAAAACTTTTTGAAATGGAGAAGTGAAACAATCAGCTCTTCTCTGTGATCTCTAAAAGGTTACCTAATTAAATGAATACAGTGTGCAGTGGTTTCATTTTTATCACAATGATTTTTTTGGGGGGCAATTCAGGTTTCACCATTTGTGTTCAGCTCTGGTCCAGATAATGTGCTTATAATATTAAAGCTAAAAAAAACTGCTATACATGTTTTTGTTAGATTTTGTTATCAGGTAGATGGAAGTGGAAGAAGTGCAGACTAAATATATACAATAAAATATTCTGGCTGCAACTTTCAGCAACTTAAAATTGATTGCTTACACAAAATCCATACTATCTTTAGCAGGGAACATCATAACCTTTAGCAGTTCATTTCAAAACGAGTAAACAGATCTATGCGGTTTGAAGTTTTCCCTGTCTTGATGTGGAAAAATATAAAACATCTGATCTGAATAGAGTTATCGTTGTGACTTACTGGTTGAAGAGGATGTTGTACTGTGGACACATCCCCAGAGAGTTACGGATCAGGTCTATGTCAGTGAGGATGTCTCTGCCGTTGATGAAGGCAGTGCCAGAGGTGGGAGGGAACAGGCCGGTCAGGATCGAACTGCAAAACAGACAGACAATAAAGAAGATATTCAGACCAAGACTTAAATGAGAAATATCCTTGTTCACACTTCTTGTATGAGGTATTTACTGCTAACACATGACATACTGAGATCACCATGTTACATTTTATTGTTTTGAAAATGCTGTATTTCCAACATATTTTCAGTTTTTTTGTTTTTTTTAATGATCTGTGTCCCCCCTCCGTTTGCTCCCTGCACATTGCTACGGCACATCGCATCAGGTTTGTGAAGTTGTATTGTACAGTTTTGTCTTATGTTTTTGTTTTACACTTATGGAGAATTGTTGCGTGGGCTGAGCATTGCATAGTGTTCATTATGGATAAATGTTGCTAGTAGTACCATATTTTCTGTACTATTGAGCGCACCTGAATATAAGTCACTTCAACAACATTTTTGACAAAATTTTAAAACTGTACATATATAGGCTGCACCTTAATGTAAGCCACAGGTGTCCACATCTTCAAGAACATTATTAAGTTCGGGCCGTCTGCTTTTATCGATTCTGAAATCTTTTGTCATCTTTTTGCATTGAGTCAGTTCGTCACACTGCCATCGCCAGAGTTTCACCATCGACTCACTGATGCCGAGCTCACCTGCAGCAGCTCGATTTCCTTCTTCGACAGCCAGATCATTTGCCGTTAACTTTCTTCATGTGTTTTCCATGAGGAGTTTGTGTGTATGAAGTGCAAAATAACTGTTCAAAACACAATCAAACGAGCATCTTCCTCGGCGCGTCACCCCCGTCTTTCCCCGTGCATGTCTCCTGCAGAAAGAGTCTCTGTCCTGTCTTTATCGTGTCAGTGTCTTGTAGGATTTCAGCAGATTTCGGACTCTCTCAGGAGCGGGGCTAGTTCTGTCAATCAGGTATGAGTGGATGTTACAGCCCCAGGCCTTGGTTCTAATTTGTTTGTGTGATATTTGCCAAATTCTCTTGATTCCTGCTGCAGAAGCCCTAGTCCATGATTGGTGGGGGAGGTCGACGCCCACCTCACCTGCAGCCACCTCCCCCTATTTAAGGAGATTGCCAGCACCTGTTCGGGGCTGCTGGCCTTGGTGGCCAGTATGCCATTTTGTTTCGTGTGTGTGTAGTTTAGTTTAGTTCTGTTTTGTGCCTTTTTTGATTTGGTCACTCAATTCTGTTTGTGGGTTTATGTGGTTTAATTTGGGGAACTTGTGTTTAGTTTAGTGTGTGTCCCTAAGTTTTACCACTCGTTTTTGTGTAAGCCTGCGTGACCCCTTTTGTGGCACAAAACTCTGTTTATTCTGTTGTTCTGTTTCTTAGTTTAGGTTGTTTTCTGTATATTTTAGTCTGTTTTGTTAATTTACCTTTACATTCCTGTTAATTAAACATTATTTAATTTATTCCATTTTACATCTTGGTTTTAATTTTGTTACTTCCCTTACCCAAACGAGCTGGGTCGTACCAGTGGATGTCCGGCTACTGAAGTTTGAGACGTTTCTTCTCGTCATTTACACATACGAGTAAGACGTATCCCACTCACTAATGTTCATTTAGCATCATAACTTATTTTATCACACGGCGATAAACTATTTGAGTGTACAGACAATATTGCTAGCTAGTGTAGCAACTTCATGTGAACACTAGATCCATGTGTTCCCGCACAAACAGCGGCGTTTTCTGCACTCGGGCTGTGCGTAGCCACTGTGTTGCCAAACCACAGACCGTGAATATGAATGGACAATGTGCCAAACAAAGAATCCGTCCATATATTAGCAGCATTGTCTTATTAGCTGCAGGGTTCAATGTGTGACAAAAAAGTAGCGGCTTACAGTCCGAAATTTGCGGTTATAGGCGAAATGAAGCTCACAGAGGCTAGCAATTATAGAAGCAAATTTGGAGCCAGTTTCATATTAGGAACAGGAATTGATTTCGGGATAAAATAGCAAAATAAAAACACCAGGACCATTTACAGCAGGTTAATGTGAACATTTTAAGACCAAAATGAGGAGCCTGACAGCAGTTACAGAGAGAGGAATGTCGTTTTGTCAGTAGAAAGTGAATTCAAGCCAGAGTCGATGGAGCCAGAAGTGTGTCCATGTTCACTATGTCCATTGAAATATACAGTCTATGGCTCTACCTTAGATACATAGGTTATAAATAAAATATTACCAGATACATGAAAGCCTTGAATACTGTGAACACTCAAATGTCTTACAGTGTGGTTGTTTCCAGCTCCGTTGTGTCCGAGGAAGGACGTGATCTGTCCCTCGTAGAAGTTGATGTTGAGGTGGTTGACCGCAGGCCGAGAGCTGCCGTCAAAAACCTTCACCAAATCCTGGATCTGCACCCCCAACGCCAAACCGACCGGATCAGACTCAAAGAAGAGCTGACCTGAGGAGAGAGAGCAGCTATATTACATTTTGCAAAATACAATAAGGGGACAAACTGCTTAATTCAAATGACTACATACAAACATGATTAACCATTGTAGACTTATATGAATGTAATGATGACAGCCTCTTAATATTAAAACAACACAAGCACTTCAAAGCTAATCAGTGAGTCATTGTTAGTTCATTAGGACTGTGCAGAGATCTGAATCCCAGTTTTGACCAAACTGAGTCACTGTCTGTTTATTGAATCTCCACTATGTCCTCAGTGAACTCTATATTCCCCCTGTTTATTTTACCTTTATTTATCATTACACTGCAGAAAAAAATATATAAAAAGGTTCAAATAAAAATAATATTTTGTAGAAAATCTCTAGCCTGATTCATCAGCCAGTTTCACTTCATAGAAACCGTCTGACCTCGCAGCATTAGGATTTGTTCGCTTGACAGTAGGCGGATACTTTTTATTATTTAATCAATCGCTGTTATTTGGTGGTGACGTATGTAAAGCGCCGCTATCGGGGCTAACTGGCTTTTCCAAAATTCCATAGGAAGAAGGGGAAGAACGTCTTTCCCCTTGATGAAATTCAACAAACATTCTCTTTGTTCCGGCTTTAAATCCTCGAGCTCGAAAATTGTTGCCAACACAGAATGTATGGCTCTTCGCTGATTGGCTGGTGCCCTAACTCACACTTCCGGGGTTTTAGCGAACCATCCACCAAGTGTATTCTGATTCCTGACCTAGTCACTGGAGAAAAAATAAATTGAGCGGAGGCAATAGGTGGCACAAGTCTGGCTAGAAAGTCTCAGTCAATAAAAGAAATACAATAGTAAATAAATAATAATAATTCATTCACTCTACACTCTATGGTGGTAAACTTCAATTGTAACCACAGCTGTCCTGGGGCAGTCTGATGGAAGTGAGGCTGTGCAATCAGCCCTTCCGATTATCACCATCCCATACACTGCATTCATACTAGGACATGACGACAGTTTTGCCCCACCAGTGCCATTCCTATTCCTAGAGGTCATCCAAGTATTAACCAGGCCCAGCTCTTCTTAACTCCTGAGATCTGACAACATCAGGCACTGACCAGCCGGGATGTCCACAATTCATCTTTCCCAATTCTCTCTAATTTATGTAATTAATGTTATTGTGATTTTAATGTTTTTCTTATTCTGTAAAGCATTTTGAATTACTTCGTGTACTGATTGTGCTATACAAATAAACTTGCCTTGCCTTGCTTTCAATTATTTATGTTACTAAAATCAATGCAGAATATTCTTAGTTCTGTAACTATTTGTGTGTGTTACCTTCGTTGTTGGACTCCTCCTCCATGTGTGGGCTCTCCTCTTGTTGCCTCAGTACCTCTCTCTCCCTCGTGATCCGGTCTCGCTTGTGTTGGTGTTTACAGGTTTTGCGGCTGCCTGATCCGTTACAGTTGGACATATCTGGAGTGTCGGCGCTTTCTGGGTCTGCACGATCAGGCTCTGGTCTTTCAACATCTGGAGGAAAAAAGGACAACATACAATCAGACAATACTTTATTTATACAAAGGTACGTTTGTTTGGTCACAGTAGCTCAGTTTTTTAAGTGACTAGTGTCATTAATAATTGACTGTTGTGTCTCTTATGATCCTTGCATTTAAGTAGTTAACGTAATCCTATAAATGTTAACGTTTATAGGATTGACAAAAGTATAGAAAATCAGATACTAATCCATGCAAAAAACAGTATTGATACTAGATAACAGAGACAATAGAATGTGATTTTAAACATTAAATCATAGTACTTTCTTTTATATTACCATTTAATATTATATCTGTCGTCCAGAGTAATCTAAAGCTATTCAGGAAAGATTAATTTCTTATTTGATCTTGTTTAGATTTGGTTCAAACTTGGTTTAGTCCTGTTTTAGTCCTTGTTTAGACCTGGTTTGGTGCTGTTTTAGATCTTGTTTAATTTAATTCTGGTTTAGTTCTGGTTTAGTTCTGGTTTAGGCTTGGTTTAGACCTTGTTTAGACCTGGTTCAAACTTGTTTTAGTCCTGTTTTAGACCTTGTTTAGACCAGGTTTAGTGCTGTTTTAGATCTTGTTTAATTTAATTCTAGTTTAGTTCTGGTTTAGTTCTGTATTAGGCTTGGTTTAGACCTTGTTTAGACCTGGTTCAAACTTGTTTTAGACCTTGTTTAGATCAGGTGTAGTCCTTGTTTAAACCTGGTTTAGTCCTGTTTTAGAGCTTGTTTAAACAGACATTTTTGTGATAGCCCAACAACGCATCATCCCACTTGTAGGGCAGGGGCCAATTCTAGTTACCAAGTTTTGTGTGTCTGTGTGTTTGTGTGTCTGTCCACCCGCGATAATTCCGCCATTTATGGACCGATTATCACCAAATTTGGTACCAAGCCCCCGTGCCCGATGACGCGAAAAAAGTTTGGTGATGATGTGAGGTCATTTGAGGTCACACGGGTCAATTGAAAGGTCACACCATTATAAAGATAGACAATTTTGCCAATTTCTGAACCATCTGTGGGCTAAAATATTCACCCAATCATCACACAAGTTGGCACACATATAACCGGGGTGCACTGGATGTTACAGGTTGAAACTGGTCAAGGTCACTTGACAGTCAAGGCAACCAAGGTCAAATATGCGATATTGGTCATAACTCCGTGAAGGATCGAGCCAGAGCAACGGGAGTGGTCTCAAAATCTCAGAAAACGTAAACACACAGATTCTCATGTGTGACCATATCACACAAATGTTCATTGGCACTGTACAGTTAGACACATTGCATTGTGGACATAACGATCATGTAATACGGGCTGGGCTCCTCATGAACGGCCCCCACCGATGCCTCATGGGGGACCAGGTCGCTGTCTCTGATTGCGCTTGTTTAATTTTGGTTTAGTTCTGGTTTTGCCCCCAGTTTAACACTGTTTTAGACCTAGTTTACTTTATTGTACTTTATCTGAAGTAAGTTTTGTATTGTTGATCATAAAGTTTTCTAGGGTTAACAAAAGTATCAAAAATCAGATACTAATCAATACTAAAACCAGTATAGATACTAGACAACAGAGATAATACAATATGATTTTCAACATTATACATATTACAATTCATTTCTGTCCTGTGAATGTGACATTTTAGTATCGATACTTGCTCAAATACACATCTATTTTCAATACTAGTGATAGTATTGTATAGTATAGTATCAGACTTTTGAAACTTTACTGAAAAACTTCAACTACTTTTCCAGAGTTTATAATGATAAAGCTTCTCACTTTGTATGCTAGTCACATTACATCTGTACTGAAAGCTTGCATTACCCTTGGGAGGCCATTTTGCTGCGTGGCCTTGCCTTGTACACATGTTATATCGACCTTTGCAGCAAACTACATGGGAAATGGATGCCCCAGAGGAGACCAATTAGTATTGAACCAGAGCACAAGGTTAGACAGCATTTCTCCCACTTGTGAATTTCAGTCTGTAATTTTCGGTGTACATAGTCAGAGATAGGCAGAAGACATTTAAGGACGCTGATTCACTGTCACTAACCTTGTTGGGGTGAGCCACTGTGCGATGGAGCAGGTCTGGACCAATACGAAGGTTGTAATGGGAAGTAGAACGGTCGGCTGATTCCGTATTGTCCTACAGGAGAGAAATTTCACATTAACGGACCCATGTTACTTTATTTTTGATCTGTGTTATAATGTTGTATCCACATCAAAACATACTTGGAGTTTTTACGCATATTTAGGCTGAGTTCTCTCAAACGGAAAATACAGGAAGTGCTTTGTTGTGTTTTTAAACTCGTTACACCTTCAGTAGTATTAATCATGTGGATAATTTTAGCCCTGGAATCGTACATCTCTACTGAACTGAAAGTAAAAGGTAGCTGTTAAAACTACCACCACATCACAACAAAAGTGAAACAGAACATTTTGAACTCTGGAGATATAGACAGACTAATTATAAGGCTTACTCAAATGTGTGAATGAAACAAAACACAACTCCAGGTATGTTGGGGATGAGGTAACAGCATTATAACACAACAACTTAATATAGAAACTTTCAAACAAGGTACTAAAGTTGAATAAACATGTGAAAGATAAGACATTAAAATAGACTAAATAAATCAAAATCAATGTTTATGTATAAATTTATATGGAAACTCAGTGTAAAAAATCATACATTTTACAGGGACAGTAGTGGATCTGGGTAAAGTCCTGTTTTAGACCTGGACTTGTTTAGACCTTGTTTAATCCTGGTCTACACCTTAATGTTTGGACCTGGTTAGTCTTTATTTTTACTTTCAGATTTAGACCTAGTTAAGACCTGGTTTCTTCCTATTCTAGAGTTGATTTAGTCCTTATTTGACCTTGTTTAGACTTGGTTCAAACTTGGTTTAGGGCTTGTTTTAGACCTTGTTTAAACCTTGTTCAGATCTGGTTCAGACCTGGTTAGTCCTCATTTTTACCTCCAGATTTAGATCTAGTTTAGACCTGGTTTTGTCCTCTTCTAGACTTGATTTAGTCCTTATTTGACCTTGTTTAGACTTGGTTCAAACTTGGTTTACCCCTGACCTTGTTTAGTCCTGGTTCAGACCTGGTTGAGTCCTTGTTTAGACCTTGTTTAGTCCCGTTTTAGATCTTACTTAGTTTAATTCTGGTTTAGTTCTGGTTTAGTCCTGGTTTAGACCTTGTTTAGACCTTGTTCGGACCTGGATCAAACTTGTTTTAGACCTTGTTTAGTCCAGGTTTAGTCCTTATTTAGACCTGGTTTAGTCCTGTTTTAGAACTTGTTTAGACAGACATTTTTGTCATAGTCCAACAACCCATCGTCCCACTTGTAGAGCAGGAGCCAATTCTAGTTTAATTTTGGTTTAGTCCTGGTTTTGCCCTGGTTTAACACTGCTTTAGACCTGGTTTAGACTTGGTTTCATCCTGTTCACGTGGTTTAGACCTTTGTTCATACCGGGTTTAGTCCCATTTCAGACCTGGTTTAGATTTGATGGTATTCGGAAAACTCATTTTATGCCCACCCAGAAGAATCATGTAGTAATCTATAGACAGACTATACCTGCCAACAATATAATGTCTTGAATACATTTTGAGTAAATAAAAATAATATTACAAAGTCTTACCTGGAAATACATTGTCCAGATACCAGGCGAGGACAGCGTAGAGGACAGCGTCAAACATCATCATGAGGATCGAGGACAGGAAGGAAAATGAGTCCTTTTCTAATGGACTGGTCTTGATGTTGTCCCACTGCAGACCCAGACCCTGCTCCTCGTAGCGGGACAAGTACTCTGTCCCAAAACCAAACGCTACAGGAGACAACAAGCTCTGCAACAGCACACAAATACACAGTACAAATTATTACTAAAACTAATACTAACATTTTGATTTTGATACTAAGGAATAGACCTGATCCTGAATACCAATTGCAATAAAAACATTTATTTAGTTTTAGCGGTGACCAGCAGTCAGTGAGATATACACACTGGTAATATTACTGGTAGATATTTGTTCAAGTCTAGAAGTGATCAGGCTATTGACGAGGATGGGAGCAGTGTGAGGGGTGAGGGAGGGTGGAGGCGGTTGATGTTCCTGAAGTGAAAATACCCAGACTAGGTAATATTGTTGATATAGGATTGAAATGGCTAGAATGATGTCAAGGCTCTTTACTTGAGGGTGAGGGAAAGATGGAGACACTAGGAGTTTTGTTGATGGTGGACTTGGTGCCTATTCACAAGACTTCAGTCTTATTGCTATTGAGATCTGAGGTTTAGATCAAAACCAGGACTTGATTTAAGGAATATATTGCTAGAGAAAGGCAGGAGGGAGAGTGTTGGATGGTTTGGAGGAGATGTATAGCTGGTATCATCTGCATAGCAATGGAAATGGATATTATATTTTCTGAAAATGTGGCCAAAGGGAAGCCTGAAATGATAAATAGCAGGGGGCCAAGGATGGAGCCTTGTGGAACACCAGAGGAAACAGGGGAAGGATGCAATGAATAAGGACTGATTTGAACATACTGGAAACGGTTGGAGAGTTATGATTTAAAGAGCCATTAAACACCCTTCCGAAGCTTTAATCCACCCCTAAGCAAAATCTGAAAAATCCTCCAGAGTGGGCGGCGCCTGGCAGGTTTGAGGGAGTGGGTGTGGGGCGGGCTCTGGAGTGATGAATGACAGCCAACTGACAGCCACAACATTCCAACACGGCTCGAACTGGTACGCTCCAGACTTTGAAACAGAGCGGACATTTGTGCTCAGATCACGCCGTTTCCCCTTTGTCCAGACACGGCGGGACATCGCAATGACCAGCGGTGCCAGGTAGGGGCGGGTCTCCAGATCCGGATCTCCAGCGGCTGCACCCATCACGTAACATCTGACTCATTGGTGGCCATTAGTCAAACCTGAAAATTCAAACGTAGTGGCCCTAGTTGATCCTAAAGAGGCCGTTACAGACAAAGCTTTTAACCCAAAAGTCAGATTTTTAACAAATATGCACTAAGATGCCAAAATAAGGCCAGGGATAGGTATATATTTTATATATGTTAATATATATTTGTATTTTAGACCCATTTACTCAGCTAATCAGTAGAAAAAAGTGATTTTGGTGTTTAGTGGCCCTTTAAACCAGAGCAACGGTGTGTGACATATGCCAAAAGATAAGATTGTATGTTTACAGCCCAAACTATCTTTTGCCAAGTGTCTCCCCTTAATGAAATAATAGCATATTCATAGAAACAAGCAAGCAAGTTAACATACAAACACCACACTCATACTAGTACATGTACAAAGCCAAAGCCCGCCATACCGCTGCCAGCTTGGTATTGTAGGTGATGCGGTCCTGCCAGGCGAGGCACAGCACATGGGGCAGGTACAGGGTGAAGTAGATGATGCCACTACAGGCGGCTGCCAGGTTGGCCTTGTTAAAGAAAACACTGAGGAGGAAGCACTGCATGATGGTCGCCACGGTGAAGGTCAACAGGAAGAAGAAGACCAAGAGAGGGTCACTGTAGTTCAGCACTTTACCACCCTGAAACAAGATTATACAAATACTATATAAACACACATGGAAAAATACATGTGGAATCCATCAGATATTATATACTACCAGTCAAAAGTTGTTGCTTTGTTCCATGATTGTTTACTTTGTAGATTCTTACTAAAGACATCAAAAATATGAATGGACATATATTGAATGTAGTGTAAAAAAAATACACTCAAAATAACTAAAAGACTTAGACTAAGGCTGCGTTCAGACTGCAGCCTGAAGTGACCCAAATCCGATTTTTTGGCTTCTATGTGACCTGTACCTGATCTTTTAATGACAGTCTGAACGACACAGATCCGATTTTTTCAAATGCGACTCAGGTCACTTGGATATGTGGTCCTGAATCCGATACATATCCGATCTTTTGACATGCGACTTCAGTCTGAACAGCCAAAGCGCATCCATCCGACCTACACGTCATCAACAAGCGACAAACGTAACTATTCTGCACTGAAGCAGGCGGAAACCGGAACTGTAAAATCGCCAGTTGCTCAACGCTCGCGTCCATGTTTGGACAACTTCGGTAAACACAGAGCACGCTCGCTGCGGTTGACACATGGGGTTGACGTCATCGTGTCCTCCAGTGCGGATGCGGGACACTTTCGGGCCGTTTACCGTTCACACTGGAGTCACAGACAAGTCGCATTTAATTGTAAATGTGAACGACCTCGCAAAAACATCGGATTTCACAAAAAAAATCGGAATTGAGCATTAAGCCCTGCAGTCTGAACGGAGACAATGACAAACATGAACAGAGACAACTTTGAAATTGTTCACAAAAATTAATCATGGGCACAGTAGCTCACACATCACAGACACAAATAAATTATCGCAAAAAATCGGATTTACAAAAAAATCGGAATTATAATGCAGATGAGACAAACTTTATTGATAAAAAAAAATTATCTGGGCACAAAAATCAAAAATAAAGTAATAATAAATTCAAAAAAAAAAGTGGCAAAAAGGAGCAAGAGACAGGTGTCAAATAAGACATAATTATATAAATGTACAGTAAAAGTTGTTTGAGATTGTTAAAAATAACCATCCAGTGCTTTGATCACTACTTTGCACTTTTGGCATTCCTCGACTCTGACATGTCACACGTGTGAAGTGAAGCTCATTGAGGGAAGACCAAAGGGAGGATACTTTGAAGAATTTGAATTAAAAATATAAGTTCTATACCTAGTTGAGTTATTTAACTTTTTTATCCCTTTGGTACATAATGCTATGTACCTTATCATATCACATCATATATTTGCTTTGTCTTCTGCATGTATAAAATGTAGAAAGAAGAAAACAAAGAAAAAAAAAAAGCACTGAATGAGAGCATGGGTCTGCGATGGAAATTTATATTGTGGAAAGATTTCTCTCAATCTGTCTTTGTGTAAATGAATGTGATTTGTACCCGAGACCAGACCCCCACAGGAAAATACTGATTATGATTTATTAAATTAAAATAGTGATTAGATTATCTTTTAGAAACACATTGGTCTTGAAACTAAAACTCATTTGGTTTGGTAGTTAAAGACAGTGTTAGAAAGACCCTTCAATGTAAACACTTATGTTCTATTTTGATTGCTGATCTTGTCAGGAAGTGACAAATGTGTTAATATGGATGCAAATTAGATCAAGCACATCTGGCCACACCTCAGTAGGAGTCGTCACCTTCTCATTTTCATCTCAGGCTATATAAACTAAGGATTTAATGTGGTAGGGACATATGGCTGAGGAGAGCAGGCTGTTGGTCTCTAGTCAGGACAGGCCTAGACCCTGTCCATATCTGCTATAACAAGAATAAACCTTGGTCTGTATCCAAAAACTCATTGGGCTTCGCAAATGGATTCATTATTTTTTCTTCAAGAGGTATATATTTTTTTCAACAACAGGTCTAAACTTTTGACTGGTATATATGTAGTTCACTTTTGACCTGGCATGTGCATTTAAAGGAATTTCTGTTCATTAATGAAGGCCAGGGTTATGTGGGGATTGACTGATCCTGACACTTTCTTCTTATACATATTAAAACAAAACAGCATGCACTTTAAAGGTCCACTAGAGGGCACCATCACACATCACAAAATACCACAAAGGACCAGATCAAAACTTGTAAACTATGTCATCTTGACTCTACACAGCGTGCTCTCTCTCTCTTTCCCTCCCTCACTCACAACCCCCTCTCTTTCCTCTCTCAGCACTATGAACCAGGTGCACTACAGGAGCCCACTGTCCCCTACCAGCTGTGTGTTTCTCTCTCCTCCCTCCCTACATTCTCACTCTCTCTCTCCTCCCTCCTTACCCTCTCACGCCAACGCTCTCTCTCTTGCTGATGTGTCTCTCCTCCCTCTCTTCTCTCAACCCCCCTCTCTACTCTCTCTACCTGCTGATCTCTGCCTCTCCCTCTCTCTCTTTCTCGATCTTTCTCCAGCCTTTACCTCCTCTCTCCGTCCTCCGTCTCGCCAAGATAATCACACTTAGCTGTCGATGGACCAGCTGTACCATAGGACCCCACTGTCCACACCCGTCTCTACCCCTCCCTCTCTCTTTCCCTCAACCGCTCTCTCTATTAGTTTCTCTCCTCTCCGTCCATCCCTCCCTCTCTCTTTCGCTCCTTCCCTCTCTCTTTCCCTGTAATAAAAGCGGTGAGCAGAGCGGTGCTGGACGTCATCACGGTGAAGCTGTCGATGAACCAGGTGTACAATAATAGGACCCCACTGTCCACGCCCGCTTCTATCTCTCTTTCCTTCTCTCTCTCTTTCTCTCCGTCCTCCCTTCCTCTCTCCTCTCTCACCATGATAATAGCAGTGAGCAGAGTGGTGCTGGCTGTCATCGCGGTGAAGCTGTCGATGAGCTAGGTGTATTATTAGTACCATAGGACCCGACTGTCCACTCCCATCTCTACCTCTCCCTCACTCTCTCTCTACTCTCCCTCTTCCCTCCCTCTCTCTCTCTTACCATGATAATAGCAGTGAGCAGAGCGGTGCTGGCTGTCATCATGGTGAAGCTGTCGATGAACCAGGTGTACCACAGGACCCCGTTGTCGACTCCCATGGCCCTCAGCGTCTCCTTCAGCCTGAGCTCTTTCTCCAGGACGATGCTCTTCACCGTCATGGAGACCGAGTAGATCCAGGCCAAGACCATGAACATGGGGAAGCACCGGTTCAGGGTGATCATGAACCTGGAAGAGCAAGAGAAAACTGAAATGACTCCTGAAAATACTCATTCAAGACGTCATTGCTCCATTTACTGCCACGGCTACACGCTCACTGCTCTGTACTTAATGCATTCTATAATTTTATTTTTTAAATCTGTGATAAATATAGGGTTTAGCAGCGTCACATAGGCATTTTGGTACAGATGAAAAACCTACTCACTAGTGTGCAGCTATCTATAGGAGGTGCAAACAGCTACATGGCTCTTTGTTGCGATGATGTTCACTAAGACGTCAGCTCCCGCTGGGAACTGCAGTGTTTTAAAGGAGAAGTCACTTGTTTCTTTTATTAAAGGTTCTATAATGGTCACATTTTTCTATAGAACTTTTCCACCTTCAAAGCACTTTACAACAAGGAACCACTCACCCATTCATACACACACCAGTGTACGCAGACAATGTGGGCAAGGTGGGTTAAGTGTCTTGCCCAAGGACACACACATGTGGGAGCTGGAATCACATCAGCCAACCTGTGGGTCAGTGAATCTGACCGCTCAACCTGTGATGTTTTTTTATGTTGAGAACTAGATTCAAACTGCCAACCTTCAGATAAGTGGGCGAATGCTCTACCAAGTGAGCTACTGTCTCAATAATGATTGACAGAACGCAAGCTTTTGGTCATGTTTTAACCCCTTAACGCCTGAATGTTTATAGATCTATATAAAAAATGTTTTGCGTGTTTTGCCTTTAAGTAGATGGTAAATTAAGTTGAGACGATTCATTTGACTATAGCAAAAAATAAATAAATATGAATGGGGTATGTTGTAAATGTGGGACAACTAGAAACAAGTGCTTGCCAAAGGTTCCTCGGAACATTGGAGGGACTGCAGCCGCTATCTCATCTTGTCACATATTGGTGACACTCCCCATTAAGGGAATATCTTTACCTCATCTAAAACATACCTGGAGTTGTGTTTTGTTTCATTCACACATGTTCCACTGTGTGATGGCATGAAGTGGTCGTTCCTTTTACCTTTAGTTCAGTAGAGATTGGTTGAAATTATCCAAATGATTCTAGTGAAGATGTATGAAGTTTAAAAACATAGTGGAGCACTTTCTGTATTACTACATGACATCACAAGTTGGAAGAGAGTGTTTTCTGTTTGAGATAAAAACTCAGAAGAAATATGCAGGCTTTGTGTGTTAAAAGTGTGAATGAAACAGCCCTGATGAAGACTAAGTAGTTAAAACACGTTGGCGTGACAATTAATAAATACACCGCAAATCTGAGTGACTCTGCCATCCTTTTTTCTACTCAACAAGAATTCAAGCCCTCTGGTCTGATGAGCACCTGCATGCGTAAGTTTTGATCCAGTGCAGCACTCCAGTATCGTTATATATTTACAACTCCAGGTATCCTTGTGATGAAGAAACATTATAACAGATTAGAAACTAGTGTAATATGGGCCCTTTAAGTCATTTTAGATCAATATCACCATTTAAAAGACCCAAATTATAACATAATGATCCTTGGGTGTCATAAACTCTAACTATATAGCATACAAAATCACAATATGTCTTTTTTAAGTGAACCTTTGCCATTTTTATATTCACTAGAGTGCACATTTTGTACTACAAGAGAATGGGATAGTGGTTTGCCCATTTTCATAAACCATCTAGCTTCCTGTCCTGTTTCTCTTCATCCATAAATCTCCTCTCTGGTCTTCCTCTAGGCCTCTTGTCTGGCAGCTTTAACCTCTTAATCCTTCTACCCATAAATATTCACTATCCCTGCAAACCACCTCAGACATGGATTACATTTTGCACTTTTGAACTTGGGATAAAACTACAACTTACTCAAACTTTTCTGAATAATCACCCAGTAACTATTTGAGTAGCCTGACCCAAGGCTGGACACGCCGAGGCCAGTCCCATAAGAGCAGCTCAATACAGGAGAGTTTTGACCCTGAGACTTCATATGGCTGGAGTGGTCCATTCATTTGAGGGCCCTCTGAACGTTTATACCACAAATGATGTTGGACGACTACTTCCTATCGCCTACTCTCTTTATTTAAATTTTTTGACAGGAGGTGCCTTAGTTTGATCCTGGTTTGAGGCCAGTTTATTTCTGATGAAGACTGTTTTGGTCCTGGTATAGTGCGTGTTTAATTTCAGATTTAGTCGTACTTTTTGTGAATGCGGAGGTGGGTAGTATTCAGTTAGTATACATGTACTTTTCTAGCAGCAAACTTTTATTCCTACTTGAGTAATATTTTTTATTGAACAAACAGTTCTCTTAATTGAGTAAAAGGTTTGGTTACCCTTCCTAAAGTGAGTAAGTCAAAACCTTTATGTTGACAATATTAAATGATTTGAACATTTATGGATCAGCAGGACATACCTAGCCTGATTCATCAGACAGTTTCACTTTGTGGAAACCGTCTGACCTCACAGCATTAGGATTCCTTCGCTCGATGGTAGGCGGGTACTTTTTTTACTTAACCAGTTGCTGCTATTTGGTCGTGACGTATGTAATGCGCCGCTAACAGGGCTAACTGGTATATTAAGCTTTTCCCAAATCCCGTAGGAAGAAGGGCAATAACGTCTTTCCCTTTGATAAAATTCACCAAACATTCTCTTTGTTCCGGCTTTAAATCCTCGATCTCGGGAATCGTTGCCAACACAGAATGTATGTCTTCATTTACATCCATCTCGACCGCTTTGTTTTATTGTTGTGCTACACCACAAAAGGGACCCAGACAGGAGCTTGAGTTTGACGTCATGGCTTCACAGCTCTTCGCTGATTGGCCGGTGCGCGATCTACAACTTCTGGTGTTCTTGGAAACTGTCTAGTGAATTCCGATTCCTGACCTAGTCACTGCAGAGAAATTAAATTGAGTGGAAGCACTAGGTGGCACCAGCCTGGCTAGGACAAGAATTTCTTTAATCAACAACAGCCCTACTGCATTCACACTGTTGTCCTGGTTAAGTCCTGGTTGGAGCCCAGTTTAGTCCTGATCTAGACTTGGTTTAGTCCTGGTTAAATCTTTTTCTAGTCCAGGTTTAATCATGAGTTAGTAGTCCCAATGATTAAATGCTGAGAATGCAAATATGAACACAACCTACACTCTAAGTTTGTAGTTTCCAGACCTCCTAAAATTTGAGTTAGAATAAAAACAGACTCTTTGACGTCTCCACTCACACATCGTCCACGTAGCACGGGTAGGGCATCTGCTGTACGTAGACGCCCAGGGGCCAGTCGTTGCCTGTGTGCAGTTTGATGATGCCGTGTTCGATCATGTCCTGGAGGTACGCGAAGCCGCCCCAGATGTACCGCTGGTCCTCCATAGGGTCAGCTCTAGGTCCCGGGTCCCAGTATCTGTACACAGGAAGTATTGTTAATAAATAATAATTATACATAACACTTGCTGTAGTAGTAGGAGTACTACTACTTCATACAAAAAGACAAAACATCAGAATAAATAATAAAAGCAAGAGAAAGTAAATCATATCAGATAATTTAATATAATTTAATATATTTTTAAAGTCATTGAGTAATGTATCAGATTACTACCCACATCAGCCTAAAATAAATGAATTGTTTTATTGCACACTGAAAAAGCAGATGGAAATACACCGAACATGATCATCCTTTGTTTGTTTTCAATTGATACTTTGCAGTGAAATCACGCTGGGGTGTTCTGCATGAATGTCTCTATAGAAATATGCAGCAGTTTCCATGAAGACACACATTAGAAAACACTGCCAAAAAAGTCTTAAGATAAAATTTAGGATTGTAGTGTTTGATAGTGAACAAAAAAGGTGAGAGTGACTAACTGACAAACTGCTTGTGACAGTAATATCAGTTGAGAGGGACGTGTTTAACAGCACAAATCACAAGTTGCAGTTCCAACCAAGTCAAGTTCTTTTTGGTCAGATTCTGTTAAAACAAAGATTAAAGTCTAACTTGAGAAACAGATTACAGGTTAGATTTGTGGAGAATTTACCTCACTCACAGTAAGAATGGACAAGCATTTGAACACTTGTAGTTAAATAAACAAGGCAGATTAGTTCAATACCATATTACGGGCTATTTACACAAAAGCATTGAAGGGACAGTTCGGAAGTTTGGACATGGGCCTAATTTCCTAGTGAGCCAGAGTGTTGGAGACGTGTGGAGACACTTTTAAACATATTTTATCTAGTCCTTGTATTTGCAGAGGTCGCTGGTGCTAGACTAGTGCATGTCAATGGCCATAGTTATCCTGCCACTAAAAACAGTCTTACCCACTCCACAAAACACCCGAAGCAATTATTACACCAGACTGTCCATGTGAATGTCTGTGTTGGTAGAATAATGTTTGAAATAAAACTAACCTTCCATGGCATGAATTGTCGCATGTTGAGGGACTATTTTCTCATATATCAGTCCGCTGCTGCCAAGCTTTCTATCAGACAGTACAATTTGCTGCTGCTGCTCAGACATAAACCCTTCAAATGCAAGGTTGCTTTTACTTCTAAAATTATTCTATCAACACAGACATTTACATCGACAGTCCGGTGTTAAAATTGTTTTGCCTCGGGTGCTTTGTGGAGTGGGTAAGACTAACTATGGCCATTGACATGCACTAGCTTAGCACCAGCGACCTCTGCAAATACAAGGACTGGATGGAATATTTAAAAAAGTGTCTGCACATGTCTCCAACACTCTGGATCACTAGGAAATGAGGTCCTATGTCCAAAATTCCACACTGTCCCTTTAACATCTCCATTAGCAGAGTGCAAAAATATTGAAATATTAATATATCGTATCATTTAATATGATGATACAGTACTGATATCAAGGGCTGTGGTATCAATATAGCTCCAAGAGTATATTTTGGTTTATTTTACTAAAATATTTTGTTACAGCGCTACAGTTTTGTTGCTTGTTTAAAGGAAGGGAGTTCATTTATGCGACACATTTGACATATTCACTGTTTTAACGATTAAATGTTTGTGTTTCATATTGACTTTGCACAAGAAGTGGTTGAACAAAGACTTTTAGTATCACTGCTATGATTTAGCCTTTGCTTTTATTGGACCGTATTGAATCCATTTGAAATCGAATCGAAAGCTCACTGTATCGAAGTATGTATCGTATCGCCAACTTCTTAATGTCTCCATGGAGACAGTTTGCAAACTCTCTCTAGAAAAGTTTCGCAGAGCACCTTTAAATCCTGCATTGAAACTTGTTTAATAAATCATCAAAGTCACCGTTATCTAATGGTTTCCTTGGGGGAATAATACCTTTTACAATCCTATTATTGAACTGCACAGAAGCCAATACCCCCCTGCTGTGCCCTATATGTATATGTTCTATAGACATTTCAAAGTATGGATTCACCTTTAGGGCCCTATATCCACGCACTGTTTATGAATGACAGATCAAAGACACAGAAAAGAGAATCATACGTAGAATACAAGTGGATGTACTGAGTTATTGTAGCCCCGGAGAGAAGCTATAGAGGGCATTATAAACATATGGAGAGCAGATGGAGGGCCGTGCTGAAAAATGGGGAGAATAGCCTCATTAATGCACCTATAATGTAAAGCTATAGGATTATTGCATATGGCTGACGTCTCCGCCAGCAGTCAAGGTGGGGCATTGGTATTCATGTATGCATTTGTAAGAGGTGGTATCGGAGATTGAGAGAGGCTAAAATGCATGTCAAATATACGCGAATGCTGCCGTTGCTCAGGTGAATTTTATATTAATAGGAGATGGAATAAATGTGGAATAAAAGTGGATTGAAGGCTTTTAAACGTGCACTATGTAACTTTATTATAGGCATAGGTGGAGGAGTCACCTGTTTATCTCCGTGAAGATTTTTACTGCTTTGCCTTGAATGTTCCACAGTATGGTATTGCAATTTTGTAGTGGATATCTCTGCCACGAATCCACAGTTGGCCAGACAGAGGAGCCATAGCAGAGACCATCCACGTCGAAAAAAGAGGGGGAACACTATTTAGTTAGTTTTACGTTCGTTTGTCTAGTTTATTTAAGGTTACTTTATTATCACTTATTATTTTATTGTGGAAAAAATGATGTACCTCTTGATGATAAATAATTAATCCATTTGTGAAGCCGGGTAACCAAGGTTTATTCTTGTTAAGGCAGATATGGACCTACAGCCTTTCTTAACCAGCAGTATGTTCCTACTCCATTTGACTCAGGGCCTCTCCACACAACATTTTTTGGTCGATATGGTGAAGTTTGTATTCGTTTTGGCCTTTCGTCCAAGGTGAGCGAAAACTGAGTTTTTTGAGAACAGGTTCCAGAGTGGAGAAATCTGACAACGCCGGTGTTGCGTTGTCATGTGGACAAACAAACCGCAGCTTTTGGAAAACATTGACATCACAACCCCGTTCATCGCCAGGATCCTCAGATGCAGTGAAGGCTGCAGCCCTCAAACTGGCCTCCGTGGACCGCAAGAGTGTTGTCGAAATGGGACAGGTGTGGCTTACGGAGCCGCTCCCGTCACCCAGCAACCGAGACACGCTGTTTCATGCTAACAACAGATTACGCACATGGATCAATAACAAAGATTATGCACGAGTAATTAAACTGTTGGATTCTGAGACTAAGTTATTCTAATAATTCTCATCCAAATCTTATGGCTAAAAACGAAAACTTACGTTTAACTTTTACAAAATAAAACTGCTATATTTCTGTGATACATCTAAACTAGGCTAAATTACCTTAAAGTAAAAAAAAATAAAATAAAAAATGGTGACCAGATCTGCATTATTAAATATTATTGTCATTGTTAACAGCGCCACATACAGGTGTGGCATATGTATTACATCATTTTCACTCCGTGCTCCGTTGTCATCTGGAAGTGAATATTTACTGATCTGACACGTGTGTGGACGCAAATTTTTTTCAGCCCGTAAAAGAAAAAATCCAGGAGCGTTGTCGTCGGACATAGCCTCAGTCTTTGCCTCTCGAGTCTCTGCTCCAAAGCATCTGAGCTCTGAGTATTTATACAGAAATACAAGTTACATACATATCAAAGCAGAGTGACTTTTGTTTCAGAGGCTGGTACTAACTTGACAACCATTTGAGGACAGCTAAGACAATACTCTATTTCCTGTGGGTGGAGACGGTTGTGTCTGCTGAGCCTTTACACATGTTAGCGACTGGTCTGGGTCTCAGGTAGAAATCACATTCATTTACACAAAGATTGAGAGAAGTCTTTCCACAATATTCATTTCCATCACAATTTTCTGTATTATACTTATTTGCCTTCTTTTCACTTTGATTAAGTTAATTATTTAGTGTAATTCTCCCGCACGTGTTCAGTTTTAGTTGTAGATGTATTTAAACGCTGCTGTTCTTTGTCTGGTTGGGTTAGTTTTGTTCTGTTCAGTTTGATTTAAGTTACCCCAGTTGGGCCCGGCTTTTTTGTTAATGATTTATCTAATTTGAGTCTTTGTTAAATTACGTTTATTTGAACTTATTTTTATACCTTGTCTTTGCCTTTCTGTTTGGTCCACTAAAATTTTCCTATCCAGCATTTATTTTATTAGTGTTCCTTTTATTGCTCTGAACAGTAATTTGGCCTGGTGGTGGTGCCACCTGGAGACCCTATGCCACAAAAGTTACATAAATATTTATACATGAGTTTCAAGCTAGAGGTCTGTGCGGAACAGAATTTTCTGTACCCGCATTGTGCAGTCCCCCTCATGCCTGCAAAGAATTGTAATTTTCATTCCCGCTCCCACCCGCATCTGCGATATTTTGTCCCACTCTCGCCCACAAATCCTGCAAGATGGAGACGTTCTCGTTCTTAAACTCTATCAAACACAGAGAAGGGAAAGGAATTGTCTAAAATGTGCGCGAGATTAGACCACATCAGCAAGTTTAGGCTGCTTAAAATGTTTTTATTAATGCCAAATAAAATATCCAGCACAAATTATGCATGATAGGAAAACATTAATCATTTGTATATTTTACTTTACACTCATATTTAGTTTGTAGGACTGCAGGGAATCATCCCGTTCCCGCCTGCGCACGCAATGAGCTTTCAAAATGTGTCCCGCTCCACACTGTTTTGCGTCGGGTCAGGAGTGCAGGGCTATATTTTAAGCTATAACAACCGTCCTCTGTGGTCATGACAATTAAGCAATTCAGATCTATATATTATATCTTCTGAATAGGGAAATGTCCTCAAAGTCCTTCAAATCAAGAAGGAATTATTTGCCTGAAACTTATGAATCTAAATATATAAATACTAAGGATGCACAGATACTGATACTAGTTAAAAAAAATTTTTAAATTGCTGGATCAAATATCAGTACCAGAAATCGGATGTAATAAGAATATAATATTTACTGGATGAATTTGACCAAGAACCTCTCATTATGTTTGAACTTTTATTCATGTTTGTTTTTGACATGAATGAGTCTGGTGGATCATCTGTGACTCACATTTGTAAATCACTCGCTCTGAAATCAAGGAGACAGGATACGGCTCCAGATCCACTCATCTTTGTAAAGTTTAATCAAAGCGTGTGGTTCTGGCTGCTAAAGTAAATAAAATAGTAGAATGTATTGTGTATTCTTTTTGTGTGTTTCAGCTTCCTGTTTGTAGGCGTGTTGTTCCCGCGCAGCACTCTGACCTGTCCTTGATCTTATTGGTCCTCTCCACTGCGTCGATGTCCATTCGGATCTTGTAGCGGACGTGCGGGGGGACAGTGGTGGTCCAGGGAAACATGTCCATGAAGACCACACCTGCCCAGTACTTGTTCTGCTCCAGGAGGTGCAGAGCCTGGTGGATCATCTGGGACTCATCAGTGTGAGGGACAAACTTATCCAGACTGATGCACTGTTGACAAAAGAGAGAAATTAAGAATTAGACTGAACATCGAGTAAATGAAATGGATGGTACAATGTCGTAACTGTGAGAAATAAAGTAGAGATGGTTTGATATGTTGTTTAAAAGTCCTGTATTATGCAAAATTGTGAGTTTTTAGCCATGTTATAATGTTGTTACCTCCTCCTTTTGTTTCCTTCACACGTTTGAATAATCTTTTTATTAGGATGCATCATTTGCCCAAATGTCAGAAATTCAACTTGTACCCAATTTTCAAATGTGACAGTACCAATTAAAAGAAACTCTGAGGAACATTAGCTTAATTGAATAATATCTACTGGGTCCACCAAGCCTCTTAAGTCCCTAAAGGTGTCCATGAGGCCCTGGCTGAAAAATCTGTTTTTCTCAAATAACTTTAAAAAATAATCCATTTAGGCCATGGTGTCAATGAAAGTTGAATATAAATGTTGCTGTTCCGCATCTTTTGGTACCAATTTTATATCTCTATCTTCATAACTTTCTAAGACAATTTTGTCAAGATTTTGAGTGTTTTCTCATAATTATCCAATATTCACAAAGGCCAAAGATGAAATGCGAGACATAAAGTTTGTTCTCTTTCTGTAGTGATCATAGACTGTATAAAAAAAGGGAAAAGTGAGTGTGATGTCACCCAGAGCGTCCTGCTCAGGGTTTGGTAAACCCAGGTTTCCAGAAAGAATAAGTTATTGTTATTAAAGAAAAACTGATTTTTCAGCTCAGATTTAAGGCTTCTGCAGGCACTAAACTTCAGAGGCTCGGTGGACCCAGTAGACATCAAGAGAATTTCATGAAATTTCTCATTTACTTTGACAAGTGTAAAAAATAGACATTAAACACAGATTGATTTTCAAAAAAAAAATCTAAATGTTGGGCAAATGATGCATGATTAGTCAACTAATTGATAATTAATACTTAAGAATTTCATTGATCATGGTGAGGCTGCATCTGACAACACAAATACTGGAGTTGCGGCCTCACAGTCCCACGTCTCGGCTCTGGCACCTCCTTGGAGATCACAATATCCCTCAAAGAGTGTGTTTACAGGCACATCAGTGTCTAGGGTTTGATCGGGTTTTTTGAGTACCCCAGTTTCATCATGGTGCATTTATATGCAGTATCCAAGTTACTGTAACAGTTGAGTGTGCATGCATCCAAAAAACAAACACTTTTCAGTCTTTTCATCACAACAGTAGCCAAAATAAATAAGTGACCAACAAAAATAAAGTGAGTGAAATGACTGCACTAAACCTGCACATGTACAACCTGCACTGACCTTTTACCTTTAGTTCAATAGAAATTGGCAATTCCAGGGCTGAAATTATCTAAATTATTCTAGTGAAGACATGCGTAGTTTAAAAACACAGTGATGCTCTCGCTGTACTGCCATATGACAACACAAGGTGCAACAAAGCACATGCAGGATTTGTGTGTTAAACGTGTGTGGATGAAACAAAACACAACTCCAGGTCTGTTGCGATGCGATGAGGAAACAACACTGTAACATAGATCAGAAAATAGTGTAATACGGATCGTTTAACCATTACTTGACTTGCTGTTGTGGCATTCTGAGCTTTGGAGATGTAGACAGACAAACAATAAAGGATTACCCAAACGTGTGAATGAAACTGAACTGAATGTTTTTGATGAGGTAACAACATTAGAACACGGCTTAAAGCTCACAAAAGTCATTGTTGTGTAATACCTTTATAGAAAACACTGGCTTAAGTTACAGTGTGTTTTCTGTTTGTAGGATTAGATTGTCTGTGCTCTAATTGAAGGCTTTGTCCCTGCTGGTGGTAATGCCAAACCAAGGATCAAGGCAAGCCAATGTTTGTCCTCTTTGGAATTAACCAGTGGGTGAGACCATGTGGTTTGATCCCGGCTTTGGGACCAGGCCTATTATTGTGCCCATAAGCAAGATACGTCATTGTTCTTTCCTATGCCTGATTGAGGTGGGTGAGTGATTGGTGGCTTGATTGGAGAAGATGAGAATCGAAATCCCTCTCTGAATACAATTTAAGGTTTTATATTACACAAAACTGATTCTTGTGAGCTTTAAGATATGTTATAATATTGTTTACTCCTTAAAAATATATCCAGAGTTGTGTTTCGTTTCATTCACACATGTTTGAGTAACCTTTATTATACTATTTTTAGTCTGTCTACATTTCCAAAGCTCAAAATGCCACCTTCTGATGTCATGTAGTGGTAGTTAATAGTTACTTTTTATCTTTATTTCAGTAGATATACGCAATTCCTGGACTGAAATCATCCAAATGATTCTAGTGAAGGTGTATGGAGTTTAAAAACACAGTGGAGCACTTCCTAAATTACTAAATATGCAGGGTCTGTGTGTTTGAGAATGAAACAAAACACAACTCTAGGTATTTTTTGATGAGGAAACATTATATATTCAATAAAAATAGCGTAATATGGACCCTTTAAGTTAACTATTGTATTATTATTATTACATTTTTGGATTTTTACATCTTTAACCAATGTCAAGGCTAGTTTACTACATGATTTCACTTGGATTTGGACACTTGGATGTAGCTCGCTGTAGCTCTACCCTTGTTGTATTTTACACTATGGGTGCGTTCACACTTGTCCTTATTGGATCTGTAGTTTAGCCCAGTTTAGTCCTGATGTAGACCTGGTTTGGTTCTGTTCCAGTCCTGGTTTAGTCCAGATTTCATTCTAGTTTAGTCCAACTTTTGATGTCTGTAGGGTTGTCAAAAGTACGGGAATCAGACACTAATCAATATTAAAACTAGAAACTCATATGAACTGGTGTCAATGCTAAAAAAAAAAAAAAAAAGACACATTTACAGAACAGAATTGAACCTTTCCTGAATAGCTTTAGAATGATCTCGGGCTGTATTAGAACAAGTATAAGAGCACATAGACTAATATACACTTAAGTACCACTACGGAAAGTACCTGGACGACTAAAGGATTACACCAGGGGTCACCAAACATTTTTCTCTGGAGGCCACATTATCACTTCTGACTGTGATGGGGGTCGGGTCGGCCGTATAACAGAATTGTATGACCCTGACGACGCAGATTATATTCTTTGAAAACCGCCACACTTTCTTTACATATCAGACAAACTGCACGGTCCTTACACTGAATAACAACATAATCGGTTGTCCACTATTCTTTGAAAACTCTGCACTCTCTGTCAAGTTCTCGTACTTAACCATTTTGCCATCCTTAACTGCACTACAAAACTGTGTGATCTCGAGCTTGTCAGGTGACGAAAACTCGGCAGCAAATGTAAATATGTCATATAATTATTTAAATGTAAATACTTCATATAAATATACTTTTAAAATTGAAACAACCAACAAAATACAAGATGCTGATGTGTTATTATTTGCCAAAAAGTAATTTAAAAGAATAGGCCATGACAACTTTTGAGGACTGCCTCATAGGGCCAATCATAAGGGGCAGAGGGGCTTGGGGGCCGGTCAAAGGAGCGTTGCGGGCCAAAGTTGGCTCGCGGGCCTTAGTTTGATGACTCTTAGATTACACAGACATAAGAGCACATGGGAATATAAAAGAAAGTACTATGATTTAATGTTGAAAATCACATTCTATTGTCTAAATAAAGATAATAAAATGTATTAAAACCGTGGTATCTGTTTTGAGTACCGAGTCTACTCCTTAGTATCGAAATAGTGTTGTCATGATACAAAAATTTCAAACTCGAACTGTCTGAGAACACACACAGTACTCCCAGTCCCAATAGCTCACCATTTCCCAAACGCTCCACATTTTTATTCATACAAATCTGATTGCTATTATGGTCAGTTTTGTTTATTTATCTGCGAGCAGCACACCCTCTGTCCCAGTAGTCTACTATTTCCCCAAAAATCCACCCCTCACCACATTCCCAGAACTGTTTTCCTTATGTTTCCTTGTGTCAGACAGCAGCATCAGTCTTCGGTCGTCCCTTTGAAAGTTTGAGGGCCACTTAGCCGCACCACACTGGCCATTATGCAGACACTTCCCCGGCAGAGGGTTGAAAGGAGAAGAGAACAAGTGTGCTGTCAGGACGGCTCCCACTGCCATTGTGAGGGCTTTGATAAAGTGAAGGGGAGAGGAGATCTGAGGGCGGACTGTGGCTGGAGCCTGCACTCTGCATGGGGAATCACAGAGGGCAAATGAGTCCAACACATACAAGCACTGCACTGGGAACTCGGGCTTAAACCTGGTTTTGGGAGTTTTATTATGTAGCTTGGATCTCTCTTATCGCTTTTATTTAGTACTACTACTACTACCACTACTACTACAGATCTTACTACTACTACTACTACTACTACTTATTTTTTAGGACTACTACTATTACTACTAATGTACTCATTTGGATCTTACAACTACTACTACTTATTTACTACAGATCTTAGTACCATGACTACTACATACTTACTACTTTGGAGCTTACTACTACTACTACTACTACTACTACTACTACTTATTTACTACAGATCTTAATACCCTGGCTACTACCTCATCCTCCTCATACTACTAGTAGTGCTACTATTTTGGATCTTACTACTAAGACTACTACTACTACTACTACTACTTTGGATCTTACTACTACTGATACTACTACTTCTTCTACTACTACTGCTGCTTATTTACTACAGATCTTAATACCATGACTACTACTTAGTTACTACTACGAATCTTACTAATTACTACTACTACTACTACTACTACTACTACTACTACTACTAGTACCACTACTAGTACTACTACTTCTACTACTACTACTACAACTACTTATTTACTACAGATCTTAATACCATGACTACTACTAAGTTACTACTACGAATCTTACTAATTACTACTACTACTACTACTACTACTACTACTACTACTACTACTACTAGTACCACTACTAGTACTACTACTTCTACTACTACTACTACTACTACTACTACTACAACTACTTATTTACTACAGATCTTAATGCCATGAGTACTACATGCTATTACAGATCTTATTACTTTTAGTACTACTTCTAGTACTACTACTACTACTACTAGTACTACTACTACTACTACTACTACTACTACTACTACTACTACTACTACCCTGGGTATACTACCGAGTACAAATATAGTGTAAAAGCCTCTCTAGTTGTAAAAGGAAAACTGTTACTGTCTGCAGCTAATGATAAAATAATAAATAAATAAAAATCAGGAAGTGCACAGTTAGCATGCTATCTGTTGAACTGCAGCGGCAAACTCCGCTCTGGCCTCTGAAAGTTTTGAAAAGCGTAGTGTATTATGATGCTTGGAAGGCATAAGGAATAAGTTTGGATCGCTGCGAACTGTTGAAAATGAATTAGTTCTGTTTTTGTTTTTGAACCGTCTTGGTTTGGTCTTAACGCCAACAGTGGATGCAGGGGCTGTATATACTGCAGTAATGAAATGTACATGAGTTTGAAAGAAGCTACTCTAAAACAGCTCAACAAAACTCAGATGCACTGCTTAGACCATGAAATTCAGAGTTTAAATTACAATAAAGGCTTTCTGTTTCCCATGCGTACAGTGAGTAGGGGCGTGATGTCTTACCCAGGGGCACAATAAAGTATAGAAAAGTCTGAAGTTGAACCACCTACCCTCCAACTCTTTGTATTGTTAAGGGCCCAATCCCACAATTAGTTATAGCTAGTTAGTTATATTAGACAAAAGGGAGCGTTAAAGGGACAGTTTGGAATTTTGGACATAGGGCCTCATTTCCTAGTGAGCCAGAGTGTTGGAGATGTGTGGAGACACTTTTAAAAAATATTCCAGTCCTTGTATTTGCAGAAGTCACCGGTGCTAGGCTCGTGCATGTCAATGGCCATAGTTATCCTGCCACTAAAACCAGTCTTACCCACTCCACAAAACACCTGAAGAAAATATATTATTATGCCAGACTGTCGGCTGAAGCAGTGTCCTGCACCGGGTCTGGTACAGGCAAATAAGCTAGTTGCTGAAACGGGCGGGTTTTAACGCTCTGGAATTTTACGGGCGGGTACCTGGGCGGTTAGTGATTACACACAGGCAGGTCAGGAGGTCAGGTTTAGTCCTCCTGTTTCAGTCCTGGAATCAGTCCTAGGTTAGTCCTGGGTTAGTCCTGGTTTAGTCTTGGTTCAGTCCGTGGTGTAGGCAGCACAAAAGTTTGATATAATCTCGGATCAGCAGGTGGGTGCGGTGCTGTACTTCGAGGGTGCGGGTCTCCAAAAATTTGCCCGTGCGGGACTCTGCGCTGTAGGGCTCCATTATGGAATAAATTAATCTTCGGTTCGCTACATAAAGAACGAAAATAACAAAAGGACGACAGCAGCAATAAGTTTTAAGAAGGATGTAAAAAAGGTTAACTGTCTTGTCTCAGAAAAGTGTAAAAAGTGGTTTTACAGCCTTAAAACAGATATAATGATTGTAAAATATAGTTGACTATTTCGCGGATTTCACCTATCACGGGTTATTTTTAGAACGTAACTCGAGGGACCACTGTATCTGCAAAAACATACCTGGAGTTAAGTTTTGTTTCATTCACGCATATTTGAGTAACCCTTTATTATTAGTTTGTCTACATCTGAAGACATCTCCCAGAATTCTCTGTTCCACTTAATGATATCATGTGGTGGTAGCTTTCAAGTTAACAGCCACCTTTTACCTTTTGTTCAGTAGAGATTGAAAATTCCAGGACCAAAATTATCCATATGAATCGAGTGAAGGTGCGTGGAGTTTTTGATGAGGAAACAACATTGTAACACAGACTAGAAAATAGCGCTTTAAACATAGTCGCTTAGTAGATCTTAATGCACAGTAATCCATCTACAAAGCATATCATTCTCTCTTTTGTTCCAAAGAATTTCCAAAACAAACCCCAGCGATTTACCCAATTCTCCACAGCTGTCATCTGGAGAGGGCCCATAGGAAAAGCCTGCTCCTCACCGGGTCAATGCTACGCTTTTCACTCCTGTAGTCCCAAATAACATGTGTTTAAGGGAGCCTCTTTCTCCACTGTCTGTTTCTGAAGAGACAGTGTTGTATAGAGAACGTATGGACCATAAGGATGAATGGGATGGGGTCTAAAGTTGTTTCTATGGGAGCTCTCAGGGCATTGTACAGTAATGTGAATAGATGCATTGGACATGGTTTAAAATGTGGTTTAAGGGGCCAATATTGTTCAGTGTTTCCAGTCTGTATCGAGACCTACTGCAGAAAATATGCTTTTAACGGGGCATTGTGTAACTTTTCTGGTGGACGGTCCATCATACGCTTTCACAGTACGACATTAAATGTTTCTACCTTCATGGAGACCAAACAAGACCAAATTACAAGTCAGAATGTCTGTTTTTCTAGGTATTTTTGAGCTATAAACCCACCTGTAATTGAATAAATGTAAGGTAAAGCTGTTTAATGTCCTACTACGGAACATTCCAGGTAGAGCAATGACATATTCATAGAAACAAGCAGGTGATGGCATCTTTAATCTTGATTAGTTACAGATAGTTGTTTATTTATTTTTCAGTGAGGTTCATTTATGTTCTATGAAACTTCCTCAATCAAATAATAAGATATACGATACTGCATACTCCATACTGCATGTTGGTTTTCCCGATTTGATCATGTCTAATTTGTCAAGTAATGCGCCGTTGTGCTCTTAAGCACTGGACACTTCACCCACATTGCCTAGTCTGAATGTAGTGTGTGTGAGTGTTGGTGGTCGTGGCCAAATTCAGACAGGTTCGGACAAATATTTCACACTTATGTTCGGGCTCAGGTCAGACTTGGACATCTGCTGTTTCCCGTCTACAGTAAAACCACTCGCTTTGAGACTCTTAAGTGTTCAAAAGATCAGAGCACTGCACTTCTAGTTTAGCTACAAGTCAAAACTGTCTTATTATTGTTTGTGAAATGTGGCTCAATACTTCAGATACATGATTTTTAAAGCATAAAAGACTGTCGATAAAGTCAGTAGTCAGTATCAAGAATCTGCGGCTTCACCTCGATCCGCGCACTTTGTCGATGTAAACAGACACATGTGAACTACTTTCGCCTTTTTACTTTCAAAGAACATCTTAAACTGGATTAACAGCGCTGTTTTGTGGACTGGGTGTCATCATTTGCAGGGGATAATTTCTACGGATAATGTGGATGAGATGCTACATTTTAAATTTACCACTTTACGAGAGGTGAGTAATAAAGTCTTCTCATAACTTTCGCTAAATCCCGAGTTTGTATTTTGAGTCTCTATGTCCGTTAGAGGCCATGCATGTCATTAGTGCGCCTATGAAAATAATGTCACTGCACTGTCAGACATGGGCCGGGCTCTGACATAAAAATTTGACCCGATTCCCACATATTGGCACAGATAATATTATTCTATGCAGATGTAATAAAATATAAGCAATAAAACTAATGGGAAAGCCAAACTATTTAGCTTTCATTACTACTTACTTATGTACTTGAGTAAAATTTGCTTTGGACTAACTGGTTATTGGAATACTTTAAGAATGTCATTTCAAGTCCTCACCTCTCCATACTGGTTGATCATTCGTACGACCTGGTCCGTGAGGTTGAAGATGTTCGTCCAGTCCAGATTCACCATCCCAGGCTCCCGCTCCTCCTCCGGGCCAGTGTGCAGAAAGTTCAGGATGTCTTTGGTGCGAAAACCGGTCCCCTCCAAACTGTTGTCCATGAAATGTGTGACTGTGGGGTTTCTGAGCGTGTCCTGGAGAAAGAAAAACAAAACACAGATGCATAGGACAGTTGAACATTTTGTTAAACAGTCACTTTCATTTAGGGTTACAGGTCAATATAGAGCTTTATTCTGGATTTATGGGTCAGTGTTATATTGCTGTTTCCCCATCACAAACATACCTAGTTGTGTTTTGTATGACTCACACATGTTTAACACACAAACCCTGCAGATTTGTGATGTCATGTCGTAATACAAGAAGTGCTCCACTGTGTTTTTAAACTCCACACACCTTCACTACAATAACGTGGATCATTTCAGCTCTAGAATTGCCCACGTCTCCAGAACAACAGGAAAAAGGAGCTGTTAACTTGAAAACTACCACTAAATGACATCACAAGGTGGAGCAGAGCATATTAAAATTTGGAAATTTAGTAAACAAGGATTACTCAAATGTGTGAATGAATGTTTTTGAGGAGGTAACAGCATTATAACATGGCTTAAAACTCACAATAATCAATGTTTTTAAATAATATAGGACCTTTAAAGAATATTTGTTATGCATTTTTCTGACTTTAATTCCCTTTTAAACATTGTTTGCTCACCGCGGGATTAGTATTTTACATATTGTACCTTAAAATAATGTCTATATAGTCAAAAATACAATTTATAAAGTACAGGCATTTAGGAAGTCTGGAAATGGCTTATGAACTTAAAAACTGCAAAGATTTTACCTGTGATGCAACAATTCTAGTAAAATGTGGAAACTTAATGTTAAAATGTATTGATTGTTAGTAGTTAAATATAAAAGTAATAAACGGGGGTTGTTCTTGTTAGTTAAGGCACACTATGTAAAGAAAAACATTACTTTTACTTATATTTTTATCTGCATTTTATATGGATATATCATGTCTTACTAGTTAAAGGCACCTCTTGCCCCTAAATAAAAATAGCAAATTGACATTGCATTTACACATCTAGATAAACCTCTTAGATTAGTAATGATTCATTTAAGAATGGCAGAAAAAATAAACAGTAAAAGTAGCAGCTCTGAAGTCGAAAGTTCTTTGTCAATGCCAGAGGTTTAATGAGAATGAGCAGACTGGCATAAGATATAGAAAACTGACAGTAACTCAAAATGATCTGTTTTTCTCTCATGCAACTGATAAACTCGATCCAAAGTGTACATCAAATATGTCCAGGCTCCACATGACTGATGTCTACGGCGCTTTTGCCCTGTTATGTAACTCCGCTACATGCATTATGTCTATGTGGACGTGTCTAAAGCCAGGCCAACACTGTAAATCTCTGCTTAAATAAAACACATGGCCTCTCTGGGTGGATGCAGCGCTGGGATCAATGCGGTATAAAGAAAAATAGACAAATCTTCAACATGGTAGCCTACAATAACTCATTTTGTAAACTTCTATACACAGTAACTCATACAAACTAATATGACTTTGATGTACTGACAGTTTATGTAATGTCCAAAGAGTGTTCAAAAAAGCTAATGTAAACGAAAATTAAAAAATAAAAATATATATTACTAAACAAAACTGACTCCTGCGAGCTTTAAGCGATGTTAGAATGTAGTTACCTCATGAAAAACATATCTTGAGTTGTGTTTTGTTTCATTTGCACATTTATGTGATCCTTTTATTGAATCTTTTTATTTAATCTAACTCTAATTAATCTGTCTACATCTCTAAAGCTCAGAATGCTTTGCTCCACCAAAGTGTTTTCAGTTTGTGAGAAGAAAATAGCCTAACTATGCAGGATTTCTGTATTAAACGTGTGTGAATGAAGCAAAACACAACTCCAGATAGGTTTTTGATGATGAAAAATTACATCATTATTAAACATAGATCAGAAAAAGAGCGAAATATATATAACGCCTCTTCACATACGCGATTTTGCAGGCTAATACTAACATTGAACACAACAGCTACTGGGGTGTAACATATATCCAAGTAATATCCAATATATATATCCAATAATATCCAAGTCTCACAATACAATATCGTCACGGTATGAACATCACGGTACAATATTTATTTACTATATTTATTCCAATATCGTGGGAAAGCTCACGATATGGTGGGGAGGCTCATGATTAGGGAAGTTAACAATATCCAAATCTCTCAGTACGATATTTTCACGATGTACATCTCACCGTACGATATTTTGTGGAGTTAACAAAAATGTTAATATGCAACTTTTTCCTCTTAAAATGCCTTGACAAGACTTAATCTCACTTAAAAGTGTTTAGAACGGTTATTTCTTCTTGTAGTCTGCACTGAAATGGAGCAAAGGATCATGGTCTATGTAGTTCCCTCTGTCTTTTTTTTTTTTTTTTAGCTATTGCTGCACCATAACTCTTAATTTAAGCAAAGAGACTTGTGATTCGATATATTGTGATGGTCCACGATATTATTGTGAGAACTTTGACGTTATGATATCACGATACTTCGGCTATTGTTACATCCCTAGCGTCTACTAATTATATGTCTATTGTTAAGATATACAAGGCTCAGAGAGTAGTCTGTACCCGGATCATGTTCATCTGGACGCTGCTGTGGAAGAAGTTCCAGATCTGAGGCCCGAGCTCCTCCCAGGATTTAAACATCACCATGAGTCGCTCCAGCTCCTCGAATGTGGTGTTGGCCTGTGGGGAAAAAGTCATAAACAAAGTATATACAATGTAAACCTCGTCCAGATGACAACTTTGTGAAACCTTTGATGCTGTGGAACACTTCTGGATTTGTGGCCAAAACGGAGTACAAACATGACGTCTTGATTATACTGTATCGTACACAGTTTCATATTTGACTATAGTGATACCATATTTACTTTAACGGTCCTATATTACGCAAAATGGACTCTTGTGAGCTTTTAGTCATGTTGGAATGTTGTTACCTCCTTAAAAACATACCTGGAGTTGTGTTTTGTTTCGTTCAAACATGTTTGAATGAAACATGTTTGTTCTTTAGTCTGTCTACATCTCCAAAATGCTCTGATCCGCTTTGTGATTTCATGAAGCTGTAGTTTTAAGGTTAACAGCTCCTTTTACCTTTTGTCCAGTAGAGGATGGCATTTCTCGAGCTGTAATTATCCAAATGATTCTAGTGAAGGTGTATGGAGTTTAAAAACATGGTGACATCACGAGGTGGAACAGAGTGTTTTCTGTTTGAGAGAAGAACTCAGACTAAATATGCAGCATGTGTGAATGAAACAAAACACAACTCCAGGTCTGTTGTGAGTAGAATCCCTCAGTTGTCCAGGAAGAATCCATGACAAAGGAGAAATTCAATTTGTCAACTAGACAAACTGGACAAACAAACAGAAGAAGCAGCTTGGATGAGAAGCGAAACGTTTTCAACCTAAATAAATGTTTGTCCGGCTGACAAATTGAATTTCTCCTTTGTCCAGGGATGTTTGAGGTGTGATGGAAACAACATTATTACATAGATGAGATCATAGTGTAACATAGTCCCTTTAAAATTGTAAAACTGAAAGGTTACTGGAGCCAATGAAGTGGAACAAAATCTTTTTTTGCTACTAAACTGTATATGGTGTTTTAGCATCATCACTAATCATTTTATGGCTATTTTATGGAAAACCAGGTAAATTTGCAGATTTCTAGTCAAAAATAGTCAAAATCTGGGTGTTTGCTGCATCTAGGAGCCTCTGCCATTTCAAGTACTATGTGACATCACATTCAGCAGTACTGCCCTGATTACAGCCTGGTGTTTCTGATCATAAAAACCAGTAGGGGCGGAGTTTGAAGTGTGGATACCTGTTAGACTAATCACAGTGTTCCTTATATCTCCAGACCCGTCCCTCCTCTCTCACTCTATTCTTCAGTCCAAACTCAGGTACTGCCCAGTTTAGCAGCTCTATTTGAAATGTGGTTATGGGCGGAGTTCATTTTGTTTATTGTTTAGGCCCACTCTAAACATTCCTTTCACCAGAAATTAATTTGCTTTGCCCAAAATGTTCCACAGCTTGACCTTAAACGTATCTGTCTCCAAGGAAACAAGCTGAAGTCACCACCAGGCCAAGATAAACGAGTAGATCAGATCTGTGAGGAGACGGTCCTGCTCACAATAATAATGCTGGTTAGTAGTGGGCGGTGTGGAGCCAGAGTTCATACTGAAACAACTATTTCACTGTAATCTCTGTAGTGGATAATGAAGTGACCTATTGTATTAAGTATGAGTGTGTGAAATTAACTGTTAACTGTAGTGTGATCTCTTACACTCTTGAGGATCCTGTGCACCGCGGGGGAGTCGGGCGTGTACAGGATCTTTCCCATCAGCAGCGGCTTCACAGAGCTCCACACGATCTTTGTGATGGGGTTAGACTCCAGAGTCTCCATCAGGGAGTTACAGAACGGAGCTGAGGAGGAGACAAAGGGCTGAGTTAGTGATAAAGTCTTCTACGGGTTCATCTGCTAAATGGAAAATGACATGTAATGATGGAGCAAGAAAGCTTTCAGAAATATTCATGTGCATAGGATAGAAATCTGTGCATATTTGGCTGTAGTTGAGCATAAAACAAATATTCGTAAACTCTGGATTGAGTCCAGTCGTACATTTTATCCATTAGAATGAATTCAAAAGTTATGACATTAAGAATTACAACCATGAAATGAAAATTTACGATTACACTTTCTTCAGTACAAAAACAAATTCACAGATGTAACTCTACTGTCAAAAATACGTCATCACTTCATAGGCATTATTTATTGAGCAGAAGAAACATCGATCAAGGTGCCGGACTCACATATGGACTGAACCAGGACTAAACCAGGACTGATCGTATCCGTGCTGAAGAAAGCGTAATCATAAATGTTCATTTTGTGGTTGTAATTCATGATGTCGTAACTTTTGAATTAATATTTTCATGGATAAAATAAACACAATACAGTTTATGTACAGTACATTAAAATACGTCTTTCCGAGTAATTTCCCACTCACTTGCAGTCTCGTCATAGACATAGCCGTGGCTCTTGGTCCCGTTGACGCCCAGAAACACTTTGTAGTTGTTGTCTTCGTACCAGTTGAAGGAGAGGACCCTGGACCCCCCTCCCTCCGGATACCCACAGAACAGGCCTGACACGCTGGACATGAGCTGGGAGAACGACGAGGGGCCCCCAGTCTGGAGCAGAGGGCCCAGAGACCGGAGCAAATCCTGGGAACTGTCTCGAGCAAGTAGCTGGAAGAGACAGAGAAAAGATATAATAATACATTACAGGGCCAGAATACGATATTTTCTGGTTTGTTATCATGTTGGGTCCTTATAAACAAGCAAAAATATAACCATGGAGACAAGAAGGTTCACTTCACCTGAAAAATTATGCAGTGCCACTTTTTTATTGTTCATATTTGAGCTTTAAACCATGTTATAATCCTTAAAAACATACCTGTAGTTGTGTTTTCATTCACACATGTTTGAATAACCCTTTATTATTAGTCTGTCTATGTCTCCAAAGCTCAAAATGCTCTGATCCACCTTGTGATGTCATGAGGTGGTAATTTTACCTTTACCTTTTCTTCAGTGGAGATGGGAAATTCCAGGGCTGAAATGATCTTAATGATTCTAGAGAAGGTGTATGGAGTTAAAAACACAGTGAGATCACAAGGTGGAGTTTTTTTCCATTTGAAAAAAGAGCTATGCAGAGTTTTGTGTGAATGTGTGAATGAAACAAAACACAACTCCAGGTATGTTTATGATGAAGAAACAACATTATAACATAGATCACAAAATAGCGTAATATGAGCCCTTTAAGTACCGCATTTTCGTACTATAAGTTGCACTTTTTTTCATGGTTTGACACTGACAGCCGTGAGAGGCTCTAGTCTTGTGTGTCAGTATCTGCTGCTCCTTTTACTCCTGTAACACTGTCACTTCACTCTACTGCGCATGTCTCCTGCAGAAAAAGCCTCTGTCCTGTCTGTATCATGTCAGTCACCATTACTTCTGTACCACTGAAAATGGAAAATTTAAACAAACTTATAAAGACAATCAAAACTGTCCTGTCGGGATTTAGAAAGGCTGGAATAATTCTACCTGGAACTGATGTTGAGTCTGACGACAGCTACACAGAAGAGGACGTGACGCTCTGTTTACCTCCAGAGGTCGTGGAGTTGCTCAGAAGTGACACCGAGGATGAAGAATTCAATGGATTTAGTGATTTGGAGTGAGATGGAGAGTTTGGTAAATTTGTTATGTTCTTTTGTTTATGCTGTAGTTATGTGAAGAACTGTTTATATGTGATGTTAACAGCCTGTTTTTTCAAGATGATGATGATGTTGGTTCCTGGTCTCTGATTTTATAAAATGTCCCTAAAAAAACAGCGACTTATATATGTTTTTTAATTCTTCATTACGCATTTTTACTCCGGAGCAACTTATAGTCCGAAAAATACAGTGCATCCTTTATTTTCATTTTGCCATTTTATTATCATTGTCAACCAAATGTGACTCTGTCCATGCTACAACATTTCATTACTGCACAGACTACTGGATAGGCTAATCTTACAGATAAAAGACATACATACTTTTTTTTTTTTTTATTCAAGTGCCAGTGCCTAGATATTACAGGCTTTGAATCATGTACACAATGTTGCTTTTCTTATTAAGATAGTCCTTGGCTTATATTTATCATACTACAGTCATAAAATCTATATATACAGTATGTTCTACTGTATATTCAGCCTCGTGGCAATCACCCAACAAACCATCCACTCTGTAAATTATTATTACCTTTTAGCTATTTGACCTTCTAGAAATGAATTATACTGTATATAATACCATAGAGCCTATAATTTATAATAAGTGAATGTCAAAGTATACACAACCAGGGCAAAACAATAGTTGGAAAGACAAGCAAATATTTCGGATGACGCCTTGGATTCGCATGATGGGACAGAGAGGGTGGACTAAATATCCTCCAATTGAAACCTAGAAATAGCAGCGTCCCAAAGCATTTCCTGAAATCGCTTCCTTTAAAACTAGGTCATGGATTTTGGATTACGAGAAGATTTTGATGGTTTCCTAAGTGACTAATTTTACATTTTTGTTTGCTGATGTAGTTTTGTCACGATACTAACCTTTCAAACTTGATTTCGATACTGAAGAACAGACTCGATACTCAATACAGATTCCGATACCACAATGATAATAATAAACACTCTTTATTTCAACAATAGAATGTGATTTTTAACATTAAATCTTAGTACTTTCTTTTATACTACCATGTGTTCTTATATACGTGTAATTCCTCAGTGGTCCAGGTAGGGTCCATAGTGGTCCATGGACATATATTAGTCTATGTGCTCTTAACTTGTTCTGATGCAGCTCAAGATGATTCTAAAACTATTCAGGAATGGTTCATTTCTGACTTGCAAATGCGATTTTTTTTTTAGTACTGATTCCTGCACAAATGAGTATCTAGTTTTGATCTAGTTTTAGTATAGAATAGTATCTTATTTTTAATATTTTAACAACCCTAGTCACAAAAGAGATGGCCATCTTTGTAGTAATAGTTAGAAGTGGTAGTTGTAGTAATGTATTTTATTTATAACACACTTTTCAGGACACTCAAATATGTTTAAGTAGTAGTAATAGCAATTGCAATAGCAGTAGTTGTGGTAGTAGCAGAGGTGGGACATGCAAGTCGTGACTTGGACTCAAGTTAGACTTCAGTCACTATTTTTAAAACTTGAGATTTGACTTTATAAACTGGACTAAGTCTTGGGACTCGACCTGGACTTGAAGGACAATGACTTGGGACTTGACTCGGACTTTAGGCCTGTGATTTGAGAAGCACTTTTAAACCTGAGTTCTTTCTATTCTGACTGTAATGATTGAATCTAAGATCAGGTCAAGACATTTAAAAAGGAAAAATTTACATTTCTACAACTCTTAGATACTCTTTAAATACTCATATATAAATACACATTTTTTTAGTCATTTTTTTTCAAAAATGTAAGCTATATTTGGTAGTTTGGTTTAAAGACTTGAAATTACTTGAAGCTCAAAGCAGACGACTTGGGACTTGACTCGAACTTGAGATCAAAGACTTGAGACTTACATATGACTTGAAAAATAATGACTTGGTCCCAGCTCTGGGTAGTAGTAGTAGTGTAATAAACAGCCCTAATATGTAATATTTGTTGCTTTAATATTAGTAGATGCATTAGTAGATGTATTACTAGAAATATTAGTATTAGTATTAGTAGAGTATTACATGTTAAAAATGTTAAACTAGTAATTGTAGTAATGGGCTAGTAGAAGTTAAAGACAGGGTAGTTTAATAAAATAGTAGTTGTAGTAGGTGGTGGAGTATCAGAATAGAGAGAAAACTGCACAACATGTAGGTGTAGTAGTAACATGAATGTACATTTTAGGGTTGTCAAAAGTATCCAAAATCATATACACAAAATACTAAAACTAGTATTAAAATTAGATACTCATTTGGGCAGGGATTGATACTAAGAAAGTCCTATTACATTTTATTGTAGAACAAGGAGTGTTTTTAATGTCATTGTGGTATTGAAATCGGTATTGAGTATCGAGTTGTGACAGTAGTAGTAGGAGGAAATATTGCAGCGGCTCTAGTAGCTGTAGTAGTTTCAGCAGTAGTAGTAGTTCACACAGTTTTCGTCTTGTTAGAAGTATTTATATGACATAATTTTGACTCATGACTCCTCCTCCCCGCCCCTCTCTGTACACTATAGAGTGCACATAGTTCTCCTCACTCCCTCTTCCGTCTCATTCTTTTGTATTTGTTGTTTCTCACACGCTTTGATTCAGAGGCAGGGGCGGTTGTCATGGAGAGTTTTTTTTTTTTTTCCTGGGCTGTCCCGTCCCCTCTGTCCCACCCGGGGATGTGTCAGCTCTGTGGAATGTCTCTATGTGTCCCCCTTTACAAGAGGTGAGGAGGGGGAAGTGAACGTGCACGGAATCACTGCTCTAACCTCTCACCCGCTTATCAAATCCTACGTGTATCACTGATTAAGAAAATAAAAAAAACGGGAGGATGAAGTAAGTACAGCGCAGTGGGAGTATGTGGTGAAGAAGGGGTTGATGGGAGCAATGAGGTCTTGAATACAGGAGAATAAAGATTACTTAGACATCTATGAATCACACTAAATACAACCTCAGAGGGTAAAAAAGGAGAAACAACTACAACATGGTTCAAAGCTCTAAAAAGTCGACTTTATGTCCACTTTAAAGAACCTGTATTACACAAAATGTACTCTTGTGAGCTTTAATGATGTTAGAATGAGGTTACGTCATCAAAAACATACCTGGAGTTGTGTTTTGTGTCTGAGTAATCCTGCATTATTACCGTAGTTTGAAAAGCTCTGTTCTACCTTGTGATGTCATGAAGTGGTAGTTTTCAAGTTAACAGCTTCCTTTTACCTTTTGTTCAGTAGAGACTGGCAATTCCAGAGCTGGAATTATCCAAATAATTCAATTGAAGGGATATGGAGCAGAGGTTGGACCAAGTCGTTAAGTAAGTCTCAAGTTTTTGACCTCAAGTATCAAGTCAAAGACAGGCAAGTCTAAGTCAAGTCTCGAGTCACTGGTCCATAAGTCCAAGTCAAGTCCAAGTCAAGTCCAAGTCGTCTGCTTTGAGCTTCAAGTAATTTCAAGTCTTTAAACCAAAGTACCAAATATAGCTTAGATTTTTGCAATTTATACCACTTTTAAGATATACAATAGAAAGAATTCAGATTTATAAGTGCTTCTCAAGTCTTCTCAAAACACAGCCCTCAAGTCACTGACCTTCAAGTCCAAGTCGAGTCCCAAGTCTTAGTCCATTTTATCAAGTCAAGTCTCAAGTCCTAAAAATAGTGACTCAAGTCTGACTGGAGTCCAAGTCATGAGTTGCAAGTCCCCACCTCTGGTATGGAGTTTAAAAACACAGTGGAGCTGTTCCTGCATTACCACATGACATCACAAGGTGGTACGGAGTGTTTTCTGTTTGAGAGAAGAACTGAAACTAAATATGCAGGATTTCTTTGTTTTGCGTGTTTACCTTTCCCTGCCTCTATGATGAACTTTTTTAAATTTTTTGGGCTGTACAAATCACACTGGAGAAGTATTACAGACACATTTATATGGCAAAAGTCGACTGAGTCCCATGAAGCATCATCTGCCGCAGACGCACACACACCTGCAGGTACAGTGGTGTGTGCTGAACATACAGTACACTGCTGTCTGCTCTCAGAGCCAGTCTCAAACTATGAGCAGCGGAAAACACAGGTTTCCTGCTCTGCTAAAAATACTGAGCATGATCCTGCACCTCTGACACCAGGAGAGAGGGAAAGAGAGGAGGAGAGAGAGGAGAGAGAGGAGGAGGAGAAGAGAAGAGAAGAGGAAAAGAGAGAAGGAGGAGAGGAGGAGAAATGAGGAGAGAGGAGAGAGGAGGAGAAGAGAAGAGGAGAGAGAGAAGAGGAGAGAGGAGAGAGAGAGAGAGAGGAGAGAGAGGAGAGAGAAAAGAGAGAGGAGGAGGAGAGAGAGAGGGGAGAGAGGAGGAGAGGGAGAAGAGGAGAAGAGAAGAGAGAAGGAGGAGAGGAGGAGAAATGAGGGAGAGGAGGAGAGGAAGGGGAGAAGAGAGGAGAGAGAGAGGAGAGGAGAGGAGGAGAGAGAGAGAGAGAGAGGAGGAGAAAGAGAGAGGAGAGAGAGGAGGAGAGAGAGAGGAGAGAGAGGGGAGGAGAAGAAAGGAGGAGAAAGAAGAGGAGAGAGAGGAGGAGAGAGGAGGGAGAGGAGGAGAAAGGAGGAGAAAGAGGAGGAGAGAGGAGGGAGAGGAGGAGGATAGAGAGGAGCAGAGAGGAGGAGAAAGAAGAGGAGAGAGAGGAGGGAGAGGAGGAGAAAGGAGGAGAAAGAAGAGGAGAGAGAGGAGGGAGAGGAGGAGGATAGAGGAGAGCAGAGAGGAGGAGATAGAGAGGAGGAGAAAGAGGAGGAGAGAAGAGAGGAGTGAGAGGAGGAGAGAGGAGAAAGAAGAGGAGGGAGAGGAGAAGTGAGAGGGGAGAGAAGAGAGGGGGATAGAAAGGAGGAGAGAGAAGAGAGAAGGAAGGAAGAGGTGAGAGGAGAGAGAGGAGGGAATAGAGGAAGGAGACGAGAGACATGAGAATAAGGATAGAGAGGAGGAGAGCAAGAGGAGAAAGACGAGGGGAGAGGGAGGAAGAGAGAAAAGAGAGAGGAGAGAAAGGAGAAAGAGAGAAAGGAGGAGAGAAAGGAAGAGAGGGGAGAGAGGGAGAAAGAGAGGGCCAGTGTAGCTCTTACCCGTCTGAAACTGTCAGATGAAGCCTTGAGCACGCGGCCCCAGTAGTGGAGGTCGATTCCCTGAGCGTTACTGTCCATCACCTGAGGCATCTGCAGGAGACACGACCACAGCATTGTTAACAGTGCAAGCGAAAAAAAAACCCACACATTTACTGCTACTTCAATTTATTCTCATTTTTTTCCATTAAAAGTGGTGATACTGCCTGCACTGCGACACAAAACCACTTGCCCATTCTTTAAAACACATAATAAAGATCTACTGTATGTGGTAAGAGGAACATTTTGGAGTTTATACGTGTTATTATACTGACACAAAATGCCTTTACAAAGAAAAATAAATAAAATTCCATCAATATTGGCTATAAATAATTGTGGGATGACACCACACGATAAATTTAACACATATTATGTAAGATAAGTTTTCCCGGTTTGTTAAGGGTCAGCTGGACACACCCAAGTTAGATTCCTGGGAAGGTAAAGGTCCTATATTATGCAAAAGGGTCAAGCAGAAGTAAACAGCAAGGCCAAAAATTCAAGTTAATTCATCTGATATAAAAATGTATTCAACAGATACATATGTACTCTAGTTTATGAAACTGTTTACCTTTTTTCTGTACCATTTTTGGTTCTAAAGTTACATACGTTTTAAACAGACCATGTATGAAACATGGAACAAAAATTATTTCCCAAATTTCAAAGACCTGCAAATCATGAAAATAAATTTATGTATTTCATCATATCTTGTGTTATTCCATCTTTGAACTGTTGATGAAGGTACATGATTTTTTTTAAAAATGTATTTAAAATGATAAAAATTTGCTTGGAAGGACTGACATGTTTTATAGAAATAGTTTCTTTTCATTTTGAAGTAATATTGAAGTATTCGGAAGAAAAAAGCTGACAAATTATGCAAAGTCCTTCTACTTCGTTGCACAATTTTCCCTCCGTTACTTTTCCCTCTGTTACCATGACCTTTCTTAATAAAAAATCTCATTACTCAAAAAGTAAGAGGTTTTACAGCCTAATCTTGTACCATATGGTAGAAAACTATATGAAGCAAATATTCAAACCAGTTTGTTGAGGATATGTAAGTGAGAACCAATAGTTATTGCTGTTTATATTTATTGTCCAAAAAGTGCTGCATATTTCATTCCCTCCGTTACCGACACGAGTTTTTAAATTTTTTGTCAACAACTTGAAAGAATATCACAGGTTTAACTTTACCCTGTTGGAGTGTAACTCTTTCCTACATTCTAATACTTTACTTATTTCAATAGTCCCTCTAGTTTCTGAATAAGAGCTATTTGAATGTAAAAAATCTGTCCCTGTTTCCCTCCGTTACCGCTTGACCAGACCCAAAATTGACTCTTGTGAGCTTTAAGCCATGTTAGAATGTTCATTTCATCAAACCTGGAGTTGTGTTTAGTTTAATTCACACATGAGTAACACTTTATTATTAGTCTGTCAACATTTACAACACTCAAATTGCCTAACTCAGCCAAAATTATGCAGGGTTTGTGTGTTAAAAATGTGAATCAAACAAAACACAACACAATTTTTTGATGAGGAAACAACATTATAACATAGATCAGACAGTGTAACCCCAGCAACAATGAGAAATGGGTCAAATGCAGAGGACAGATACAGTAGTTCAGCGGCAGCTTCGAGGCACTCAAAGCACTTCACATCATGGAACCGCTCACAATCACACACGTATTCATACACCAGCGCACGCAGACAATGAGGGCGAGATGGGTTAAGTGTCTTTCCCGAGGACTCATCAGCGGTATTCATCTGCGGGAGCTGGAATTGCACCGCCAACCTGTGGGTCAGTGCTTTTCCAACCTTCAGATCAGAGGACGAGCACTCAACCAACTGAGCAACTCTGATGGGAAATAAAAGAGTTTAATCACAAAAGGTGTAGGTATACGCACATCACTGGTGCAAGGCTACTACAGTGAACATAGAAAGTGAGACAAAACCTGCACATTTACTCCCAAAAGGCTTTTTAATCAATGACAATGTTTCTATCAGTGGATCTTCGTGTTCTTCAGATACACTGATTGAAACGTTGTCATTCATTAAAAGCATTTTGAGAGTAAGTGTGCAGGTTTTGTGTCACTTTCTACTAGGGACGTAACAGTAACCAAAATATTGTGATATCGTATCGTCAGAGTTCTCACAACAATATCGTGGACCATCGCAATATATTGAATCCCAAGTCTCTTTGCTTAAATTAAGAGTTATGGTGCAGCAATAGCTAAAAAAAAACAAAAAAACAAAACAAAGGGAACTACATAAACCATGATCCTTTGCTCCATTTCAGTGCAGACTACATGAAGAAATAACAGTTCTAAGCACTTTTAAGTCTTAGTTCTTTGGATTAAGTCTTGTCAAGGCATTTTATTCACAGTTTTGTTCACCTCCACAAAATACTGCAATAAATATCGTAGCATGAGACATGGATATCGTTACACTCCTACTTTCAAAATAAAATAGTTTGCAAACAACTGAAAATGAAAGGTCCCATATTACACAAAACTGACTCTTGAGAGCTTTAAATTATGTTTGAATGTTGTTCAGAAACAGACCTGGAGTTGTGTTTTGTTTCAGCCACGCATGTTTGAGTAATCCTGCATTATTATTCAATCCACATCTCCAAAACTCAATATGATCTGTTCCAACTTGTGATGTCAGGAAGCTTTAGTTTTCAGGTTAAGGCTTTAACTTTTATCAGTAGAGCTTGGCAGTTCCAGGTTGAAATAGAGCCCTGCACACCCACGGGGCCTGACGCAAAACAGTGCGGCGTGGGACACATTTTGAAAGCTCATTGCAGGCGTGTGTGGGAGTAGGACTGCCCAATGCAGGAGTGGGAGGGTGGGATGATAAACTGAAGTGCCGCAAACTAAATATGAGTGTAAAGTAAAATATACAAATGATTAATGTTTGTCTATCATACATAATTTGTGCTGGATATTTTATTTGGCTTTAATAAAAACATTTTAAGCACATTTCACAAACAAACTGCTCACAAATAACAACAAAAGTAAAATAAAACCTTAAAGTAAAAATTAAAATAAAACCAGTAAAATAAAATAAAAATAAAAAAAACTATATCATAGAATAGAAATAAATAAACCAATAAATAAATTAAATCAGTAAAACCAATAAAAACACACAAAAATAAATAAAAGACACAGAGGACCACACAACTCACACGGTGTTAAAAGCCAGAGAATAAAAGTGGGTCTTCAGACGAGATTTAAAACTCTCCACTGTGGAGCTGCTCGAACGTGAAGCGGCAGATCGTTCCAGAGTTTAGGGCCGACCACAGAGAAAGCCCTGTCCCCTCTGGTTTTAAGTCTCGTCTGAGGCGCCCTGAGCTGGAGCCGGACCTCGGACCTCAGAGCGCGAGCAGGGGTATAAATTTGGATGAGGTCCGAGATGTACTGTGGAGCCAGTCCATTCAAAGCTTTAAAAACAAACAATAAAATCTTAAAATCAATTCTAAAATTAACAGGGAGCCAGTGCAAAGACGCAAGGATTGGGGTTATGTGCTCTCTCCTTTTTGCTCCTGTTAAAAGTCGCGCTGCAGAGTTTTGGACTAACTGTAGTCGGTAAAGTGCGTTTTGCGAAATGCCGGAATAAAGTGCATTACAGTCGTCCAGGCGTGATGAAATAAAAGCGTGCATAACTTGTTCAAATAGTTTAAAAGATAAAAAAGGTTTAACTTTAGATAAAATTCGCAAATGATAAAAACTTGATTTTAAAACATTGTTAATCTGTTTATCAAATTTAAAATCACTGTCTAAGATGACGCCAAGGTTGGTGACTGTGGGACGAACATGATTTTTGAGGAATCCCACATTAGTGAGGGAACTGTTGGCCCCAAACAGTACCACCTCAGTCTTATCTTCATTCAGTTTCAAAAGGGCCAACCAAGCCTTGACGTCCGATAGACAGTCGAGCAGGGGTGTCAGGGGGCAGTGATCCTTTTTGCCAATGGGTAAATAAATTTGGCAATCATCTCCATAAAAATTAGATAAGACAGGCCATGTCTTCTCTGTGTTTGATAGAACTTAAGAAAGCGAATGTCCCCATTGTGCGGGATTTGTGGGCAGGAGTGGGACAAAATATCGCAGATGTGGGCGGGAGTGGGAATGAAAATTACAATTCTTTACGGGGTGTTGGCGGGAGCGGGAATGAAAATTCTGTCCCACGCAGACCTCTAGTCTGAAATCATCCAAAAGATTCTAGTGAAGGTGTATGGAGTTTAAAAACACAGTGGATCACTTTCTTTTTGTATTACCACATGACAAGAGAAGATATTTTGAAGAGGCTGATATAATTGTAGATAGGACGCTTTTTTGCTTTTAAACCAGCCTGACAAGATTTTGGTGTGAATTATTTCCGTCATAATCCCAAGAATTCAAGTAAAAAACATATAACTTCATGTTGTCTGCATTGAAATGAATCATGGGATATGTAGTTCCCGATGTTTATAAGATAATGCTACTGTAAAAAAAATACATTTAAGCAAAGGAACTCGTAATTCGATATTATTATGAGACTTTCGAAGATACGATATCACGATATTTCGGTATAAATGAAACAAAGCACAACTCCAGGTATGTTTGTGACGAGGAAACATACAGTAAATCAGAAAATAGTGTTATATGCGCCCTTTAAAGTACGATATAAAGTTATTCAAACGTACAGCCCATGAAAATCTCTTCTTTTGTCCTTAAAATGATGTCAGGTTGTTTGGTTGCGTTGCTCTCTTGAACCTACTCATGCAGAAACTCCTGTTATTATGATTATTCGAGTAAACCTCCCTTTGTAATGTTATCTTGCATTAACATTTCAGCTGTGGGTGTAGCAAGAGCCCGGTCAGTCCAGAGAGCACAGGGCAGGAGGAAACCCAGCATACGCCAAGAACAACATGCGCAACAGATATCCTTCCTCTAACATTCCTCACTCACAAAAGGAGGGAGGACGTAGGAGCTAGGGAGCGAGGTTATAGGAAGCATAGGAAGGGAGGATGTAGGGAGCCGAGAGACAGGTCAGTGTGCTAATAGCCTTAATCTGAA